ATTAAGCGGTTTACTATCTTAAGGTTAGTAGACGTAGGAAAAGCTAGGGCGTAAGAACCTATAAGAGGATGCCACTATTACACTATTATAGGAACGACTACGACTAACGCACTACTTGTATTATGTTTTACTATCTATAAAACGGCACTCCTTCTTATACTTAAAGTAATAGGAGTAAGGTATGTCTGTGTTATACCCGTTTAAGGCGATAAAAGCCTTTAAGGTGTTACGTTCATTGCTTTTCTATAAGTAGGGTTTCTTAACACGACTTAATATAACGTTAGGACATAATAATGTAGGAGGGAAGTTATAACCTACTACTAAAAGGGAATTTAGTGGCCTTAAGGATAAGACTAATAGAGGAGGAGTATAATGTTATAAATAGATAAGAGTGACATAGGGCGGCCTGAGAAGGAGGCCAGGCGGGATGCCTGTAGGACGCCTGATTAGGATAGAAAGTCATATGACCACGATAGGCTTATAGGGTCACTATGAGCCAGTGAGCTAAGAAAGGATCACGACCTTAGTGTGAGCTAGTGATCCAGGTAGTATAGTAGAGGATAGGAAGGGTATATAGGGAAGGGGATTCCTAGTAGATAGTTAGACTAGATCTCTACTAATTAATCTAAGTAATAGTTCTACTATTAGGAGTAATCTCCTAAACGTGACTTAAGCTACGATACTGCTCATCTGCACCTGTGGTGCATTCAACCTGACTCACTTCCTAAGAAACAGATTTACTGTGGATTAGAGAAGAGTCACTGTTACACTATAGTTACTAGATTAGTATCTATAGCCACTAGGTTAGTAGCTATTACTACTATATTAGTATTCTTACTATTAGTAGTGGATATTATAAAAATTAACTACTTATAATCTTAAAAGTAACTTACTAAATAGGACTAATTAAAATATAATAATAGTTTAATCTTAATCTATAGTTAGTCTATTTCTTAAGTAAAGAGTTAGTTTAAATATATAAGTATATATAAATAGTTATTATAATATAAGTTATATTAAGAAATATCTCTTAATAGTAAAACTATTACTTAGATTAATTAGTAGAGATTTAGACTATCTAACTATAGGAATACCTCCTCCTTAAGTACTTATCTATCCCTCTACTATAACTCTAGATTAGAAGGCTTAACCTTTAATCCCCTAAATCCTATTCCTAGATTAATAGCTTAATAGCTTAAGTCTTTAATCCTAAGGAGATTATATAATCTCCTATCCTTTTAGTGGCTAGTGTAATAAGCCTTCGCCTGCCTCTCTTAGCCCCACCTACACGTCTTACAGTATTCATAACACTACTCTTTACCTACTATACTACTATTTAGAAGAGAGAGTAAGTATAGGCTAAAGCCTTTATAATTTTAGATTATTTATAAAGCTATTATACTAAAGAAGGATAAGACTTATAAGAGTAGTATATTCTACTTAGCTACCTCTCTTAGTATCTATTAAAGTAATCCTAATATTATAAATACAATTTAGTACTAAGTGAGTCTCTAGTAGGCTTTTATATAGTTTAATTACTAATCTATTATAATAATATCCTTTCCTATTTATTAAAACTTCAGTTATTCCTAATGTAGGAAGATCCGTTAACTACTAAAATATATTGTGGTTCGTTACGATGCCGCTTATATTACGTATTGGGTTTGCAGTAATGCTTTGGTGGGAGTGGATTAGGAGTTATACGAAGTTTAGGACTGTAAAAAACCAAATGCGATAGCTAAGTCTAACAACCAAATAACTGTTTCTTTATCACAATAAATGGATTGCCTTCATGCTAGCCGACCAGGCGATCTCTCGAAACTAATACATTCACGATGAAGGGTTCCTCCTACATTGTTAGGTGTGCTGCCCTGTCAAGTGTGGTATCCAGCACCACCTTAGGTGGTGCAATTCAAACTGCCGCAAATAAGTGGCACAGACAATGATGTTAGTAGCGCCATGTCTGGCCCGCCCCACGAAAGGGGAGAGGGGTCTTCCATACGGTTGGTAGACTTCGTCTTTACCATTCCCTCCCTTCTTCAACATCTTGGAGTCTGTCCAAAGGCAAATCCCGACTCTACTCTGTCTCTGCGCCATGCTACCACCGTCGCCCGATCCGCAGACGCGCGAAAACGAACCCGAAGGAATCGGGCGCAAGAGACGTCGCATCGTCCAGGCCTGTGAGGAGTGCCGAGACCGGAAGCGCAAATGCGATGGCGGGAGGCCCGTCTGCGGCGCCTGCTCCCGTAGACCGGGGCAGAGCTGTGTCTGGAACGATGATCGGAACACCAAAGGCTGGAGTAAAAAGTGCGGTTTGACCCCAGCAGCGAGGAGTGACGGTAGCTAACACACACCAGCTACGTTGAGGGTCTGCGCGCACGTATCAGGCAGCTGGAGTCGGCGATGAGCACATCCTCGGCCGACACAGTTGATCAAGCAGCGCCGTCCGATGCCAACCGCATCCTCGACCACGCCGACCAGCCGACATACCCGCCGGAAAGCCTGCCCACCGCGATGCCCACGCTTCCGCTCCTGGGACCGCAGTCTGCATCGCCCCCGGTACCAGCCATGGGCGGCTCGCCGGACATGATGCGCGGTCGGGCGGTTGGCGAGGCGGCGTCGGAACCATCATTACGGGGTCCACCTCGTGGCACCGACAATTCGAGCAACGGCACCGATGACGGTGAGTTCAACGCCATGGCCTCGGACAGCAGTGAGACCGGCATGGATGCCATGGGCGTGGTTCGGTGCGCCAACGGCACCAAGGGCCGCGCCCGGCGCTCGTCGGGATACTTTGGCCCATCGAGTACCTTTAGCCTTCTGGATGACGCGTACAGCGCCATCAACGGTCGGCCCAGGGGGAAGGACTCGCAGGACGGCGGCGGGGTGCCGATGACTCGGGGCAAGCATAGGCACGGCCGTGGGGGTGGCCGGGGCGCGGACCCTGGCATCAGAAGCCTGAATTTGAGCGTCCCGCGACGAGCCGAGGCGGATGAGCTCTTGGAGAGCTACTGGACGTGGGTTCATTCCCTGTACCCGTTTCTGCACCGGCCATCGTTCGACAAGCGTTACCGATCCATCTGGGCCGGCAAGGGCGATAGTGAGGAGCTCGACGGCGGCGGAGGAGGCGTGACAAGCTACTATGACGACGTTGGAGATGGACTCTTCCATTGCTTGCTGAATCTCGTCTTTGCCATGGGCGCGCCATTCAACGCGGTCATTCCCTTCGAGGACCGCGACACTGTGAGCCGTACCTTTTTCCGCCGCGCCAAAGTGCTCATAGACCTAGACACGCTCGCCTGCGGCAGTACCGCCATGGTCCAGGCACTTCTACTTATGTGCCAATATCTCCAGAGCACCGATGAGGCCAGCAGCTGCTGGAACACGGTTGGCCTGGCGGTGCGGGTGGCCCAGGGCGTCGGACTGCACCACGAACCTCAGTGCTGCTGGAACGGTCACTGCGAGAGCGGCCACAGCCAGCTCGAAGTTGAGATGCGCCGAAGGACGTGGATGGGAGCCATGTTGTTTGACCGGTGAGTAGACGACGCCTTTCTCAGATGCCATATCATATGCAAATTGCCCTTCGGGAGAAGAAGAAAGAAAGGAGCGGTTCTGATGACAGTTCTGCAGCGTCCTGTCCATGACCTATGGGCGTCCTCTCATGATCCACCCCAGCCTCACGCGCAACCGCCTGTTCCTCCCTCTGGCAATCGACGACCAGTACCTCACAGGACCGGGGGAGCCGCCTGGCCAACAGCCAGCGGAGACGGTTAGCCTCGTAGAGTGTTACGTCGCAGCCGTTCGACTCCAGGACGTCATTGGTGAGCTTGTCATGTCGTCCAACTACATAGGCATGGGCAAACAAGATCGCCGTGGCATGGAGGGCAGTGGGCCAGGAGGACGCTGCAGAGAGAACACAGCATACAGGCTCTGTGTGGGCGACTTGGATCTGCAGACCATCCTGGATATTGAGAATCTGCTGGTCGAGTGGCGCGAGAGCCTCCCAGAACACCTCTGTCCGCAGTCGTTCAAGGACGGGCGTGCCGCAGCTCTTGGTCAGGATCAGCACCGAGTGATGTTGCTGGAGCGCCAGGCAAATGTGCTTGAGGCAAGGTATGATGCCACCATTTCCACCCACCTAAGAGCCTATCGGTCTCTCCCAGAAAAGAGGCTGAAAACCCCCCTTACAGATATCTTCATGCACGCTTAGCGCTTTTTCGGCCGGCTCTATCACTACTTTGTAAGTCAGTGCCTAAGCCGGGAGAGAATCCTCTCGATACCCTCACGGCAAGAGACAGGATGAGCTGGGCCATGATGACCAAGGCTGCCGACCTGTGCGTGTCAGCGGCCGGAGACCTGACCAACGCTATTACCGGCAACGCCGACCTTGGCTTCCAACGTCTTCAGGCGCCTTGGTACAGCGTATTCTGTGAGTACATGACCCGTGCGAAATGAACGTACCAGTCGCCTCTAACACACCGCTTCCAGATGTACACAGCTGCGCCATGGTTCTGCTACTCGGCTATCTGTGCTCGCCCACTTACATCTCGTGTATGGATGAGACTTCGCTCATGGAGTCCTACAACCGCTGCCTCTCCTTCTTTGAGGAGAGTCGTCCACACTTGGTATCTGCTCAGCGTTGCAGCAAGGTGCTCCAGCTGATCCAACAACAAGTGTTTCGCTATCGTAATGGTATGTGCCCCCTATCTCTCCAAACTCATACATACGCCCCATCCCAGCCACCCTTTTGGTCGTGGTCTCGGGAAAGGGTGCTCCCTGCTCAGCGGTGCCTGACATTGAACAGGCCCTCAAGAAGGAAACTCTTTTGGATTTTTGGATCTCCCATTTGACATGCTTCGTGGCGGTCCGGCACCCGTCCAGCCGGTCCCGCCACTGGGTGACCCGCGTGATGGCCAGCCTATGTTTAGCCAGACTTTCCCTCTCGAAGATGTACAGTTTGACCAGCTGTATGCGGGGAGGATATTGAACGATACTTATGAGGCGACGTGGCTACCGCATCTCACTTTCTAGCGTGCTGTCCGAGAAACTGAGAAAAGACGGGTAAGATATGTACATTCCACGGCTTGAGTCAAGAGAGTTATGAAGGAAGCGTGCTAGTGGACTCAGAAGAAAATAATACGTCAAGCTTTAGCTATTCATGAGCCGTCCTTTTCTATTATCTTCCGGATGCTACCCAGATCAGTCGGTGCCATTTCCTCGAGCAAACTGTGAGATCCGTCATCCACAACCTCCGCCTCGCCTGTCCTATACACCCCGAGGGCCGTGCCACCAGGATACTTGCCCTGCTCGACTAGCTCCTTGATCCTGGAGGCTATTTCTGCCGGCTCCATCAAGGTCGAATCAGGACTCACATTGGCACTGCCATCCATGACACCTTGCAGCAACGGGGTTGCAACAAGCCTATAAATAAAGACAATCAGGCACTGCTACCCGCGAGATGTGCGCTGGGGTTTCCTAACTTACCCTGGGCACACGCAGACAACCTTGACATTGGCCTCTTGCTCCGCCTTGGCCAGGCTCTTAACGAGGCCGACGACGCCGTGCTTGCTGGCACTGTATAGGGGCGTGCCAAAGTGGCCGTTCGTGCCGGCAATGGACGATGTTACGACGACAACGCCCTTCTTCCTCTTGCCAAGAAGCGTACGGATGGCTATGCGCGTGAGCTTGATGGGGTGGACGAGGTTAATGTCGAGTACGGTATATTTGCCGGTCTCAGAATCCCCCCAGAAACTTGATCGAGGCTATGCGTGCTGTTAGAACGTGGGGAATTGGCGAGGATCATGATGAGTAGCTAGAGCACAAGGATGGGTCATGTCTCTGCACTTACATTCTCGCCGATGCCGGCATTCGCCGCGTAGACGTCGGGAACGTCGCCAAATGTCGTCTCAGAAAAGGGAACGACAGCCTCGAGGTCCTCCCAATTGGTCACATCGCACTTGAGAAAGGCGACGGAGTCCTTGTTGGCTGCGGCGAGCTCTTCGGCGGCGGGGGTGAGTCTGAGATCGGCAATGACGACCCTTGCCCCCGATGAGAGGGCCTGTTTGCAGAACGCCAGGCCGATACCTCAAGGCTTGTTAGCTGTCTTGACGGGTGTTTTGTTTAGTTTGGGAATACAGTTGTCATCCCCGGTGACTAGCACAGCTATGCTGTCTTACCTGATCCGCCGCCTGTGACCAGGACGATCTTATCGCTTAGGGGGAAGTCTCCAACCATTTTGTTTATCGTGAGAGAGATAGACAGAGAGAGAGGGAGAAGGAGGCTATCAAAACCGAATGTTCGTCTTCCCTAGGGCGTCTGTTGCCCGACAGACGTCCTGCGAATTTAAAGCATGGAGCTGCTCGGAGTGATACCCGCCCCGTTCAGTGAATGAGCCGTACTCCGGACCAATTTAGAAACCATGACCTCTCGCTTGAGCTCGCAGAGTCTGAACTTGTGGGGTATGCATACCTTCCGGGGGCCTAGGGTGCGAGGAGACCATGTTGGTAGTTGTTCTGACGGGTTGCCATCCGGGATTCTTGCCCCGCACGCTTCTCTGGTTGCTAACTTGGGGATGCCAGCGATGTCGTGTGCGGATGTGTTCCGCTAGCGCATAATGCGCAACTAGTTCAGATTCAACCACACGTGCTGTGAAAGCTGACTGTAATGGGAGCCTATTGGATTCCCCACAAACCCCCAGAATCTCCTTCAATGGAGATTTGAGGAATAGGGTTTAGGGAACATCCCGGGTATGAAATGTGACCTGGACGTTTCACAGGCAATAGGGGTATAAATATTCACGATGCTCTTCTGCACTATTATTGTCACTTGTGTCACTGTTCTTTTCATGCCTTTCCTCCTCTCCACATATCCTCTGATGGGCGAGAGACGGACATTCGATACATCATCACACACACACCGGCTTTAGGGCGACCCTCCAACAAGAGAACCAGACTCTTCCAGCATCAAAGATCTCCTCACCATGCCTGCGCCCAAAGAGCTGGTCCCCAGGGTTCTGGCCGAGGGCCTGTACTTTGGCGAGTCACCGCGGTACCGTGACGGCAAGCTGTATATCAGTGACATGACAGGGCGCAAGATCTACGCCATTGATGAGCATACAGGCAAGAAGGAGGTGTTCCTCAACATGGAGAACCAGCCAAATGGCATGTGCTTCTTGGACGACGGCTCCCTCATCTGCTCGTCCATGTTTGACGCCAAGCTGTACCACGTTAAGGACGGCAAGTCAACTCTGTACGCCGACATGAGCCACGTTATGACGGGCTACTGCGGAGACATGGTCATCGATAAGGCAGGGAGGGTTTTTCTTGACGACAGCGGAGCGCGCGTGCTGCATGGCGAGAAGCCGGGCCCCGGTCGCCTTCTGCGCATCGACCCGGACCGGAGCGTCAACATTGCCGAGGAGAAGATTTTCTTTCCCAACGCGCTTTGTATCAGCCCCGATGGAAAGTCGCTCTACAATGCCGAGTCATTTGGCTACGGCCTCCTAAAGTTTGACCTGGCGGAGGACGGGACCCTGAGCAACCGCCAAGAGGTCTGGACGCCTGCTACCCTGGCGGGTGAGAGGGGCGCGTCGGCTGAGTCTATGATTGGTATTGACGGCGGCTGCATGGACGCTGAGGGAGGCATCTGGCTCAGTCTGCTAGCCCTCGAGCAATTTGTGCGTCTCGACCCGGACAGCGGAGAGATTACGCATCGCATCAAGGTCTCCGGCCACGCTGTGTGCTGTACCCTCGGCGGCGACGACGGCAAGACGCTATTTCTGGGTGTCAACTGGACACCGCCGGACGAGAACCTGTTCAAGGCCATGGTGGCTCTAAAGACGCGCGGTACCGTCTTGAGTGTGCGGGTGGATATTGCCCACGGTGCGGCGCGTCCTTGAGAAGGAATTTTGTGGTTGCCGACTGCTGTAGCGTACAATATGTAGTCTCATGAGAATATACTCTGTCATCTAAGTGGAATACAGCGACGTACCAGATCAAAAACTATGCAATGATGCTGCGGCGCCGCGAGCTAGGTTCAAACAGCCAAAACCACATCCAGCGTTCTTCAACTATCCAGTAACTTTCGCAACTCTTGTCTGCTCTGTAGCAGCTTTGATCTTTTTGGAGACTGGCATTACATCTGACCCTGTATACATGCATCTATCTTCTCATACTTCTGTTTAAAAAACCTTGTCTAAATGCGCGTTGGTCTATCTCGAGTCAATATGAGGCGCGAGGAAAAACAAAGGGGGGTAGGAGGGTAGGAGGTCAACGTGTTCGTCTACTCGCCTCTGTAATAGTATTGTAGCTAAACAACTATGGCTGAAAGTTCTTGTCGGACTAATGGTTCGAGTTGGACTCAGCATCGCTGCTATCGCCGGTCTCTCCGCCCATGGCGCAACCACATCGCTCTTGCTCTGACCTGTCGGGAAGATGCCAGATGTCACCGTTGGCGCGCGAGCCGGCTTGGATGATTTCGCACCTCGGCTTACGGATTTCCTGGAAGGCCGGGAGAACCTTGGGGATATCGTCCAGTCTCAAGGCCCGGCTGATACATTCGGCCAGCGCGGTGCCATCCTTAGTCGATGTGGCCGCTCCATGGGCTAGGTAGGGCAGCATAGCGTGAGCAGCGTCGCCCATGAGGATACCCCGTCCACTCTTGCCCAGCCACTGGGGCAGAGGTGGGATATCTGCCAACTTCCACCCGAGGCAGTTTTCCACTTTAGCTAACACCTTTTGTATTGTCGGATCAAAGGTGCTGTAGTGCTGCTTCATCTCGTCTCACTTGCCCGGCTCGTTCCACTGGCTTACAGCAGCCTTGCCTGGATGTGACAAAACCAAGTTGATTGGTTGATTAATTGATTATATAACGTCTATATAGTGTAGGTCTAGGTTAAGCAAAGAGATATGCTAGCTATACTCTACGGATGATCGTAAAACAGGTATTCCTTTCTTATTTGTGGTAGTGTAGATCTATAATATAAAACTCGTTTATAGCCCCTAAAGCTCTATAGAGGCTAGTATATAAAAGTAAAGTAATTAGTAGTTCTAGTTAATTAGAAGACTTTATTTATTACTTTAGCTAGTTATTAGTTTTAAAGCTTAAATAGAGTATAATATTAATAGTTTCTTTATTTATAATATTTTAATTAAAATTTTAATTAATATAGGATTTATATAAAATATTTATATACTTTTATTACTATTTATATTACCTTTGTATGTATTTTATATATAATTATCTAGTTTATTAATTTACATAACTAATTTTAACTTTTTTAACCTTCTTTTTTCTTAATATCTTAGTTATCTTCATTCCTAGTATTTCTACTATTAATTTCTCTTATATAACTTGATAGTATTGAACATTAAGTATAGGCCCGCCTCTAGGTGAGGTGGCTCGAAGGGGGGAAAGGTGCTTCCCCGGAGGTCATCCGCCGCCCGTTTCTTTGCGGGCGTATAAGACTTTGGGGCGACGCAGTAACAGCATGTAGCGCTATGTGTACTTTCGCGACTTATTGACCATGGGTGCCTCATCATTATCATGGCAGGCTGTAAGCGACATCTTTGCGCTCATCAAGGAAGCCACCGCCGACACGCAAGCTGGCTTGCCATGTGCCGGTGTTGTCATTGTCGGTGACGGCCAAAATGTAGCTCAAGAGCTCTTCCACGACGTCGACGAGAGTAAAGATATCTACTGGCTGGCCTCATGCACTAAGCTTGTCACATCTATAGCATGTCTGCAGCTCGTCGAGAAGGGTCTTCTGTCGCTCGACGACGCCGATCAGATTAAGCGACTCTGTCCCGAGCTGAAGAACATTAAAATTGCGACGGAAGACGGCCGCCTGGTGGACAAAATGACCCGAATTACCTTGCGATCGCTTCTAACGCATACATGTGAGTATTCATGGAGCGTATGCGCTCATACTGGAGATGTCGTGCTAATTGCAGTGAGAAGCCGGGTTTGGGTATTCGTTTCTCAGCCCCGCATTGGAAAAGTACACCTCGGACAGGCGCAGGGCCCCATTCGATGAGTTCTCTGGCTCAGAGACGGAAATGCATCAGCCGTTGGTTAATCAACCTGGAATGACTTTCCAGTATAGTGTAAGTGGATGAGCTGTCTGCACGAGTGAATGGTTGTCGCTGACGGCGCCTTGGCCAGATCTCCCACGATTGGGCTGGGATACTCGTTCAGCGGACAACAAGCCTTGGACTGAACGAATACATGCAGAGGACCATTTTCAAGCCTTTGGGAATTACACGTTTGACAATGTTTCCCGACGAGAAGCTCCAGTCCCACCTCGCCGGCCTATGGCAGCGCGACGAGGCCGGCCAGCTCAGTCCACGCCCATTCCCTCTATCCAGGGCACTCGACGCGGATCGTCGAAAGGGGATGTATAATAGTGGTGGTGCAGGCTTATACGGTAGCCTCCGAGAGTTCTCGAGTACGTCACCAAGCTTCCCCCTATATTCCTTCTGTCGGCTTACACGGCGTCGTTAGAAATCCTCGTCGCGTTGCTCAACAACGGCACATCGCCCACGACCAACGAACAAATTCTCTTGCCATCCACAGTGAAGGACCTGTTCACAAACCAACTGCCGGAGCAGCCAGACTTAGCTCGCCAACCCCTGCCTACGTGCAAGTCGGACCTCGTGTACCCTGCCCCGGGATTGTATCCGCTGTGTCCGCCGACCAAGCCTCAGGGCTGGGGCCTTGGCGCTCTGTTATCACCAAGTGTCACTGGCCGTTCCGACAGTACCGCTCACTGGGCCGGACTCTCAAATGTCTTCTGGTGGTGTGATTGGGAAAGGGGGGTGGCTGGCTTGGTGGGATCTCAGGTTCTGCCCTTTGCAGACCCCAAGGCGGTCGAACTCTGGGTCAAGGTTGAGACTAAGGTGTATGAGGGGATCAAGAAGAAATAATATAGTTATGCTAAGTTCTTGGGCCGTTTCAGTGCCACAATGGCATACATCCAGGTCACCTCAGGCACATGTGTTCCTGGATGGTGCTCTGTACAGTTAGCCACAAACGCCCGCAGGCAGGTTGGGGGTAGTAGTTCCTGTAACAGTTGCACCGGAGTACAAAGCAAGTTCATTTCGTGTGACATGGCTCATCTACTCCGCAGTGGATACAAGAATACTAGTGAGAAGGTGTGGATGTTCTCCGTGTGAATAATCATTCTATCCCAATGACCGATCTATTGCGACGCCGGAGGACTACTGAGAAGCACAGACCCATTGACAGAACCTTGCTTCCGCCATGGCTTCAAGCCCACTCTTCTGATGTCAGTCATGAGATCTGGGGAAAGCCACCCACACTTGCTCCCTGCTCCGGCTTTGCCCCGGTCGCTACCCCGACCACATGCGGAAGCACATCCGCTAGTGTGAGACCTGCATACTACCACGAAAGGATCGGCTTGATGGTCTGAAATGTGGTATACAAGCGTCAGAAGATGTCCGGGAAACATGCCAATTGGATGGGTATAACAAACCCGTCCTGATTTCAGGTCCGCTAGGGCCTCGTCGAGGCATTCGGCGGGGTACGTCTTGGATATTCTGTCAATGGGAAACCTTCCCTCTTGGTACAGTTGAACTAGATGAGGAATGACCTGTCTCATAGTAATAATCAGCTTACATGGACACGATCTATTGGAATGACAGACCCTGGTGAACCCACCTTTTGAGGGTCGGCGTAGCCCTCAATGACCCCGATCACGCGCTTACACGATGTTAGTAGGTCCAGCGCATTGAATTGTACATCAGCTGTCGGGGGCGGAACGCCGACGAGGGCCAGTGTGCCGTCGTGAGCTAATGCCTTGAATGCAGCGTTGAGCAGGAATGGTAGTCCCGTAGTGTCGATGATCTTGTCGACGCCGCTTGGGAAGATGGCCCGGATAGTAGTGTTGAGATCCTTGGACGACGACGTGTTGATGGCGTGCGTCGCTCCCACCGAGAGTGCAAGCTGCAACTTTGCCTCGACAATATCCAAAGCAATAACAGCCTTTGCTCCGCTTTCCTTGGCCGCCATTATGGCCGCGAAGCCGACGGCCCCGGCACCTAGAACTGCCACTGTGTCCTCGGATGTCGGCTTAAGAACATTAAAGACGGTGCCTGCACCCGTCATGTAGCCGCACGCCAGGGGGGCCAGGACGGCGAGGTCTTGCGGGCGCGGCACGTCAATCTTGACAACAGACCGCTGGGCGACGACAGCCAGCTTGCTGAGGGACGACTGGCCGAAAAACTGGCCGTGTACGGGAGTGCCATCCGGAAGGCTGATGGGTGACTTGTTGTCCTTTCCTAACCGCGGCGTAAGAAAGTTGGTCTCGGTCGCCTTGACACAAGCTCCGATGCGACCCTCGAAGCACGGTCGACACGCGTAACAGTTGTGAACCGAGAGCAGAACGGCATCGCCAGGGGATAGAGACTTGTTCTCCACCGCTGCTCCGACATGCTTGACGATGCCGACACCCTCGTGGCCGAGAACAGCGGGATAGCTACCCACAGGCATACCGCCCTGCTGCACAACTATATCCTACGTAGTGGCAAGTCAGTCAACCACTGGCTTGCTGAAAGTCGGCATACCCGTAGGATGGTTGCTTACCGTGTGGCAGAGACCCGTGTACTTCATTTCGATAAGAACTTCATCGTCGCGGACCTCGTCCAGGACAACGTCCCTTAATACAAAGGGAGCGCCGAGCTTATCCACGACATAGGCGTGCGTCTGGAGTTGCTTGAGCTCACCCATGATGTGTTTTATCGGTTTTATGTCTAGATGTGTAAGTCGGCCAATCACCGGGTTGGACTGGATTAGGCGAGGGGGAATACTCGATATTAGTACTATACAGCCAGTGACTTAAGTCCCGGATTTGTGCGGGAGCAATAGCAAGTCCCCGTCACCATATACTTTGCGGGAGTGATTCCGTATGTCTAGGTGTGCAAGTCGGCCAATCACCGGGTTGGACTGGATTAGGCGAGGGGAAATACTCGATATTAGTACTATGCAGCCAGCGACTTAAGTCCTGGATTTGTGCGGGAGCAATAGCAAGACCCCATCACTATTTACTTTGCGGAAGTGATTCCGTGTTCCATCCCTATAGAACAAGGCTTCTTGCGGACCTGGCCCTAGTCACATCGGTACATAACACATGCAGCGAGGGGGAAACGTTGCTGACTGGGAAACAGAGTAAGACATTTTGATTTCATATCCCACAGTACTTATACGACCCACAACTAGTCACGTGCGAATGAGTAGCTATAAAACGGCGAGAACGTAGCGAAGAGCCACTGGGGGAGGAGTTCCCTCCTCCAGTGATCAATAAAGTCATTACTGGGAACTATTTGCTATTTTCTGGCTACGCCACAGCAATATTATTGCTGTCTCTCCTTCCACCTTCTTCGTGCTAGCCGCATTCTTTGACAGTACTGTGTGTCTTAGGACACCACACTTTCAATCTATCTACCTGAGACGCGGGAACAGAGCTAGGGCGTTATGTCGGTTGACCTTCTCGTGCATATTGGGCTCGGCAAACTTGTACTTGTCCTGACGAGTGGTGTGGAAGCTAATGATGTCATTGTTGGCGTACGGGGTGTCGCTGCCGTACAGGATGTGGTCCGGCTTGGCAAAGGTCTCGAGGAGGCGGAGCACATTGTCGGATCCAGCTACCGCTGTGTCGTAGTAAAAGCTGCGCATGTCCTCGGTAAAAGCGGCCATTTCCTCTTCGGTCTTGCAAAAGATGCTGGCCGGGCGAGGCCACAAGAAGGGCAGCGTGCCTCCAGCGTGCGATAGGATGATCCTGCAGTTGGGGTTGTTACGCACTGTCTTGTTGTGCAGCATGTCGAGGGCCGTTTGGGTCGTCTCAAACGGATAACGAATTACAGGCTGGGACAAGCCGCTGATAAGGTTGGTATCGACCGGGTGTGTTGGATGAACGAAGACGACGGCCGAGCGGCGGTTCAGCTCAGCCCAGATATCCTTAAAGTCAGGATGGCCGAGGTAGTGGTTGTCCGTGCCATAGCGGGTAAAGAGGGTAACGCCATCGGCCCTAAGCACGTCGAGCGAATAGGCAATCTCCTTAAGGGCCAGTTCCTTATCCAGGATATTAGGCAGCGCCGCTAGGAAGCCGTACCTCTTGGGGTTCTCGTCGCGCAGCTTGGCCGCAAACTCATTAGCATCGCGGGCCAGCTTGGCAGACGCCTGGGGGTCCTTGAGGATACAAGCTCCGGGAGCAGTAAGGGAGAGGATCGATGTTGTGATGCCAAACTGCTTTTCAACGGCCGCCTCGGTATCCGCGCCCCATTTGGGGATCTCCCAGCCTGATGGGTCACCACCGGAGACCATGAGGACTGCAAGAAATAGCTTAGTTAATGCAAGGCGCGTACAGGGGTTTCGGGGATCATTGTTTCCTTACCCTCGCGGTAGAAGTCAGGCACAAAGTGGTGGTGGACGTCGATTCTATCGTTGGTACCCATGATGAAGATGTGTATAGCTGACGTGAAATATTCTAGAATGATGTTTTGACAAGTTCGGATGTCTTTATCTTCCCACTAACATGGAACAAATCCAGCGCCGCAACGCAACCATTTGTACCCCATGGTTCTCCTCCATGATCCCGGATCTTCTCCGCAGCCATGGGTTCATTCCCCGGATCCCCGCAAGTAGTTTCCAACCCCGGAGCCCGCCACATACTGTCCGGGGCGATCGACCAGGGGCCACGGATGCTCTTCCGTACATACATTTTTTTCCGGCTCTGCTTCCGGTCACTGTGAACAGGGGCATAGTACAAAGCTCGCATGTACAGAGACTTTGAGACACGATAATGGGAGGACTTGTCCCCCTCCCTTAACTAGAAACTCTTTCGCACGTTGCCTCACGTTTACTATCAACTGAGCTGTCATCGTTCACGCTCGCTATTACAATGGCCGAAAAGAAGTGGCCCAGCTCCTGGGACGTCGTGATTGTCGGTGCTGGTATGTCCGGTATCAACGCAGCCCATCACATACAGAAGAGATTGCCTCATTTTCGAGTTACCATCCTTGAGGAGCGCAGCAGAATCGGCGGCACCTGGGATTTCTTCAAGTACCCTGGGCTACGCTCTGATACGGATCTACACTCGTTTGGCTTTGGATGGAGGCCATGGAAAGAGAACCGAGCCATTGCTGACGGTCCTTCCATTGTGCGGTACCTGGAAGATGCCGTTAAAGAGGATGGCACATACCACCAGATGCAATTCGAGACCCACGTTGTCTCCGCCAGCTGGTCGACCAAGTCTCAGTCATGGCACATTGCTGCCGAGAAGAGCGGTGTCAGCGTCAACCTTGATGCCAGATTTATGATCCTGGCCACCGGATACTACGACTATAAGGAGGCGCTTCGTCCCAATATTGCCGGTCTGGACAATCCTCAGTTCAAGGGACAGGTCATCCACCCCCAGTTCTGGCCCGAAGGCCTCGACTACGACGGCAAGGATGTCGTTATCATCGGCAGCGGCGCGACAGCGGTTACGATCCTACCATCCATGGCGGAGCGTGTCAACTCGGTGACAATGCTTCAACGCAGTCCGGCTTACATTATGTCCATCAACAACAAGACGGGCGGCTCATGGCTACACAAGATCCTGCCCCAGAGTTGGTCTTTCAAATTGGACCGACTTTTCTTCATATGTTTCACGGCGTGCGTCTTCTACTTTTGCCGTCTATTCCCTGTCAGATCCCGTGCCATGCTCGAGGGTGCGGTGGCCAAGCAACTGCCTAGTCATGTGTCTGTTGATCCGCACTTCCATCCACGGTACCAGCCGTGGGATCAGCGCGTGTGCATGGCGCCAGATGGGGATTTCTTCAAGTCACTGCACTCTGGCAAGGCCGCCGTGGAGACGGGTGTCGTCAAGGCAACAACCGAGGACTCTCTCATTCTCGACTCCGGGAAAACACTCAAGGCGGACATTGTCATAACTGCTACAGGTCTAAAGCTTAGGATCGGAGGACATATCAACTTCTCTGTCGATGGTAAGCCCATCAACCTTGCTGAACGGCACGCGTGGCGCTCGGCTTTGCTGCAAGACATCCCGAACCTCGCGTTCATGCTGGGTTACGTCAACGCCTCGTGGACACTTGGGAGTGAGGTTACGTCTGAGTATATCTGCCGCATTCTTCAGCGTATGGAACGCAGTGGGAAGACGAGTGTGGTACCGCGGAAGCAGAAGCAGCAGGGCGTCGCTCTCAACCCCCAGCCCATCTGGAATCTCGCTGCAACGTACGTCAAGGAATCCCAGAGGGAAATGCCAGTCTGTGGCCATGTGGGACCGTGGAGGGAGCGAACAATCTACTTTTGGGATCTGTGGCAAGCTAGGTATGGGTCCATTACCGATTGTCTGGAGTACTCGGTTGGATATTAGGGGGCGGCAGCAAGAGGACAAACGTCGAGAAATTGTAGGATCCTGCTAGACATTCCCCCCAATAGTAACGTCTAGGCGAATTGGACTTGTCTATTTGTTTTCATTCTCTTTTTGTCTGGACTTGCACGAGCGTAAACCGGCTTGGCTGTGCGGTCTGGCGGAAGCTGCTCCGGAGGCCCCAGGCCCGGACCCGAATCCGCCTCCCGCTTCTTCTATAGGAAGCTGAATTTTGACATAGACAGGGGTCCCTGCTGCTGAAGGTACCTATACAGAGGTATTATCTTGTTATAGGCTTCCTTATAGGCGTGAAGAAAAAAATAGTCCTAACACGCAATTAGCAGTCAACTAGACGGTAGTGAGGTGGCATACGAGATAGAACACATGGCTCTGGCTGCTTGTCTGCTCCTTTCATGCAGGCCGCGACTGTTCCTTTCTCCGCACTACCCATCTTTCTCCATTCCGCCCGGGGTCGGAGGACTCTCGCGACTGACGAGGCTCTCCTCCGGGATACACGATTATATTCGCAGTCCCACACGCCCTAACTCTAGTCGTCTTGCCGGTTTTCCTTATGAAGCTTGAATCATTAGCTGCCTCATCCGCATCACGTGTCCTCCGCAGCGAGACTGACCCGAATACTCCCGACGTTGTGCTATAGCCTCACTAGGAGAATTGCCCATTAACATCTGCCGTCTACAGCGTCCTTTTTAAGCTCCTTAATCCAGACTTAACCCTATAGCTAACACAACAGTAGCGATTGTGAACCACGCCTCGCTAGGTTAGAGCACCGCCAAACCCCACGTACCTTGGGAGATTACCCTAAGGTGACCCTAATAGCTACCCAAAAAGTTACTATATAGGGCTATACTTAGCTATAACTATTATATAATAGCTTAGTTTATCTCCTATTTTATATTCCCTTTTAGTTAGGAAAGTAGAATAATATAATTTAGTTCTCGTCTATTAATATTTACTTATATTAGCCACCCACTATGAGACTATACTTATTAAGGACTAGCCCTACAGCTACTGCAAGTAGGCGTTAATATAAAGTTAAATTGAATAAAATTAATCTATAATTAAGTTCATAATTAGTTATATACTATTACTAGTTAATTATATATTAAACTATAAGTATATATTTTTAACCTTTATAACTTAAATAAATAATTTATTAGAATCTATAATAACTAGTTAATATTTTCTTAGTCTAATAATCTTTATTTTAGTTTTAAACTAGTAGATTTTATCTTTAGTAAGTATTATTTAGACTTATTAGATATTAAGTTACTTTTTAATTTTCTACTATATTAGTTATATTATACACTTATTAGTTAAGTATTTTATATAATAGAAGGCTTTTATTAGGTGCTTTTATTAACTATAGAAGTATTATTTTTAGTATTATCTTTAGTAGTTTAAATAGTAGTTTATATATTAATAAATATATTATATAAACTAACTATAACCCTAATATTTATTAGTTAAAATATATATTATTTTCTATTATTCTAGTCTTTTTCATAATAGTCTTATACTTAAGAAAAATCCTCTTTTTAACTAATAAATAATTATAATTATTAGAGTATTTTCTAAGATTATTCTTATAGACTCTTTTAATAGTACTAATATATAACTATATAAAGAGGTTAAAGAATATAAGAACTATAAACTAATAAGAATAGAAAGTATATATTATAATAATAATATTTAAAAAGGAATTTATTAGTATAGTAGCTACTATAGTTATTAATAATAAAAAGCCTTTATTTAAGTACTCTTATTAGCTTTATTTTAAAAATAAAGATTATAATAAACTAATAAATAATAATAATAGGATTTATTTAGTCTTTTATAGAAGCCTAGAAATACTAGTTTTTAAAGGGTTATAATATATTAAGAATCTACTAGTATTAAATATTCTTTCTATTAAAAAGTACTAATAGATTTAACTTCTTCTTTATAACTAAAATATACTTAAAGATTATACTCTAAAGTAGTAATTTAATTATCTATATAGAGTAATTCTTTTTTATAATAACTTAACTATTAAACTATTCTTTTAAAGCCTTATTATAAACCCTATTTTATTTATCTTATAGTAGTTATAAAGAGGGATATTAATAATCTATTTAATACTAAAAAGTTTAAAGAAACTCTAAATTATATAAGTTAAAGCCTTATAAAAATATTAGAAATTAAAGTACTTACTTTTAAATATTTTAACCTCTAGGTTATACTTTAAAAAACTATATAACTAGTTCTTTCTAAGATTATAATTATTACTATTTACTTAGTAGAGACTTAAAGTAATCTTATAGACTTACTTATAAGTAAGTAGGTTATTAAAATAGTCTTAAATTAGGATCTAGAAAATAAAATATAATTCCTAAGTAACTATAAACTATTATATTAACTTAAAAGTCTCTTTTTATAGTATTCTACTATTTAATTAATACTAAAGTACTACTTAAAGTATAGACTAGTAAATTACTATCTTTTATATACTTATAGAAGGGTTAGTTATGCTAAGACTCAACTAATGGGGATGTCAGTGTCCAAAGCAAGGGGCTCAGGGGAGTTTGCTGAAAGGGGAAGGACCTGCCTCTCAGCTGCAAGGCAAGAGAGAGTAGGTCGAGGTTCGACTTGTCATAATTGATGAATCTTTTGTTGACATCCCTGAACATAGAACGGAGAAATAACGCCGGCAAAACAACATCCTACAGCGAATAAAGTTTTACGCCGATGGTTGTTTGGTCCATCCATAAGCCAACAAGCCAACAGGCGACAGACGGCTAACAAGCACCTCTAAAAATACGGTGAACGGGAGACCCTGATGCTGGCATGGTAAGGAAGCCTGGCTAAACCGAGGTAAGGCCAGTAGAGCTAGGGAAGCAAAAATGAATAAAGTAAGAATGAAATGAAGTAAAAGAGTGCTCGCCATCCCATCTTACCTTATGGGGCTGACCTCTTCGCGCGGGGCGTACCTCGTTCAGCAGTTCGCCTCATGTTCCGAATAGAAAACCTTGGGCAATCTTGGGGAATCGTCAAAGGTTCCTAAAGGATCGCAAGAGGATTGAAATCGTAATTCGACTAGACAAGTATTATTAATATCCGCGATTCAGAATAGTAATATTGTGATCTCTAGCAGGGCTTACGCCCCACCTGTGAGATGCGGCTTCATCGAACCCGGACTTCGGCCACGGATTAGGTGAACAAGATCGTCCGGCCAATGACAGAAAGATGCCTACAGAAAGATCAACGCGCGTGAAAATGTCTGCCCTGGCCTGATTGTGTGTCGGTGGGGTACCAAACCTCGCCACCGCCTTGCCGCCGAGTGACCTGGGCCCAATGGGCGGTGTTCACATCTTCCCATGGTGCAATCAGGGATTTTTGCTCCCGGAGAGGTACATAATCTAAAGATGTAAGCATTTTAATATAGTCATACCAGGAATAGAACCCCGAGTTAGTCACGAGGTTAGCCAGTCTCACAGCGGCGGACTGACTGCGCGTACGCGCTCAAGGACATAACTCGGCCTTCAACCATCCCGTGAAGGATCTAAATTCCAGAAGAGCCGCTATGGTTGAAGCTTAGTTTATGCTAAATGTAACAACGTGCAGGGGCAGCACTCACGCTTGACCAATACAGGATTAGATGTGAATGCAGTCGACATAAGCCAATGTAATGGCGACCGCCGATGAGACACGTCCCGGCCGAGAGGCAGAGACTTGTGCTGCGATTGCGTCAATCCAGTGAGTCCTCGTCGGAGTTAGAGTACGGGAGAATTATCAATCCGATTTTTGTTGGACCGATGTGTTTCATTGAGGCTGTTAGCAGGGAGAGTAGCTCCGTCACAGAGTCGGATGGCCGGGCCAGTAGACATATAAGTAGAGCTTATCCGACCACTCAAGCCTGCCACTTCCTTATCAAGATAACTTTATTCATTGCAATCTATCTCCCACGAGAAACCATGGGTAAAAAGCTGGCCCAATCGATCTCCGTCACCAAGCCCGATGTGGTAATTGTTGGCGGCGGCGCAGGCGGCATCGCCGTCGCCCTGCACCTTATCGAGCAGGCAAAGAAAGGGCGGATTCTTCGCGAAATAGTCATCATCGAGAAGCGGGACATCCTGGGGCCGGGCCTGGCCTTCTCGACCGACTGCCATGGAACGATCCTCAACATGCACTCAGACACTATGGGGATATACAACGAGAACCCCCAAGACTACACACAATGGCGGAAAAGCCTCGAAGACGGACCGTTCCCGTCCCGAGTCGACTATGGAAAATATCTCCAAGAACGATGGACAAAGGCGACGGAGGAGGCACGTGCTCTCGGCATCGTCATCGTCGCCGTGCAGGCCAACGCCACCGACATTGACCGCGTGGGCGACTCCGGATATACGGTCACCCTCGACAACCAGACCACGCTCACAGCACACGCCGTGGTCCTCGCCCTCGGCAACTTCACCGGGTCGGCCAACGGGCACCTCGCCGGCAAGCCCGGCTACTTAGCCAACCCGTGGCCCACCACCCAACTCAGCTCCATCCCGCCCACCGCACACGTCCTCGTCGTCGGCTCCCGGCTGTCCGCCGTGGACACCGCGCTCTACCTGTCCGAGAATGGCCACCAGGGCCCCGTCACGTTCATGTCGCGCAGCGGCCGCCTGCCCCGGGTGCAGGGCGACCCGACCCCCAACCCGCGTCGCTACGCGCTGCACGAGCTCGCCCGGGAGGTTGAGGGCACCGGCAACCCGGAGGAGAACCTGCTGCGGCTGGCGAGCGCGCTGATGGACGAGATCTCCACAGCGACCGGCGGCGACTGGAGCTGGATGGTGGAGAAGGCGTCGCCGAAGGAGCAGCTGGAGGCGGACCTGGCGGCCGCGCAGGAGGGCCGGGTGCGCTGGCAGTCCATCCTGAACGGCACGGCGCCGGTGGTGGAGCGCTACTGGAACGCGCTGTCGGCGACGAGCCAAAAGTTGTTCATGGAGCGGTTTAACAGCGCGTGGATGACGTACCGCCACGCGATGCCGGTGAAGAACGCGAAGCGCGTGTTGGCCCTGCTGAGCAAGGGCCAGCTGCGGGTCGTCCGCGGCGACAACGTGGCCTGGGAAGGCAACATGTTCACGGCGCGGACGTCGGCCGGGCTGGTGGAGACGCCGTACGTGGTCGAGGCGACGGGTGCGGAGAGCCGCCTCGAGCGCGTGGACTCGCCGCTGGTGCGGGCCGCGCTGGCCAAGGGCCTGCTGGCGCCGCATGCCGCCGGCGGGGTGGTGGTCGACTTTCACAGCCTGCAGGCGGACAAGGGCCTGTACGTGATGGGCTCGCTGACGCGGGGCACGCACTTCTACGTCAGCGCGACGGACCGCGTGGCCGCGCATGCGTCCCGGATCGCGAAATCGTTGACTTGCGAGCCCTTCGCGGCGGCGCTGCACGTGGCCGTGTTCGTCGGTGGCGACCTCGTGTCGAACATCATGGCCAGCAAGCTGGTGCCGGAGCTGCTGCGCGCCGGGCACGTGCCCTACATCTTCCTCGCGCCGGAGCAGAGGAGGCAGAAGGGAGCGGCAGCGGAGGTCCCGGAGCTCGCGTTCCTGGAGAGCGAGCTGCTGCAGGAGCACGTCATCCCATACTTTAGCGGCAAGGGCGCCGAGGACGCCCGGAGCCCGACGGTGCGGCAGCTGGCGGCCATGCACGGCATCCTGGTGCGCCCCCTGCCGATCCGGTCGTTCTCGGGGACGATGGGCAAGCATCGCATCGACGCGGGGTTGTCGCTCGGCCCCGGCGAGCTTCCCGGCGCGGACGAGTACTTCTCTGACGGCGGTAGGACGCTGCTCCAGCTGCACTCGGAGAAGCTGTCATCATACCGTGGGGTCATGGCCGCCGCGAGGAGCGGCGGGGGACACTTCCTCTACGCGCTGCGCGAGGTGAGGCGGGTCGGGACGCACGTCGTGGACATCCGGAAGCACGCGGTCGACCAGGCCAAGCCGGCGCTGGCGTGCATGGAGGACGTGCACGCGCTGGGCATCGAGATGGCCATGGGGGCGGTCGGCAAGATTGCGCGCGGCGAGCATCTCGGCGCCGTCAGCCCGGTTGCGGAGGGCGACGGCGGCCGGCCGTCCAAGGCGGAGGTGGACGAGTATGCGGCGGGCATCGTGCAGGTCCTGGTCGACTCGTTCGCGTCAACGCAGAAGAGGGACGACTTCCAGTCGCATATCCTCGAGGTGGTGAGGGAGTGGTCGGACAGGAACTATGCGTGAACTTAGGCGTTTTTCAGCATGGCCAAGGAAATTTTGTAAATTTCTATACGAGTTTGAGTAGAGTGGCGAGAAGAGAGAGGGCTGTCGTCCGAAAATAGGATTTGTATATGACATAGCAACATATACAACAAAAGCATCAAAGACTCGAGGCCCGGCCTACTACTCTAGCTCAACTATACAAGCAAGGGGCGGGTCAAGGCGCCTAGGGTTATGACGTCGGCGGCCTGGAACATAACAAAGAATCAGAGGCGAACGCCCGCCGTGGCGGCTGGAAGAATACGGAAGCCTCCCGGGGTACTGTGTTTCTTATGGTAAAGTTGGTTCCCAAAAGTTCTGTGCGGTTTGTATTGTCAGACAATTTGTATAGTCACCTGCACAGAGCTTTCGTAACTGATTTATCTACATGTACATATTTACTATTAAACTTTTCCTTTTATAAAAGTAGTTTCTTTTTAATATCCATTTTAGTATTAGTTAAAGTATTTTACTTAAATAAATACAATATTATTATTATTATTTATGAAAATACTACTCTTTTATTATATATAAGTATAATCGATTTATATAAAAGTTATATTTTCTTTATTTATTTATTATTTTACTGTAATAAAGTATTATATTAGTTCTAAGTTATTCTTATATCTTTAATAAGGATCTATAAGATTAGTTATTTCTTTTCTTCTTAAAGAGAATTAATTATTAAATACTAACCTTAAGGTATTTATAAATAAGTATAATATTTATTAATTCTCTTAAAGAGAGAAAGGAAAAGAAGTCTTTAGGCTTCTCTCCCTCTTTATACTCCTTAGACTATAATTTACTACAGAGTACTTAATAATTAGGTCCTAGTTTATCTACTCTTTACTTATAGTATTATTATTTAGAAGGGGGAGTAAGTATAGTCTAAATCCTTTATATAAATACCCTATAGTTACTTATTATACTACTCTACCCTTTTAGTATTTTTGTAAAGTAAAGCCTTTTCTCTTAGTATAGTTAGTTTTCTACTGTACAAAAAGTAATAGATCAAATAAATACCCGCGTGTAACAGCCAAGGTCTACAACCTACTACTGTGGTGTAGGTGCTGAATGACGAGCCAAGTCGTATACCTGGAATGCCACCAGAACCTAAAATTAGGCATGGCTGACTGAGTATCGAATAAGGCATTATTTTATACTAGCTCACCAAGCCCCGCCTCTGGGCGCACCTTCAGTGTCTTACTAACACCACCGGTGACGATTATGGCTTTCAGCTGAAGCCTCGTGGAAGCAGTGACGCCACTAAATAAGGCTCAGCCCAGCACCAGCTGAAGAGAGGGAGAGACGGTTGAATACCAACATGGTGACAATAATAGCTTCATTTTTGGCTAATTTCAATTTGGGTTTAAAATGCTCATTCGCCCGGTCCTTCCGACAACCGCAATACTCAGCCCCAAAGTCAGCCCAACGGCCGGACACCGATTCCTTGTGCATATTTGTATTGAGGCGAGTGTAGAGCAGAGGCTAAACCAGAGTCAAAATTCTTTCTACTATTTGCTACATGGAATTAGAGGCTGGGGTCACAGAGTTTGAAAAAGAAAGCCGGAGCCAACGAGTTCAGTGCACGTCCACGATGCCAAGCCCGGCTACGACTTACCGTGTAGGATGTGGAATCCGACTGTCTAGAAGGCACATACAATTTCGAACATTTAGCTGGTGGCGCCAATACGTGACGTTAGACAAGGCTACCTGGATACGAGCCGCACTCCGGCATAGCCGCAGCCAGCTCTGGCCGGAGACTTCCTGCAAAGCTACAGCGTGAGATTGTGCCTATGCAGCGCAGAAACATCTACAAAGGGTATGGTTCAAGTTACGCGCACACTTCCACTATCCGGCGAGGCGAATCTCTAACATACAGCCGTATATGGATGTAGCGTTAGAAGCTATAAATAACAGACGCCTAGTCTCTTATTGTGTATATAAACACCTCTTCATCCCATCATTCATCCATAGTTTCTCTCATCACTCACAACAGCTTGGCAATACAACAGCTACTACAGCCACCAAACACCAGCTCTTAGCTTCTCAAGCACTTAAACACCCAACCCCTTCCAGCCAAACCATCCTTCACAATGCTCTCCACCATCACCATCGCTCTTCCCCTCCTCGCCGCCTTCGTCTCTGCGGCCCCCCAGACTCACGCCACCGGCAGCGTCCAGGTGCAGTTCGCCAACAACTGGAGCGGCGCCAACGGTAACGCCTGGATTCCGCTCGATGGCTCCCCCGTCCAGCTCGGCCAGGCCTACGCCAACACCAACCTCTTCAAGGACGGTACCCTCCTCGTCACCAGCCTCCAATTCACCAGCAACTTCCAGCTTGTCTCCTGCGAGGTCCTCAAGGACGGCACCAAGAAGGTCGCCGAGATCCACAACCCCGGCCAGGACTACCAGAACTTTTCACAGAAGCCGCTCGACTGGGCCAAGGGCTTTGCCATCAGCTGCTCTGCCTAAATCCCCGGAAATTCATCTTTTGCTTTTTAAAGGGGACAAGATATAGAACGTTGCAGGTCGGTTTTGATGTTTAAGATTGGACATTCATTTAGTCGGGATACTCCTTAGAAGACATAGACAGAGAATATATGTCATACATAGTTATAGCTACAAACCTGTTATAATAATCCTGACCCTGAATATCATTTAGTAATTGATGCTTAGCTAGTAAGCCTTTGACAAATACAGGATGCATACACGCAGGTAGGCATTGATAAGTCTGCCGACCCGAGATTCACAGCAAAGAAACATCAGACCGAGAAGGCAAGGCACAAGCCCAACCGTTCGCACTATAATGTATCCGACGCCAGCCTTGGGCGTTCCAGTTGGCGCTCACATGACTCGACTGGCCGAACCCAGCAGCCCAAGCGAGAGGATGAAGATGCAGCCCTCACTAGTCCCAGATTGGATATTTGCCCGTTACCATGCATCAGGCACAGAGATATATCATCAGCAACACCAGCTGTGACCACGTTGTGGCTACCACCCTCCTTAGCACCATCATGGAGTGAGGTGGCGCGCGTGTGGCGAATCAAGCGAGAGCAAGGGATATGAGGGCATCACGGACCAGGCACGAGCTGAGGGTTAACCCTGAGTACTACTACCTCTACTACTACCCTAGTAGATAGTAGTAAGTATATAAAGGCACTTAAGGAAATCCTTAAGCATCTTTTTCGCTGATTAAGCTTTGACTGATCGTGCCAACCGTGCCTTCCCTTTAAATCACGACAGCTCGCTGGCTGGCTGGCTGAGTCAACGTGCCGAGCGTGCCTGCCAACAGCGCGTGTGGCACTTGAAATTGTGCAGACCATGCTGCCACTGAACACGACCAAAACACAAACAGGCTATCTATATCTCGCCGACGAAGATGGCGCGCATATTGCCCGACCAGTCAGCTACGCCGAAGCAAGTCCATGAATACCCGGCCCAGACGCTTACCGCTAAACATGACATCCCACTTGATCAAGCTACTGAACTGGCCCTTCGCTGGGAGTATGGTCGTGGCTCTGATCTACGAGATTCTACAGTTTCGGACCTGGACAGTCTGCTTGGCACCTCCATTGGCCCCCGCATTGGCCAATACTTACTCAATTCGGTGCGCGAGGACGAGTACCTAGAATGGAGGCAGTCTAAAGCCGGAGTATTATATCGCTCTCAGTCCACGCGGATCGATCTGGATGGGTATGTTGCTAAAACTAGGAACTATCTTGCTATAGACGCTACATTCGGTGCCATCTCAGCCTTGCTTCTTTCCATTGTGTACGCGTACAAAGATCTGAGTCTTCAGACATCCAGTACGTATAGTTTGGTTTGCATCTTCGCTACTTACGCTTACATTATTGTACAGAGCGTGTACTAGAAATAGTTTCTATCAATGTGCTGCTACACTGGACGCTAGCATGCGCGGCACCTCGCCACATTTATCGTCGCTACGAAGTTACCCTCGCTGTGGCTACAATTCATACTTTGTGCCTGTGGGCGATCTGGTCAATTGTAGCGACCGTCCCATTCTAAGCATTGATAGCAGCCACTTGCTGTAGATCGAACGCGAAAATCATAAACTTGATTACTGGAAATCTACATACTGGTTTGTGCATCTGCCATTCTTGCATATATCAGCCATTTTAAATTACGCTTGCAGTTCCTAGCCTTCAAATTAATCGTGCAGAACGGGGCTGCCCTCGTAGCTATGCCCAAATCCGTTCATCTCGGCAATAAGATAGCCACCCACATACGGACTATCCGTAACGGTCGCTGTTGGAGAGCTCGAGCGAGTACTTATCGGCCCAGTTGTTTTCCATCCACGATGATGTGGCCAACACAGTTGCGCTTCTTCCAGACGTCGCTACCGTCGAGCGCCGATTCCCTGCATGCTTCGTAGATATTAGACCACGGCTTGACACCGCCCGTCGCGACGAAAGGCCAAGACCAAGGAAGCTGGCACCCACGCTAAAAAGCGTGGGCTGCGCCGGCGCAGAAGACGGCGACCGCGAGGGTGCTCATGAGTGTGTAAAAAAAACATGTCGTCTTGCTGAGATGTTAAAGTTAACTTCCTAAGTGCTTTAATAATTTCTGTCATATAATCCTAAATCTCTGTTGCGTCGGATATCCTTCGTCTGTTTACACTTCTGAACTTGTACATTCGTTGTTAAGTCTAGTTGTCTGTCTGAACTAGGTGTAGGTAGATGGAAAGCTTGAGTTGTTCGATTAATTACCTGTAGTATACACCTCTGGCTTCTACATGGCGAGGTCGTGAAGCATTATTCCCGCGGGCTAATTCGGACGTCCATCACCAAGTAACCCCAGAGAATGACACAGACTTACTTCCTAGAACATAGAACAGGGATTATCCTGCGCAGCTCCACACTCGGTACTAAAGCCGAGACTTTATTCCCCCTAGTGCTGTCACATCGCATGGTTATTTCCTCAAGCCGAGTGGTGATGGAAGGCTGAATCTCCACTTAGGCAGTACAGTTGCAGAGTGCCTGCTAGTTTCCTCATTACTTGTCGTATGCCATTTCATGACTTGCTACTTGCCTGCATCTACTTCGCTCGCCTCGTTGCCTATGCGCTTGCATATCATCATGTCAAACTTCCCACATCGCGGAAAGCATGAATGTCATGCTTCAACGGTTTGAGGATGCGGCCGCTATATGAAGCCTACCAGCAGTTTACCCACGGAGGCAACTACTGGCGCGATCTCTATTTGCTCGATCGCTGGAACGAGCAGATTCAACCCGTCGTCTACCCCGGCGAGGTGTATCACGGCTACGAGCTGCTGCGACGGGTAGAGAGCTGGTGCTGGCTGACCAGAGACGCAGGAACTGGGTGCGAATCCATCACCTCTGTTACAACACAGGCACGACTGACAGCGCTAGTGAATTTCTGACTGTCAAGTCATCTTCCCCGAGATGGAAACTAAGAGCTGGAAATGTCCAAGTACATGACAAAGCACTGCCGGAGCCCCATTGTCTCAACGCTACGCGACAGCTGCATCATTCCGCACCACCTGGGCGAGACACCCGGTGCTCACCCCAAAACCAAAAACTTTGAGCAATTATTCTTCCAGGCCCTCGTGTACCCTGCGACAGGTACTTGCATGAGGCACTGCGCCGACGAGATGGAGAACTACAGCGGCAACCCCGACATACCCTTCACGCTGTCGCGCTGGCAGACCTATGGCTCACAGGTTGTCGAGGGTTTATGTGCCCTTCACCGTATCGGCGTGGTGCACGGCGGTGAGTACTATCCGCCGAGACGATTTCTTCGCGCTTGCTGACGGTGCTTCAGATGTTCATCTCGGAAATGTCACCGTCGCACCGCCCAGCGACAACCACCTGACGTGCCTCCTCGCCCGGCTCCCGCTTGAGCGCGAGATCCGCACCATCACCAAACACCTTCCGCCCCCGTGGATGCCGCGCCGCTCCACTGAGCCCGAAGACATTGGTTTTACGCCTAGCAGCCTGCGACTCATCGACTTTGGCTTCTCTTTTCTCCCCAAGCCCAACACCTTCTACAAGGCTGACAAGTTTCCAAAGGGCACGCCGCCGCCGCCAGAGCTTCTCGCCGGGCAGAGAATGGCGGACCAGCCGTTCAAGATGGACAGCTGGTTCCTCTACCATGTGGTAGGTTATACTTGGGTGTGTCGTATGTGGCGATTTCCAATTAACACGCGTAGATGTACGCTATCCTAACGGATGGGCCGCACTTTGTCCCGAGGGGCGGCAATGACGAAGGTCTACTGAACGAGTATAGCCTGGCCATTGAGGCGCTGTGCTAAGATGTATGACAATCTTGGCAAATTGGCCGTGCAGATGAATGTTCACGAGGACAGCAATCGGTGTGGACATGCTCCTGCTTGTGGTGGGCTAGTTTAGGTCGCAATTGGCATGAGGTGGCTGGTAGTACTTTCGGAGCTTCTTGCCCTGCCATTTCACCCATATGTAGCTATCTAGTCACTACAGCTTCTCTTTAATCCCGAGGCGCGACAGGCGCTCAAGTAGGCTGGGGTGGCTGTGATGGTAGCACGCATACAGGGCATCGTTCTGGACAGCCCCGAGATTCTGCGCCTGGAGCTTGATCAGCGCGCTCGCGAGCTCACTGCCCTGCCCCGCGTCCTTTGCGAAGCGGTCTGCCGTGAACTCGTACCCGCGACAGACGGCGTTGTGCAGCAGTTGAAGCACCGAATTGACCGGAGCCAGCACCTTGTAGAAGAGCAGGAAGCCCGCAACGACCGGCGTCTCGTCTGCGTGGAAGCCGAAGGAGCGGTAGAGGTCGGGACGGCCAGCGAACGCCGCGAAGGCGAGGAAGATGACAAACAGATTGGCCTATGCGGTGTTAGCACGCCCTGGGGAAATGGAGCATCGGTGCCCGCCTTGCCTGTTGGATCAAGAAGAGCTTGCTGCTGTGCTGGTACTTCCAGTGACCTAGCTCGTGCGCTATCACCGCTGTGATCTCGTCCGCGCTCGCCTTGTGTAGGAGCGTGTCCTGCACCACGACCTGCATCTGCCAGGGGAACCCGTAGAAGTAGGCATTGGAGTGCGCGCTTCGCTTGCTGTTGTCGGAGACGTACACGCGCCGCAGCGGGAATCCCACCGTCGCAGCCAGCGCCTGCACCTTGGGCAGCAGCTTGTCGTCCGCCAGCGGCCGCAGCGAGTTGAACAGCGGCGTGAACAGCACCGGGTCCAACGTCACGATGAGCGCCTGGATCCCTGCGGCGCCCAGCCAGATGTACAGCGCAAAGTTGCTCCCCGTCCGGGCAACGATGGCGAGGAACAGCGCCAGGACGGGGCGAGCAGCAGGGAGTTGAGGGTCTGGATCTTGAAAAAGTCGCGCAGGAAGAGACCGGGTGTCTGCCGGTTGAAGCCGAACGCCGCCTCCACCACAAAGGTGCCGTAGACCTGGCAAGGGAGGTAGGCGCAGTTCTAGAACCACATGTAGCAGAGGGCGAAGACGATGGAGCGGCTGGTGTTGCTGGCGAGGGCCCAGGCCAGTCCACCGACAGCGTCCCACAGCCACGGCGTCGCGTCAAGGTAGATGATGGCGACGTTGATCAACTGTCCCCATAAGCCGGTGACAAGACTGAGCTTGGCCTTGGCCCGCTTGTAGGACTGTGAGCTGGTGGCGGTGTCCCGCTCCAGCTTGTCGGCGAGAACGGGAGGCACTGCAGGGGGGCGCGCGAGGGCGCGCAGCTGACGCAGGGTAAGACATGATACAAAGACAAAGTGGGAGAGGGAGATGAACAGGGCGAGAGACTTCCACGGCAGAGTCATCGTATCATGCAACGGCGTTACTCAGAGGATGGACATCAGCAACAAAGGGAGAGGAATACAAGTAGAATGGTGAAAAGAGAGAAGGCTATCGTCCGGATACAAGGTCTTAATATAGATAACAAAATGTATAATAAAAGCACCAAGGACTTCGGCTCCAGCCTACTTCGTTTAATCATGCAGCACGGGTCGGAATAAAGGCAACAGCGCCTCTGGTTGTGATGTTGGTGGCGTCGCATAAAACAAAGAATAGCCCACACTAGCCGCCATTTTATTCGCAAAGGCCAATTAGAAGCGCTCTTGAACAGAAAGGCCTTACTACTTGGACGTGCCTCTAATCCTTGAACGACGTGATTGGACCCAAACGCTGCAAATACTTGCCTACTCCCCCAGGAGAGCCAAAGGGACATTAGTCAAAATGCATAGAGGCGAGCCAGCGCCCGCAATGGCTTTCGAAAGGATTCAGAAGGCTCCTACCGCGTTTGCTCCGATACAGCTGGTCGCCAAAAGTTCCGTAGGCTTGCATTGTAGGGAAACTTCTACGGTCACCCGCACAGTACTTTAGTACTCATGTGCATACATGTACATGCGCATCTTTATCTCTCCACGAATTTATTAGGGGACCGGGAAATTTATTGTCCTAGTAAAGCTCTCCGCGGATGTTAAGAGCCTTGGAATCGCTGATCGTCACTAACTAAGCCTATGGCGACCAATAAGGCGACCACTGGGGTCCCGCCGGGAGCGAATTTTGACATCTCTAGGCTTGAATGTGGAGCGGTAATACCAAGACGCTGTCATCTTGTTCCCCCAGATGCCTTTATAGTGCATATTGTACCCTTACTCACCTGCCCGTATTGAACCCCGGCTGAATCCTTGTTGGATCCTTGTCCTGTGCTTCTCGGGACGCATTTATTTCAAGGTCTTCCTCCGCAGAGGCGACGTGTATCTGCACGTGAGACGCGGGGCGGGCGGCGCAGCGGCCAATCCTTTCAGATGTCGGCTGAGATGACCCCCGAAGGATCATTGACGAGACTGATATTCACCAAGGGCAAGAAAACATCCCCCCGCACTCGGCGTTCAGCGCACTGAGGCGGCATCGCCTGTATCAAATCCGCAAAATTGACCAAGAAAATGGCCAGGGGAAACAGGAATGATAATATCAATGCTGGCAAACCGATGCGTGAGGAAGAAATAACCCACTCTTCGCGACTTCGAGTTTGTGATCTAACGATCCGATAGGGCGTATCCGCCGGCCGCCACCTCTCACGGTTGAGCTTGTTCTGTCGCAACCGGAGGGATTGGGTAGACCAGAACATTTTATGTCTTCCCAGGCCGGAGAATTTGAGTCTCGTGTTGGCGAGTTTCTTGAGCACAGAGCAGACGAATCTTTCTACCAAAGCACCAATATGCTTGATTGGGAGGCAGTATTGCTTGGTCATTCGCCGAGGCCTCGCGAGCGTCTTCAGATGTCCGGAGCAGCACGCTCACAGGGCGAACTGCTACCATCACCACCTGACTTTGCTTTCATCGACATCGATGGTCTGTCTGCGGACACGCATCATGCGCGAGTCCAGGACGTACTCGCATCGGCAGACGGCAGCCGTGATCTACACACGAATGCACTTTGCTGCGCCGTTGATAAAGGGCTCACTGACATGACCCAGTGCCTCCTCCGCGCTGGGGCGGAACCGATGAGAAGAGATAAGAGTGGTCGTACTGCGCTGCACTATGCAGCGAGGCACAGTGATGCAGCAATTTTGAATAGGCTGCTAGCGCTGGAAGTGAACATTGACGTGAGAGATTCTCAAGGCCGTACGCCACTCTTCAGTGCCATTGAGAGTGGCAGTATAGAATCAGCGCGTCGGCTTTTGCAACTTGGGGCGAATGTGTACGTCAAAGATGATTTAGGAGTTACTGTGCTATGTCTAGCGGTGGAATGCGGCTTCCTGGGGCTAGTCAAAGTACTACTGGAGTTTGGCGCAGATGTGAATGGGTGAGGGTAATAGTGAAGCTACAGCCTTAGGGTTGCCTATGAAGATTTCGTGCAGCTTTTCGTCACTGCGTGAGATTTGCATGCTAGAATGTGCTCCAGGTATGGTAGAGCACCGCTTAGCTACCTCTAAGACCAAGTATCAGAAGCCCGAGGACGGAAAAGCCACTGCCAATCATCACTGGCATAGTCACCCAGACGCCTCCTAAATGCAACCCGAACTTGAACAACTGAGCAATGATTGGCGCTATGACGAGGTTACCGATCGTCTCGACAGTGTTGACGCAGCTAAAAAGGACGACGGAGTTCTCGCCAACTGCCAATACAAGCAAGTTCCTCAGGATCAGGTTGTACATTGTACCAAGTGTCCAAATGCCGACGCCTAGATCAAGTTAGAAACTGACGCTCATATCAACACGAATCAAAAACCAACCAAAGAGCATCATGGTACTTGTAGATGCAGATATGACTATTATCGATCCAATGAGAAATAGGAGCCCACATAAACGTGCTAATATCATGTCTCGTCTTTCAGTTGCTATCGAGAGCTTTACCGACATGATATAGGATCCAGCCGGCAATAGAACCATGGAAGACATGATGGAAAGAGCAACTTCCAAAGCGGTAAGGTATGAAAGCTACAAGGGTATCAAACATCAGTATGCGATGGGGAAGTGTAGCAGAATATGAGCACTGACGTTTGCCCATGTCCATCCAAACCTTTTTCGCATGATCTGTGAGCTGAGTCCGTTAGATTGCCAAGCTAGTGTCATCACCAGCAAGCATATGGCAAGCCTGAGGACGCGTAAATCACACTGTTTGAGCAAATATGAAAATCCAGCTGTTGTCTCCTGATAGCTCTTGAGAATTCGGGCCTTGAGTCCGCCCTTGCTGGAGTACGGGTCGTCTTCAGCTAGTGGGCCAGCAGTGCTTCCGCCCGCGATGGTATCAGAGGAAGACATTGGCCTCTGCGTTGACTCGAGCAAGAAAAAGGCCAAGACAAAACCAAGAACAGCAGAACCAAGGCTGAGCCATAGCAGCAGCCAAGGGCCATAAAGCTGGATCATTTTGGAGCTTGCCATCGTGGCGATTAGGCGGGGACCATAGGCAAGCGTTACCAGGATGGAGATGACCGAGGGACTGCTCAAACGATCAGTTAAAGCGACTATCGCTGAGTAAACAACAAGGTCAGAGTATTGGCGCACCGCGAAGCGTCGGTAGTAAGGCCTGTGATGTTGGCAAACAGCAGAGCATTAGAAACCTGCAGGCCTCCCCCAACAAAGGAGAGAAGAGGAGCAGCCCAGAGAGAATGAACGGAAAAGGTCTGCGGCCAGTAGCCTGTACCGTGTCAATAGAGGAAGGCTACAAGTCAAGTATAGTTAGACATACAAATCAATCGATCGCCTGCCGCGGCAAGAGCTATTCCGAAAGTGTTTAAGATGATGAACGGCTTTTGGCCGTAGCGATCCGCGAGTAAAGCGTATGGTATCGCGGTAAGCAGCCCCGGCACAAGCTGCGCGGTGCCGTGCCATGCAAATAGGACGGCCAGCGCCGACTGCACGTCATTGTCGGCGCCGCAAAATTCTGCATCGGTGCGACCGTGCATGTCACGGCAGAGATTCTCCTCGACTACCTGATGGAACGCATTCCCGGGCAGTGACTGGGATAACTCGAGCGCGACAAAGTAGACGATGTAGACGAGAATCGTCACGACGGACACGGGGCGCGTAAACGGCGACCGCCGGCTGCTCTGTTGCAGTGGCGGAGTGTGATGGCCGAGCAGGGCCGCCGTCTCACCAGCCTCAGGAAGCTGCTCATCGGCGAGGGTTGGCGGCGAGCCCGTGCCGTTGGAGGTAGAAGAGATTCTCATTGTTGGAAAGCTGACTGCTGCTATCAAGAAGCCTGTGAAGGTGAAGTGGCAGCGGCCTTTGTGCAGTCGTAATGTGCGACGAGAAACGGCTGGGGTAGCCAGCATGCGGCCACCCTATTGATCAGGACCATCAGCCACACCGATTCTGGCCATTTCAAGCATTACAATAATAATATAGATACTCTTCGTCCAAACCAGCGCACAATGCAGCTACCCATCCGTCTCAGGTATTGAGGTAAGGTACCTATATTACATAGGTACCTAACCCGCCAACAGCGTAGGTACGCACCAAGCCAGGCCCCGAAGTGCTCTCTACAGCGCTGGGGAATGCCTAATTTCTTTTCTCTTTTCTTTTGCGGCTGACACAAACAGTGCGCCAGCCACATGTCCACTTGTCCAGCAGTATGATCCTTCCAAAAGTTCCTGCATGATAACACCCCCCACCTGGCCACCGTGATAGCACAGCAGACGGCTGTTGCGGCACGGAGAGTTTGCAGCCTGCAGTCACTTCCAATTTCCTGTTCGTACTCTATACTGGCAACGTGAGATTCAATCATCGATACTTAATTTTCGTCTGATAACTTCGAAAGCTCGCTTCAGTGCGCCTTGAGCTCTGTAGCTTCCCCGCAACCGCGTCAGGTATCAGCCGATGCAACATAGTTGGCGACATGGCAATTCCGATGTTTGAGCCATCCGAAAATGGGCGACTGAATTTTTCCATCGAATACGAGAATGCACTCTTTGCAATTCTCCCAGCGAGCTGTGCTCTATTTGCTATGCTTTTCCATGGCGTCAGCAAGAGGCTCTGGCGGCAAGCCGCTCGTCGCAATCCAAAGGCCAAGATACTTACCACCGACAAGGTAACTATACGGTCCCATCCTTCTTTTATCAAATTATATCTAACGCTATCAAAGATGGCCTTTGCAATTCTCCTCATCTTACACTCTGTTTCCTTGGGTTTGTATTTTTCCCTATCCAATGCGTCAACCCGGTACATGGGCTCCAGTGCCGCAGCGTACACTGTCCGGTTCAGCGCAGCCCTTCTCATCTGCCTCGCCGTTTTTCTTTTCGGACCGCACCTGAAAGTCACTACCGACCTATACCTCTTAGGAACATGCATCACTGATGGTTTTCGCATTCACACGCCGTGGGCCGCTGTCAACCAGCCGGGTGAGCCCAAGGGCATTTTGCTTGCGGCTTTGCAAACAGCCATCATAGTCCTTACTGCTGCTACGCTGGTCGTCTCAGAACTCAAGGCCAACTCGAGTGTTCACACTGCACGAAAGAAAGCTGGGCCGGCCCACGTTGATGAGCCAAACAGTGGCACCCTGGGTGTACTGTTCTTCGGTTGGCTCTGGCCGCTTCTTGCACATGGGAGCAAGCATCAACTTGTAGCCAGCGACATGGAGTCCTCCATAATACGCTCTAAAGCTATATACGAAATGGTTGACGACTGGGAAAAGTGTGTTGAGGATAAGGAATTTCTCTCCAACTTTGTCATGCACCTTCTTTTCGGGGTTATTCTTCAGGTTTTGAGTGCGGGCGCAGCCCTGGCACAGCCTTTCATAATCCAAGCAATCGTATCATATTTGCAGGGCGAAAGGAGAAGCGCTACCGGTACCTGGCTTGTCATAGCTATGGTGTTCGAGTAAGTAAAGGTGTTCATCTTCTATGGCAACACAGCACCAGCTAACCCACGTTGGCAGTCAGCTGGCAATGAGCATCCTGGAAGCTCATGGACGTCTGGCATTCAGCCAAATGTCTATCCGCATGAGGTCCGCAATTGTACACAAAGTGGCACTACGATCGCTTGCTCGCGCCCCTCCAGACGGCGGTTGGAGCGCGGCCAAGGGCAAAGTTCTTGTCCTTGTGACACAAGACTCGGCCGCAGTGTCCGCGGCTATTAACATCATCGGAATGATTATTCCCAACTTTATCATTGTAGCTATTGGATCATGGATGTTATTCAGAAAGATACAGCTTGCCTTTTTGGGGCCATTGCTCGCTGCCGCAGTCTGTACGTTGATTCCCATCTTGTTGGGCAAGCCACTGTCCCGAAGTGAGCGAAACTTGTTGGAGGCCGCCGAATGTAGGATAGCAACAGTCAAGCATCTTATTTCTGAGCTCCGAAGTATTCGATTCGGGAATATGCAACATTCTATAGAGCGCCAGGCTGCCAACGAAAGACGACTGGAAATCATGGCCGCAACAACGTTTCGTCGTATCCTCTCTATTGTGATCGTTGTCGGTATGTCCTGATACCCGCCCGGGCTCTTCTATTTACTAATCTAGTAAGCTATTTTTCTCTCGAGTGTTGCGATTCTGGCGGCCTTTGGCGGCTATTCCCTCCTGCCACACCGCCGTCTTGATTACGGTGTACTCTTTACGTCTCTCTCGACTATGCAAATTATGCTCACGCCTCTATTATCCATCATCCAAATGCTACCAAGTCTCATTGCGTCTGTGGTGAGTTGGAAGCGCTTGCTTGCCTTTTTTGAGCAGGAGAATGAACGCGAGCAACCTCAGGCCACGGCTATCACGCCTCAGAAAACGGTGTGCTCGTCAAATTTACCAGCTTCGGAGGAAGACCCTGACGTGAGCATGAACGTGAGAATGAACATCATTCCACCAGCCGTCGATGGTTTGCCTTTGCAAATGAAGAACGTGACATCACTATGGGCTGCTGATAAAACAGCTGTCCGAAATGCCAGCTTGTCTGTGGCGGCAGGACAGTTGGCAATCGTTGCTGGTATTGCTGGCTCTGGTAAGTCGAACCTTTTGAAGACGATACTTGGAGAAACTCAGCTCGCATCGGGGACTCTCCATGTTGCAACCAAAGTATCATTCTGCGATCAAAGCCTCTGGTTCCTTCCCGAAGCTTCCATCAGGGAAAACATCATCTTTGGGAAAGCTTACGTAGAAGCCTTGTATCACGCGGTCATTACCTGTTGCTGTCTTGACCATGACTTCAGCGCCCTGGAAGCTGGTGACGAGACGAAGCTAAGTGTCATCGGGGCTCCTCTCAGTGGAGGACAGCGCCGACGTGTGTCACTCGCGCGTGCTTTGTATGAAAGCGGCGATTTGTTCGTTTTTGACGATATCTTCAACGGTCTGGATGCCACGACAAGGAATACCGTTGCCGCTAATCTCTTTGGTGCTCATGGCTTTCTTCCCGAGAGGCGTGCCGCTGGCGTCCTCTGCTGCACTACCCGTAAGCCTTTCGCGTTTCTGTCATGGAGTGCCTTTTCCTTTTTTTCAACTGTCTCATGTCTAATCTATGTCTTACTGACAATTCTTTTTAGCTCCTTCAATCATGACATCCTTTGCAAACACTGAATTCTATGTCATGGAAAGGGGTCGGCTGCGCGCGATCGAGAAAAGCTCATTTACAGACCAGACATTGGAACGTGAAGCAGCCGAGGGTTCTCGGACAGCTCAAGCGAACAATCTACAAGATGAATCGGGACCAAATGGCCCGGCAGCCCGTCAGGAGAGCGTCACGGGGGAGAGTGACGCCGCTGTGGACGCAGGCGCAACAACCGAAGAATCCAAGAAGAAGAGCCTGGAGGCACATCGCATGTACTTCAAAGCTCTGGGCTCTCCTTTTGTCATTGCGACAGTTTTTATCTTTCTATTCATATGGGTTGCGATCGAGAGAGCCAGCGGTGCGTGCTTATCATGAATTGGTGGGAAACTCGACTTTGTGTAAACTAACGACTCGACCTCGACAGCATTCTGGTTGTCGCAATGGGCGAGCTATGCTACCAAACCAGGCATCAACCTTGACACGGGCTACTACGTAGGCATCTACGCTGCTTTTGCTATCGCAGGAGTTCTAGCAGCATTTATCTCGGTTTGGTATGTACTCATCTGCATTGCCTTTTTCACCACTAAACTGACTGTCAGCGAAAAGGATCTTTTTCAACCGGGCCATTCCAAACAGTAGCGTCAGTCTACACGAGGACATGCTTGCAGTACTTTCAAAGTGTGTATCATTACCCTACAATCATTTGTTTTGCTGTCCTCTGACAGTGATGAACCAGGACTCCAGTCTGTCACGTTGAGCAACAAAAATTGGAGACTGTGAATCAGTTGGTTCAACCGTTATTGCTACTACCTCTGCTTTTTTACTCACGCAATACAGTTTTATCAATGATATCGAAGCTGTCGACCTACATCTGCCGCAATCTTTGCACAACCTAATCAGTGTGATTGCGTCAGCGCTTGGCTCCCTCGTTGTCATCGGTATCGGTTCCCCATTCACCCTCATCGGGCTGCCTATTCTTCTTCCCCTCCTCTTCTTCCTTCAAAAATTTTATCTGTCTGCGTCCTTCCAACTTCGTTCGCTTCGGGTTGCTGCACAAGCGCCAATGCTCGAGATGGTGAGCGCTTTCTTGGAGGGCCGAACGACTATCCTCGCACTAAGACAAGAGCAATTCACTGCGCGTGTCATATCCGACCGTATTCAAAGGGGTCTCAAAATTGGATACTTATTTAGTGCCGTGCAAATATGGGCCACTCTGATGCTCGGTCTCCTCAATGGATGCTTGGCGATTGCTCTCGCGGCTCTGTTGATCGGCCTCGGGGGATCGAAGAGCGTTGCGTGGGGTGGCCTGGCATTGGTTAATATCATACGACTTGGGCAAGATAACATGCTTCTTATGAATTGGTGGACATCTTTCGAGTCAGACATGGCGTCAATGGACCGTATCTATGGGTACATTCACCTCACGCCACAGGAACGCGGCCAAGCACTTCACATACGTCCTCCAAGCGATTGGCCAGAGCGCGGCAGCATTCGGCTGGATAACCTCTCTCTTGCATATCGGTACGAGTTCTATGTCAAAAGGCGGCTCCAACTAACGTAAACTATAGAGAACGTCATATTGTAAAGCACTTGAGCGTCAATATTCCCCCAAAAAGCAAGGTCGCGATTCTAGGAAGAACGGGCAGGTAAGTGGCTTGGCTTTCGTGATTCTATGAATGAATATTGACCAATTGAGCAGCGGGAAAACCTCACTACTTCAGTCTTTCTTTGGACTCATACGTAGCACTGGTGGATGTGTGCTAGTCGACGGTTTAGACCTTGCTGCCATTGAGGGCGAATCTGTGCAGTCACGTTTCGTGGGACACCCGCAGAACTTCATCCCCAACGCCGGCGGAACCGTCAGACAAAATCTGGACTTGGCCGGTACCCTACCAGTGTCTCGCATCGAAGAAGTGCTGACACAGCTGGCCCCGCCAAACATGGCTGCGGAGATCATGGCCAAATTGGATTCGCAATGGAACGAGTGCAACTTTTCTGAAGGTTGGCAGCAGACGATTGGCATCTGCCGTACATTGCTTCGTCAATCGAACATTTACGTGCTGGATGAACCTACAAGCGGGTACGTGTTTGGTGTCTTGTCCGCATGTGCAAGTCTGCTAATTGTGTGTATAGCATGGATGAAGATGGTCACAACGCCGCTATGGAAACAATTTTCAGTGTCTTGTCTGATAGTACTATAATAACTACCACACATACTTTGACTGGTATTGAGAACTTTGACCAGATTATTGTTCTCGAGGACGGGCGTCTAGTTGAGCAGGGGTCACCAGCAGAGCTACTTGCATTAGAGGGCAGCATGTTAAATCAGCTTGTCAGCGCAGATTGAAGGGCTTTCGTTTTGTTTTCTGTTCACGTTTGTGGCTTTCGTTTCTTTCCCATCATCTGGCTGCGAAATTTACTCCCTTCTAGTGTACCCAAATTCGGAGCAAACCTCCAATCTTGCGCGACAAGTACCCATCTATTGCTTCGTATGACCTTGATTGTGTTCTCTGATAGGATGGCTTGATGGTCAAAGCATAGATACTGGCGAAATGGGATGGCTAGTACATAGAACTTTATGGACGTCTACAGGACATATCAATACTGTTGACCCGCAGATAAAATCGGCAACGGGTCAAGAGGATCAGCAAGTAGACCGTTGAGCGTACGCAGGCAATAGCATGATCGAAAAGCCGCAAACGACTGGCTGAGTAACTTAGCTGGTCAAGAACGTGCTGGGCCAAAACTGACAGGTCGCGGGATAATGAATGGCCAAGCTGATGAAGGGTGAAAAGCCACTAACTGGCCACCAAGCCGGCTGGAAAAGAATTCACTGGGGGGGACAGAACCGAAATTCCCGGCGGTTGTAGGTTCAAAGTCCATGTCCTAACATTGAAGCAACGGATCTAATGCTGAGATTAGAAGAAATCTCATGCTCTCGTCAGTGGATAATGACACAAGGATGATATTGGCACATTCGTCGAACACAAGCAGTATCTTCTGTTTTCCTCGTCGCAACGCTACTATGAGTTGCTAGCCATATCTCACCCTAACCTGCGTTGGCATATCAGCAGGCTGGACTTCTAGGATTACATCCCGCCACGCTGCAGGAGCAACCTTTTATACACTCATTATATTGATCCTGGTTGCACGTTGGGCTTAGCGAGCAGTACGGACCCCAGCCGCCGTGGCAAAAGCAGTGACAGGTGTGTTCGCATGCCAAGCCGTCGATACACTCGACAGATGACAGGGCTCCATGGCTCAGCATCGCCACACAAAGAGAAATGGCAATATTAACTGAAAGCTTCATTGTGGCACGTTTCTGTTACAATAATAAGTAAGCCAACAGTATAATTTTCTTATTTTCCTAGCAACTTACGTACTTGATTCTTCGATAGGCTGACCACCAAAAGTCTTTATCAAGATGCTCTCTGTAAAGATGGAATGTGTCATTCTAGATAGAGAGAGAGAGAGAGTCTATTTATTCAAAAACTGAAAAGTCATTGGCACGATAGTTTTTCCAATAGCAAAGGCCCTCGATAGGAACAAGCACTGACACGAGAGCTCATAGCTTTGCGGTCCATACTTCCTGCGTGATCTCTGCTAGCTGCCGCTGTGCTGCATGGGCTCTGTGCTTGGTGCATATGCTTATGCTAGCTGCTTACGTGTGGCTCTATGTGAGCTGCAGTAGGCTCCGTGCTGGCTGTACGGCTCTATGCCAGCTGCATGGACTCTATGCCAACTGTAGAGGCTCTATACGAGCTGCTGCGTGGGCCGCATGCTAGCTGCATGGGGCTCCGTGCCAGCTGCATGGGGCTGTGCCAACTGCATGCGGCTGTGTGCTAGCTATAGTTATAGGAGTTGCTGCGTTGGACCCCTTCTAACGTGTTCTGGTTAGTCGAAGCTTGACCTCTCCAGTCGCTTTTTAGGCGGACAGGATCACGGCGAGAGTGCTGACAGTGCACTTCTAGTCTCAATACGTCGTTATATACAGGCTTTAAGTATACCATCAAACTGTTAACTGTAGTGTTGCTTTCTTAAAGACCTCGTAAAAGTGGTGGTAAAGTTGTATAGCTTCATGGTTTGACTAGCTACAACACACTTGTCCGAGCTTCTTCGCCAAGAGGTTAGGGTAGTCCTAAAGGCTAGAGAAGAGATAGTAACTGGCTATTAGAGAAAATAGTATTATATATATGTATTTTTTTTATAACAGGGAATGTGTGGCTATTGATACGTTGCGAAGTAATAGGTCTAGAAAATAGCTACATGGATAGATCCACCTTGTAGGTATACTGCTACAGGCCTCTTCTCTCCAGAAAAGCCTACTCTGAATATGTTTCTTGCCCGGATCTCTCCTTCCCAATACCTGGCAAACTCTCCAGATGTAATACTCAGGACATAAACGGCCCCAGCAACAGTGCCGTAGACCAACGTCGACCCGGAGACTGCCAAGTCCACTGGGAGGTTCTCAAGGGCTGCGGTGAGCACACTACCAACAGGTGGAAGTGTATTGAGATTCCATGATTGAACGGATCCATTCTTTGTCCCTGCGAAAAGGGTATCTCGGACTAGATAGACAGGAGCTACCCGAACTTGGTTGGGTCCATATCCGTCCAAAACAGCTTCACAGAGCCTAGTGATGTGAATTAGCGAAGATAGCGTCCAAGCTCCATCAAGGCAAACACAAACCCGGTAGTCAAATTCCAAACTCGTATGTGGCCGTCCTCAGCACTCGTAACAGCTCGATTTCCATCTTTCTTTACAAAATGAATACCAGATGTGTGACCCTCCAGAACATGGGTGCATTCTCCAGTCTCCGCATTCCATACGCGAGCGTTGTTATCGAGACTGCCAGATATGATGAGGCTGCCATCAGCGATGAGGCAGCGAATCTCTGCAGTATGGCCTGTGAGAGTCTTTCGTCGCTCGAGAAAGTCATTCTCCAATGCCCATATACGAAGAGACCTGTCTTTAGACCCGGATATAATGGCCCGATCATCTAGAAACTCTAGACATCGTACACCAGCGTCATGGGCTTTGATCGTTTGCAATACAGCTCTAAGCAATTGTGTTAGCAGAAACAGTTCCAATGACCGTCGGATCACATACCCAGACTGAGAATCGAGCAAGTGAATTTCGCCATTCAAGCTGCTTAAGACTGCAAGCTTATCTCGACAGATAATTTTCCAACCACTTCCCACTTGTGCTATCTTGTGAACCGATCTAGCTTCTAAATCGGCCTTATAAACAGCCCCAAAATCAGTTGCAATAAAAATGGAATTTCCACTCGTACAAATAGATGTTATAATGAAATGATTAACTGATGGGATCGCCGAAGCTCTCAATACCTGAGGCTGGTGAGTCGTGTGCAGAGGCTGGATGATAGTTGCCATGGCTATGTTTCCTAACGGTTTCTGCAGGCAGTTGAGATAACAGAAAGATGGCTGAATGCCAATAAAACTGAATAGTGTATATGGAAGGGAAATAATGACCTTTTTATAGTTCTGCCAGCAGGCGTAAGACGGACGTGTCGCAGTGGTATTGGGGGAAGATATGGAGCGCTGGACTAGCGTCGGCCACTCATGCTCAGCACCACCAACTTTTCCGCAGTGTCAACACATGACGAAGCTGTCACGTATCTACACCCTCCCTGTAAAAAGTTAGCTGTAGGAGCCCTTTCTGGTAAGAAGGCGATAATGTTGCTACAGTCCAGGGCAGTTATAGGAAGGATCCGCGGGGTATTGCGAGGCGCGATCCTGCACCAGTGGGTCGACGAATCACTAACTAGGTGACAGCAGCCTAAAAAAAAGGTCTCTCCTGAGCTATCAAACACTAGAAATAACCTATACGAGCGTAGAGAGCGCGTTATGAAGTCACGAGACTTTGAGGAGCGTTACTGTACTACCGGAATTATGTGCCCCAAACTGTCGAGACAAACTATGGATGTCAAGTTGTGGCGCCGAGAGCCCATGCTCTGCTGCTGGTGCAGTCAGCAACGCGTAGTACATTGTTGAACGACTCGATGAGGAAACTGATTTTCCTCAAACAGCAGATTGAGCATGCTTCTATTGCTCGATTTTTCGAGTATATTAAGCTAGTTGAGTTCGAGAGAACAGCCAAAGTGAGGACCCAGTCACCAATGAAATGGTGTTCGTGTTTGCTCCACCATATTGTAGTTTGTGCTTTCAGTTCAGCCAAGTCATGATTGTCAATGAGACAATTTCGTGATGGACTCAGAAAAGACAAGGCAAGGTTAATGAGTTGATTGTGCGCTACATATAACTCTGTAAAAAAAAACAGGTAAGATCACATAACTGAGGTGACCAGCGGAGCGCCAACATGCCGAGATGCGCCAATTCGGTGGAACAAGGCCACAAATTGATGCGATACAGGTTCGAGAAATGATGCAGGTGGCAGAAGAATCTTTGTTCCCGACTAGAACACTGACAAAGTACTCTTTATCAATTTCCGCGGCGGCAGATGCAGCCAACGAAGCAAATAAGCCTTGCACAACCGATTAGCATTGCCTTTTAGGAACCAAACACCACACGCTATTCGGCATGCGATGCAGCGGGGATCTGTTCAGTAATGAGAACTTACTTTTTGACAGGCACGCTGAAGTCTCCTATGCCAGAATAAGCCCACTGTGCGGGAACAGACTCCTTGGCTTCCACCTGACCGCCGCGCTGAATGGTAAAAACAACGTTGGCCCGGTCAAATGTTTTCTCAAATTTTACTGTATCAGTAGTGGAATCCTGAATGTTGAGAGTAAGGCCAAGAAGGTCGGTCAATCCATGCTTGAGAAGCAAGTCGTTCAATTCCGCGTAAAAGGCAGGCTTCTCAGGCAGCGGCTTATAAACTACAGGGGCCAAGCCTTCGTTGTAACCAAATTCGAAAGGAAACATGCGGCCCTGACGAAAAACCCAAGATCTGGGCTCAACAGAGCCCCCGATCACGTCCGAGTCAGATTGGGCGTACTGCCACGGGGAAGAGACGGCGCCCAGCTCGACTAGCTTCTCAGAAGGGGAAAGGTCAAAGTGGCGATGAAGCAGGCAAATGGCGAGCTCATTGTAGACATTGTGCTTCAAGAACAGTTGACTTCGAAACCATCAATATAGATACAGACGGAAGTGGGGCCAGAAGATAGACGTACGCAATTTCTTGCTCAATGATGCTCTGCGGGTTGCGAAGCTCAAAGGTGTCAGAGGCGACATCAAGAGAAGGGAGGGAGTCGTAAACAGTGGGGTCGTATACTGCAGCAGCGGCCATTGTCAATATAGACTGAGATGTATATGATAAGTGTTTGGTTGTACGGGTGACTGTATGAAGAATTGGAGTTCTTTTAATGTTGCGTTTGGCTGAGTGATGGGTGCCGTATTTATAGTTGCTCGCCTGTTGCCAAGAACCGGACTTTGGAAGAAGTTCTCAAACAAAGGCTTCAACTAATCGCATACAAACGCTTTTTCATCTATCTCGTCATTTCAGTGCACTTGATCCTGTTTGATCCATGACATGCCGGCAACGTAGCGTAACTCGGAGAAAACAACATCATAGTTCAAGCCACAGACGGAGCAGGGGATGGAGACAAAGATAAAACGCAACTGCGCTGCAGCAAATTCGATGATCAATACATGCATGTGGTCTGCAAGTGGCATGCAAGAGGTGGCAGACTATGAATTTACCTATGCAAGTGGCATTCAGGTCATGCATGTGTCAGTCGTCCCCACAACTGGAGAACCTGCGAAGTTGGCTCGCGACGCGGCTTTCGCTCCTGTGCGCGATGACTACAGGTGAGATGCCAGCTACATTTCCCACCCGACTATCTGCGCGCAATGTTCGCAAACAGGGTTGTGTCTCTTGTCGAGGAAATGGGAAGGGTGCCGGTGGCGATTTAAAGAACCAACTTTGTCTGTCGCGCTGGATAATGGAGAGATACACGTCCTCAACATCGAGAATGAGGGAAACAATGGTTCTTCGAGGTCATGCCTCGGCAGTATGGGCACTGGAGAGCGACGGTAGCCGAATCGCCAGCGGAGACGGTAGTGACTCTCTAGAAATACGAATATGGAATCTCATGCAAGGAGGGTAGGTATTGAGCGATCTGCCTCAAATGTATCTGGAGAAGTTACTGAAATCTAGCAGAACTTGCACGCATGTGCTTAAGGGACACCAAGCTACCATCCGATACCTGGCTCCTGTTAGACGGGAATCCTCTCGTATCTGCGTCGAAAGACGGTGTTATCAATGTCTGGAGTCTGTACAAGTCCGAGTGCAGTCAAGAGCTTAGTGCACACGAAGGTGCTTTGAGATGTCTTGGCGTTGATCAAAAGTCGACATCTGCTTGTCTCCGGCAGTTCAGGCCGAACTGTCCGGCGTGTGGGATATCAAAAACGGGTTTCACTGTGAGAGGGTATTACGAGGCCACGCAGGTACCATATGTTGTCTCGGTGTTCACAGTCAAAAAGGAATTGTTGCTTCCGGTGGCGAGAAGGGCATGCTCATGCTCTGGAATATCGAAGATGGGTAGGCACTACTACGGGAAGAAAAGTGGTTGCTCAAGCTGACGAGATTAGATCGTGCCTATTCGCAAGTCAGACACATACAGATAGCATTATTGGCTCCTGAAGTTCTTCAACGACGGAACTGCACGACATTCCACTGGATATATTTCGACATGGTCACTAGAGCCGACGATCCGTCTTACTGCTTCTGTTGATTCACACCTACCCGGCACTACCTGCATCGATGCTGCAGGGAATTGCATTGCTTCAGGCGGCAAGAATCACCAAGTCAAGATTTGGTGTCCGCAGGAGAGCTCAGAGTCTATAACGCTGTCTCCAAGATATCAGCCAAGCTGGGCAGTGGACCTTGTGGGCTCTAATCGAGTAGCAGTTGTTGCGAGCCGTGACAAGTCTGCGCTAGTTGAAATAATTCCATTCTCGGACGTTGACCATGACAATAACAGGACTGGTGAACTGGTTTTGTTTGGATTATAACCAGCCAATCGGATCTCCGATTTTGCCCGCCATCGGGAAGAGCAAGAGGAGCGGGGAAATCTTAGGGAGAAAAGATATACAGATCTATATACCCGAAATTTCAGTAGGGTCAGAATCATGCGCATCTTTAAGAAAAGTTTTTTTGTCTGTTGAGAAACTTACAATCTAATTATCATCCTTTGCCTCCAGGGTAGGGAGTATGTCCAAGAGACAAGAGACTCTGTAATAGGCCAACAGGGATGCCGGGCGGCCAGCGACCAGGATCCTGCCGGGAAAAGGGTAAATTAATGACCAATGCTACTCCGTAGGCTTGTGGGAGTGGGTTGGTTTGGTGGAGGAGATCTTTTGGTCTTCAAGCCCCTTGTCAGCAGAAGGAAAACTATGACTAACGGACAATCCCGAGTTTTATCATCATTCCGTCTCTCCATTTCCATCATGACCAGAACACTCATTTTCGCTTCCTACAGCTCGTCGCCCCCAACACACCTTGGAGCCCCAGGATCCCAAAGAAGCTTACAGCAGGGGGCAATTTTGCGCGCCTCAACTTGCCAGAACAAGACGAGATACATTGCTGGCCTTTCTTTAGACCAAGCTGACGCTTGCTTGCGCGCACACCCTGACCAAACTCGGGATTTGCTGCGTCTCTTACTGTAACCAGACAAGGCCGATTAGACAACCAGCGCTCGAGAAAGACAACAAGGTCCAGCATTGCCTCGTCTGTTCTCTCTTGGCAACTTGTGCCACCTCCCGCCCCTCCCCTCCACCCTCGGAACGGCTCGCCAGCCCCAGCCCATATTCCCAGAGGCTAACAAGGGATGGTCGGAGGCGACAACGAATGACCTTGTCCCCATTGTCTCATCGGTGGACCGCCGTGGACCGGAACTAATCAATGTTTACCAGTAGTTGGCCGTACAGAATCGCACGTTGTAGATTATAATGTTCGGAGTCGGGTTTCCTTTTCTAGTCGCGGGCCCCCCTGGCCTATAAGCGAGGCGTTCCTCCTGCGTCACCTTCGCTGCAGAATATATAGGCTCAACACCCCCGTTGGCAACTGCGTGAATGAGAATTCTCGGCTTGCCATGTAATACAAAACGACTGCGACTCACCGATCACGACGAAACTGCGCTGGCCTCCCTCCAGAAGCCGCCCGATATGGGTGGTGTCCAACGCAGAGGCGACCATGTCCCAGACCGAGGCCCCGCGCTTATTCGCATCTTGTGGTTGCTGGCAGCGCTGGCTGGCATCACTGCCGTTCTCCGCGTCGTCGTCCGAAGTCGCAACCGCATGTTTGGATGGGGCGACATTTTCATGATCTTTACCATGGTAAGCAGCAGTTAGTCCCCCAACCGCTAGGGGGGGAAATCATGTCCTCTACGAGTGCTAATCGTCGGGCGCCCGCCTTGATCGCGTAGCTGTGTTTTGTCGGCTGGAGTATTGTCCTGACCCTGTATGCGCAAAAAGGGGGATCAATGCTTACTGACGTCGCCAAGACGGGGCCTGACAACGTCGCCGACGTGCTGTTTCTGAGTTGGCTGAGCCAGGTGTTTGGCATTATGGGGGTGGCGGCAGGCAAGATTTCCGTTGCGGCGCTGCTCCTCGCCATCATTCCACTGACTGAGCTGCGGTGGCAGCGCGTATTCCTCTGGATCGTACCAGTGACCCTGGCAAGTCTCGTCGCCATTGCCTGTTCGACTTTGACATTTGCGCAATGTGCGCCCGCCGCGGCGCTTTGGGACCAGGGGGTAGAGGGCGAGTGTATTGACCCTCACGTCATGTCTTCTTTCGGGACGTTTACCGGAGGTAAATGCTGATGCCGTCTTCCGACACTGCCGGGAAAAATCCCCGCTGACAAGCTTCCCAGCGTTCAACACGTTCACGGACGGTAGCCTTGCCATCATCTCGGCCACCATCTTCTGGCAGCTCAACAACACGACGACCGAGAAGACGCAGCTCACCATCGTCTTCGGCCTCAATATCCTGACGTCCATCTGCTCTGGCATCAAGACGCAGTACCTCGCGGAGCTCGCCAACCGCACCAACCAGACGTGGGCGACGTACGACATATTCGTCTGGGTCTCCGGCGAGCTGTTCTTCATGATTGTCTGCGGCGGCATCCCGACGCTACATACCTTGCTCGCGTGGTTCCACAGCGCGGCCAAGAGAGTGACGGCGTCGTCGTCTTGGCAACAGCAGCGTGAGCAGCAGTCGCGGAGCTCGCGGAAGGGCAGCGCGCGGCTCACTTCGGATGCCGACACGGACAAGAACGAGGAGGGGTGGGCGGAGCTGGCCGAGCTCCGCGCCATGGCGCACCTCTCCATCCAGACCAAGACGACGGTCGAGAGGGTGAGACCGCGCAGCGATAGCGTGGACTGGCTCTTTGAACATAAAAATGGCGTCAGGGTCGAGATCATGTATGACGTCCGGCGGGATACCAGGCCAAACTCGGCGGTGCCGCCCATCGAGCCGCGAGGCGGCCACCCATAAAACGGGACGCCAGGGCGTGGAAATATTGACATTTTGTTTAAAAGACAGAGCGCTTGACGACGGCATGAAAATAGTGTTTCTCGCATTTACAAGGCGTTGTAGTTCCTTTATCTGTATCTGTTGTATTCTATGTATGTCCAGGGAGGGCAGAACTGAGCCCTCAGTTGTTTCCATTCGCTGTGCTAAAACAAGTTTGGTGTCGTTGATTCGTGAAATGACGTCTGCGACGGTGTGTCGTCCCATCTTCTGTACCGCTGTGCCACGTTGGGCACCGCGGCCATGTTGTACAGCATATCGTCTGTCCACAGATGGGCAAAGTCCGTCTGCGGCTCCGACCCCACGGGGTGGTGGCCATGAGGCAATAGTTGAGGGACTGTAGGGAGTATCTCGGGGTTGAATGCGGATGTCGGCGTCTGCAGGGACAGAGCCGGTGTGCTGGAGCCGTCTCCGAAGACGAAGCCACTGCCGTGCTGGTCGCTGCCGCCGGCGTGGGGAAGGATATGCCAGCCGCCAGCGGCATCCCCGTCCGCGCAGCGAATGCCGCTGCTGGTGACGCTGCCGGTCTCCTCGGAGCCGTCGTCTAGAACGATGCCGGAGTCGGGCCGCGGATGGAACTTGGTGATCGCTTGCTGGTGCTGGCTTGCAACACTGCCGCCGACTCCTCCCCGGGCTGCTGCTTGCTGTTGTTGCGCCGTCCGGCTCAGCTCGCCCTTTTTGTTGCTACGGTTCACGTATTGAAGGCCCTGAGCGGTGCGGAGACACTGCTCGACCGTCTCGGCGAAGCACTGGTGCACTTGCCCGCAGATTGTGTCGAGCGTAGGTTGGTTGGAGATCTTGTCTCGCAGCGACAGTCGCAGCATGGCAAGCGAGGCCTGAAACCGCGACGCCAGCTCAAAGTGCTCAATCACGGGAATAAAAACTATTGAAATGGGTTAGCATGCTGCTTCAACTCCCTGACCCGGCTGAATAGAACTAACGAAATGGTTGGATGGCATGGTCGTCGTCGTCGGGGAATAGTAGGTTCCAGATCTCCCTCCATTGCACGACTGGCGACGTGCCGCTGGCCCGCTTGCGACTCAGCAGCTTGTTGCATGTCGGCCCGTCTATGCCTGACTCTGGATCGTGATCGGCAAGATCACACATGAGTTCTTTGGGTAGTCTTTGATGGTCGCGAAGCTCCTTGCGGGAGTAAAAGTCACGATTGCATCGATCGCACAGAAACGCAGACGGGTCGTCGCGCTTGTGCTGCTTGACAATGTGCTGCCTAACAGAAAAGTTTTAGTAAAATAGACATCACTGATTTGGGGCTGGGCTCGGCCTGCCTTAATTCTGCAAATTTCGGAAAGTACGTCATGGCGCAGCTGTGGTGATCGCGGACGTTGAAGCGCTGCGGGTTGCGCTTGCGGAAAGGGCAGCTGAGTCGCAAGTGTCCATCGTCTCGGAAGCTCTGTCGGGCCTTCTTGGCCGGCAGGAAGCCGGCGCCTCCCTGGCCGTCTCCTTGGCCATCGTCCGGGCTGTCGTCCTGCTTGCGCTTGGAGGAGCCGGACTGTGATGATCCCGACTGCGAGCTGCGGCGGGCGTTGTGATCCGCAGGTGATGAGTTGTTGCTGGCACACGAGTTGCGTTGTGAGCTGAACTGCTCACCATCCTCGGTCGGGGATTGCCAAACAGCTTCGCCCAGGTCACGAATATATCTTGCAGACAGGCGTCGCAGACTGCTGATCTGTGGCCCCTGCTCCGGCGCGTCTACGCCATACACCAACTGCAGAGTGTAGGTGACCAGCGTATCAGCATCACTCCCAGGCGCCTCATCGCTAAGAATAGAGCTTGCGCCGCAGCTCATTGTTTGGGGACTAGCAGTATCGTCTTGTTCACAGCCCTCGGCATTTCCGGACATGGAGGCATCGTCGTCACTTATATGCTGGGCAGTCACCGGGCTGGGGATATCTTTAGCAACATGGCCATTAATAACAACCCGCAGTGCTCACCTCTCGAGATCGTTTTTGTCGCTTTCGTGTAAAATGGCTTTCGGTGACATCGACGTCGTCAAGGCGGATTGCATTGTCTTGCCGAGCTTGTCTTGGTCGAACTCGTCCTCCCTGTCACCAACCCACGTCGATCCGGAATCAAAAGACGCAAAATGGTGGCGCCGTCTTTCTCTTTCGGCCACCCGGGAGCTCGGACGGTCGAAAGACGGAGGGCAGAGCAGGTGATCCTCGATTTCGCTCTCGTGTACGGTGCTGATTGGGCTTGCGACAGTCGACGCAGAATATGTCGTGTCCGAGTCGAAGAAGGGCGCCGAGGATACGGATGCAGTGCTGCACATGGACTGCGCGCGCGAGTGGCGGCGCAGCGAGCTCGGAGCGAAGCGAAAGGTCTCCGGGAAACGCTTGCGAAAGGCAGCTTCTGGTTTTGGAGATTCCGTGGCTCGGGGCGCAGGGCCAGTGTCGCTGTGGTGAGTCCAGGCTTCCATTGCTGTTGTGGTGATGGACGACGTTGTGTTAGGGGCCCGAGGTGTCACGAAAGGACTTGTAGATACTATTTATTTCTTCTCGGATTAAAAGAAAAACGGTCATAATGGCATCTACAATCTCTGGACGCCATATTCCCTGGCAGGACACCATGTGGGCGGTGAGGCTAACTGGAGTCGGTCATGCCGTTGGGTGGCTGTGATTCGTTCGTGATGGCCGTCGCTTCATGGACAAGGCTGTCGTCACCAGGCACACCAGGCACACCAGGCAACCGTTCATAGTAAAAAAGGCACCCCCGCAGATCTAGTCGTGCTAAAGTTGCTTGATTGGCTTCCCAACCGAGGCGTCTGTAACCAGTCGGGCGAGTGAGGAGACAGCCCCGATTCCCACGACGCATGATCACAGCATGCAGTGTCTCCTTTATTAGTGCCCTCTCGATTTGCAATGAGCGAGTTCCAGCCAGCATGGGTATCGAGAACCATCGCAAGGACAGGGGATCTATGGGACTTCCGATAGAGCAGGTGTGAGTCAGCACAAAAATAAATGGACAACTCGACGCGGTATTTTCTGAAGGGGTCTACTGATGGTGATTGGAAGTCTCTCAGTCTTCTTAGTACCGTGGCTTATACTTATTGCCTAGCTGCTGGTTGCGCATTGTTACAGGGTAGCTGCAGCGCCGTTGAGCCTAATTTCGCGCCGACTTTGTCTTATTATTCTTAGTGTATTCGTCAGCAGAATCCAGATTCATTTCTTCAACCTTCGTTGCCTTTATTATTGTCATCCATTTCGCCGCGCTTTCATAACGCAATCCTGACCACTGTGAAGAATGAGCTCTGGGCCAGTCTCGCTCGTGCCAAAGTCATCTGGTCGCAAGGGCAACAAAAAGGTCCGCACGGGCTGCCTCACCTGCAAGCAAGTTCAACCACATCCCTGTCCTGTGGCTTAATTGTAACCGCCACTCTAGAATCCGCAAGGTAAAGTGCGATGAGGCAAAACCGTCATGTCTTCGTTGCGTCCGGACAGGCCGCACTTGCGAGGGATATGCTGGCCGGGCGCCGCCCCCCAACAATACAACGAGTCTGGTTCGCCTGACGCCGACGATGGATTTCGGGTCGCCCGAGGGATGCCGCGCCTTTGACTATTATCGCAGCCAGTCAGCGCCCGTCCTCGGCAACATCATGGACTCGGAGTTCTGGGGTGGCTTGGTGATGCGACTGAGTGTGACGGAGCCCATTGTGCGACATGCTGTGCTGGCGATGAGCAGCCTCCATGAGCACCTTAGCACCCACAGAGGGCAGGGCAACATGGCTGGGCCGTCGTTCATCTACTCCGAGTATGGAAAGTCCATATCGGCACTGCGCCAGTGGAAATCCAGCGACGGGCCGGCCGTGCCCCTACTAGCCTGTGTTCTGTATACCTGCCTGGAGTTCTTGCTGGACAACGAAGAGGCCGCGAGGATGCACATCATCGAAGGCCGGAAGCTTCTGGGATCTCTCAGCAATACCTCCTCGTCGCCTGCAATTGACTTGATCAAACGAGATTTAGTTCCCATGTACACGCGACTCGGTCTCGCGGCGTTTCTTTACGGCGGCAAGCCCCCCGGAGTGCCGAAGCATTTACGTCCATCAATCGCGCCGCCTGTGAAGTTCACCACAATGGCAGAAGCGAGAACCTTGCTATATCATCTCCTAGACGAAGCTTTGCGATTCAGTTCGGCCGCACGGCCAAAGATCTACACGGGAGAACTGGATGCGGAGGGCTTGCAACAGCTCGCGTCGGCGCAGCAAGCCCTGCTGGCGTGCTTAGACCACTGGCACGTCATTTTTGTTGTTCTCACCAGCAGCTTGAAAATGACACAGGCGAATCTTTGCGTGCAGAGTCTTTTGCTCATCTATTACAACACGGCCGTTATCTGGCTGGCCACCTCGCTGAGCCAGGAGGAGGTGGCCTACGACGCCCACGTCTCCGCATTCGGCACCATCGTGTCGCTTGCCGCGGCCATCATCGCCAGCGCGCAGAGAGGATCCCCCCTGCACTATTTCAGCTTCGAGACAGAGCTCATCGCGCCCATATACTGGACGGCGCAAAAGTGCCGGCATCCGCTGCTGCGTCGTGCCGCCGTGAGGCTGCTCATGAAGGACGAGCTGAAAGATCGGCGAGAAAACCTTTGGCACTCCAACGAAGCCATTGCAATTGCGCTGCGGACGATCCAGGCTGAAGAGGGGCAGATTGACCGAGCACTGGTCGATGAGAGCATAGACGGCGCGAGCCCTGCATCGCAGACGTCGAGTAGGGATTCCAGCAAGAGCGGCTGGCATGTACCGCTCGACCGTCCGCCTACACTCACGGTCGATCAAATGGAGGAGGAGAGGCACCTACATGAGCTACTGGACTTCAACACGACGCCAGACGGTGCTGTTCAGACTGTTGGTGGTCTTGCCCAAGTCCTCAATGTGCGTCCTGAGACTGTGCAGCTTCAGTCTCCGTATGGCGTCGTCGAGGCCTCGCGTATCAAGAATGTTTTGATCGGAGCGCGGGAAAAGGCTGGCGTCACGGTGACGATATTTCGAGACCCGCAAGTTGCAGGGGATCAGTGGGATGTGAGAAAAGAGTACATACCATTTCTCTAGACCGGTATCGTTGAGAAACACATGGAGCAAGCATGCGAATGTAATATATTTTAAGGACTATTTGGTCCGGGTATCTCCATCAATCATATCCCTCCCTCTCTTGCACCGCTAACGCCCTGTCGCGGCAGTCTGTGCCAGACGCCGCTGCCTATTTTTCTCGTCCTGCTCTGCCATCACACGTGCGGTGAGGCTGGCAGCTATGGGATTATTGATGTCTCCTGTCCTATCATATTCCCTTTTCGCTTTCTTATTGTTTGTGGCTGCTTTTTCGTCGGTCTTGTCCCCATTTGCCTGTACCAGAGTTTCTCCCTTGCGTTTCTTCTTCTTTTCGGACTTGTCCTTCTTAAGAGAATGACTCAACCCCTTCGACCTGAGCTCCTCCATTCTCTCCACTAGTCGTTCAATATCCTTGTCGGTCGTTGGCAGAATCGTGATGACGTTTTTGCGCTCAAAGGGCTCGCTGCATTCGGGGCAGAGGTCTTCCTTAATTTCGGTGACGGCGACTTCAGCAAATGCATGCCCGCATGGCACGATGTATACTGATCGAGTGGCAGGGCCCATCTCCTTTAGGGAGACTGGGCAAATCCACTTGCCGCCACGGTGAAGGAACTTGAGTCGCACAATGTCGCGGAGGGAACGAATGTTGGTCAGGGGGACGTCCGAGTCCGTAGACTCTTCATCTGGCATGAGATACTTCAAAACTGCCTCGTAGTTATATAGCCGACCAGATGCATCCGAGACTGCTGTTTCCATGTCAAGAGGCGCATCGCTGAGCGTACAATGCGACCAGGCGTGGCCGAGGGATTCGAGAATGGTCGCTTTGAGTTCAGACACCGTCGGCATTCGAGCGGCATTCTTCACAAGCTCCCGGCGCTTCGGTATCGAACCGCCGTCGTTACCCATGATAATCAATATTTTGTATCGAGAAGGTTGCTGTGCTGAATTTTGAGTGGTGACGGCTAGACACGACGACACCCACGATGCGAGATGTGGGTCGCCGTTGCACAGTGTGCACCGTAGCGGGTCGCAAGTTCGCCTAACATCGGCCCGTGCTAAGAACAGTGCCGGCCTCTTTTGCGCACTGTCCCTTGATCAACCCAAGCTACCTATCCTCGCACGAGGTCATCGAATCACCACCTTCAGCCACGCATTTGCCCACTGCACCGCATCATGCGTTAGCGTAGCTGTGGTAGCACTGCGTCGTCTGTTTCTAGCGACCGGTATCTCGACATTCTCATCACCCAGCTGTCGCGTCGCCCCCTCGCACAAACCCTCCGCCAACCCACCAACCCACTCGTCCGCTCACGACACTTGGAGCGCACTTGGGCGACTGCATCACTTCTGGACGACTGCGATCGAGTCTTGCGCGATATCCCATATGTTACAGCTCTACCGCTGTGAAAAGTCTCCGCCATGACGCAGCAGCAACCTGCTGCTTTGGAGCAGCTCGAGTACATTACCCGCCAATTAAAGTCTAGGTAAGACAAGAACAAACACATCGCTACATTAGCCCGTTTCTACCTACTGACCGTGATGACAGAGGCAGTGACGATGTTCGAAAAAGGGCGGCTTCGCAGTTGAAGACTCTAGTTGGCGTCTGCCACCGAGGTAAGCCTCTTTCTTGCCTGCTTTGTTGTGGTCATAACTAATAATACCTACGCAGATCTTACCCCGGAACAATTCCAGTCCTTCTACAATGCCGTCAATAATAAGATCACGCAACTCATAACACATGGCAGCGACTCGGCCGAGCGCCTGGGCGGTATCTACGCCCTGGATGCGATTCTCGACGCCGAAGGCGAAGGCAGTTCGAAATACACACGATTCCTTCAAAATCTGAGGAGCGTTCTGCGGGGAAAAGAGCTGAATCTGATGCGACCTGCCGCCGCTACACTCGGTAAACTTTGTCGCCCTGGCGGTTCCATGATTTCGGAGCTTGTCGAGGCCGAAGTAAACATGGCATTCGAATGGCTGCAAAATGACCGAATCGAGGAACGACGCTACAGCGCGGTACTAGTCTTACGAGAGCTCTCCATCAGCACTCCGACGTTGATGTATCAGTTCATTCAGACCATTCTTGAGCTGATCTGGGTTGGCCTGCGAGATCCTAAGCAACAAATCCGCGAGGCGTCAGCCGAGACCGTCAGTGCCTGCTTCCGCATTATCCGCGACCGAGACCAGGAAATGAAGCAGATATGGATGAGCAAGATCTACAACGAATGCAGGCAGGGCTTCCGAGTTAATACTATGGAGTATACGCATGCGTCGTTGCTGGTTTTGAAGGAGCTCCTTGAACAAGGGGGCATGTTCATGCAAGAACACTATCAGGAATCATGTGAAATCGTGTTTCGACACAAGGACCACCGCGAGCCCACCATTCGAAGTACAGTGGTACTCCTCATCCCCGACTTAGCAAGCTATTCTCCTGCCGATTTTGCCCAATCATGGCTGCACAATTTTATGGTCTACCTCTCTGGGATGCTCAAGAAGGATAAGGAGCGGAATGACGCGTTCCTTGCCATCGGAAATGTTGCTAACTCTGTCAAGAGCGCAATTGCACCATACCTTGACGGTGTTCTCATATATGTGAGGGAAGGGCTAAGCGTGCAGTCGCGCAAGAGAGGCTCTGTGGACCCTGTTTTTGACTGCATCAGTCGCCTCGCCGTGGCAGTTGGCCAAACTTTGACTAAATACATGGAAGCGCTGCTCGACCCGATCTTCGCCTGCGAGCTTACACCCAAATTAACGCAAGCGTTGGTTGACATGGCTTTTTATATACCGCCCGTTAAGCCCACAATCCAAGAACGACTTTTGGATATGCTTAGTATTGTTCTGTGTGGCGAGCCCTTCAAGCCACTGGGTGCTCCTCAACCCAACACCCTCTCATCTGTTCCTATTATTGCTAAGGACGGTAAAGACGCACAAGCATATGAACACCGCCGATCTGAAGTCAAACTCGCACTTAACACGCTGGGAAGCTTTGATTTCACTGGCCACATTCTGAATGAATTCGTGCGAGACGTGGCAATCAAATATGTTGAAGATGAGGACCCGGACATCAGAGAAGCCGCCGCGCTTACTTGCTGTCAGCTCTATGTTCGGGATCCAATTGTCAACCAAACAAGCTATCATGCACTCCAAGTTGTCGGCGATGTGATCGAGAAGCTCCTCACCGTCGGCATCTCGGACCCTGAACCCAGCATTCGCGAGACTGTTCTTGCAGCTCTGGATGAAAGGTTTGATCGCCACCTTGCCAAGGCTGAAAATATCCGTATTCTCTTCTTTGCTCTAAATGACGAAACCTTTGCTATCAGAGAGGTCGCTATTTCTATTATTGGCCGTCTAGCGAGATACAACCCTGCATATGTCATTCCTTCTCTCCGCAAAACTCTCGTTCAGATGCTAACGGAGCTGGAGTTCTCGGATGTCGCCCGGAGCAAGGAGGAAAGCGCTAAACTACTCCGGCTGCTTGTGCAGAATGCGCAATCCCTCATCAAACCATACGTTGAGCCTATGATGTCGGTCCTTCTGCCAAAAGCTAGCGATCCCAATGCCGCTGTCGCAGCAACAATCCTCGACGCAATCGGCGAGTTGGCAACAGTGGGTGGCGAGGATATGCTTCCCTATAAAGACCGTCTCATGCCTCTGATCATCGAGGCTCTCCAAGACCAGAGCTCAAACCCAAGGCGAGAGGCTGCGCTTCACACTCTTGGACAACTGGCTAGCAACTCAGGCTACGTCATCCAGCCATATATCGAATACCCGCAGCTATTGGAGAATCTACAGAGCATCATCCGCACCGAAGACCAGCGCGGACCCATTCGGCAGGAAACCATCAAGCTGATGGGTATCTTGGGCGCTCTTGATCCCTACAAATGTCAGCAGGCAGAAGAAAAGCCTCTCGATACCCAACCTCGCTCAGACACGGGGGCGACGACTGATATTTCCCTCATGATGAGCGGATTGACTCCGTCTAACAAAGAATACTTCCCGACCGTTGCCATCAACGCCCTACTTCAGATTCTCAAGGATCATTCCCTCGCCCAGCATCATGCTTCCGTCATTGAAGCCATCATGAGCATCTTCAGGACCCTTGGCCTAGAGTGCGTTTCCTTCTTGGACCGCATTATTCCTGCGTTCTTGCAAGTCATTCGGTCCTCGCCGTCAACAAGACTGGAGTCCTACTTTAACCAGCTGGCAACGCTGGTGAGCATCGTCAGACAGCACATCAGAAACTACCTCCCCAGCATCATCGAGATACTACAAGAATACTGGAACCAATCGTCATCATCACTGCAGACTACCATCCTCTCGCTTATCGAATCAATCTCCCGGTCGCTAGAGGGAGAGTTCAAAATCTTCTTGGCAGGGCTTCTACCATTGCTGCTCGGTGTTCTCGAGAAAGATACCAGTCCAAAGCGTGCGCCGTCGGAGAGGGTCTTGCATGCTTTCCTTGTTTTTGGAGCCAGTGCCGAAGAATACATGCATCTCATTATTCCCGTCATCGTGCGAACATTCGAGAAACCAGCCCAGCCCGTATTCCTCAAAAAGCAGGCAATTGAATCTATTGGCAAGATCTCGAAGCAAGTCAACCTCAACGATTACGCCGCTAGGATAATTCACCCCCTCACGCGCGTGCTTGATACTAGCGAGCCAGCATTACGAACTGCGGCATTGGATACCATGTGCTCCCTCATCCAGCAGCTCGGGCGGGATTATATCAACTTTATGGGGACTGTAAACAAGGTGGTCAACACGCGCCAAATTCAGCATTCAAACTACGAGCTTTTAGTAAGCAAACTCCAGAAAGGCGATCCGCTCCCCCAGGACCTGAATACCGAAACACGCTACTTTGATCGAGGTATCGAACCTGCATTCGCAGACCTAGGCACGAAAAAGCTGGAGATGAATGCTATACACTTGAAAACTGCCTGGGATACTAAGGGAAAGTCGACAAAGGATGACTGGCAGGAGTGGCTGCGAAGGCTCAGTACAACCTTGTTGTCGGAGTCTCCAAATCATGCGCTTCGCGCTTGCGCGACCCTAGCAAGCGCCTACTTGCCACTTGCGCGAGAGCTGTTCAACTCTGCTTTCGTGTCTTGCTGGAGTGAGCTGTTCGAACAATTCCAGGATGAGCTGATCCAAAACATCGAGAGTGCGATCAAATCCGAGAATGTTCCGCCGGATTTGCTTGGACTCCTCTTAAACCTTGCTGAATTCATGGAACATGATGACAAAGCCTTACCGATTGACATTCGGGTTCTTGGTCGGGAAGCTGGGCGATGCCACGCCTATGCCAAGGCTCTCCACTACAAGGAACTTGAGTTCCTCCAGGATCAAAGCAGCGGCGCGGTGGAGGCCTTGATAGTGATCAACAACCAGCTCCAGCAGTCGGATGCTGCAATCGGTATCTTGCGAAAAGCTCAGCTCTATAAGGAGGGAATTCAGCTGCGCGAGACCTGGTTCGAGAAGCTTGAGCGCTGGGAGGAGGCCTTGGCATTTTACAATAAGCGCGAAGCCGAAGTGCCCCCAGAGCAAGCCGTCCCTATCGATATTGTGATGGGTAAGATGAGATGCCTACACGCGCTCGGCGAATGGGATGCCCTTGCGACGCTCACAGGTAACACCTGGCAAAACTCGGCTCCTGAAGTACAGCGCAAGATTGCACCACTGGCAACTGCAGCTGCCTGGGGACTTGGCAAGTGGGATTCTATGGATAACTACTTGTCTTTATTGAAGCGCAACTCCCCAGACCGCTCATTTTTCGGCGCCATTCTTGCCCTACACAGAAATCAATTCAGAGAGGCGATACTCAACATTCAACAAGCCCGCGAGGGCTTGGACACGGAGCTAAGTGCACTCGTCAGCGAGTCGTACAATCGAGCTTATCCTGTTATCGTTCGCGTGCAGATGCTTGCTGAGCTAGAGGAACTCATCACATACAAGCAGTGTGACGAGAAGAAGCGTGCGACGATGCGTAAGACCTGGGAGACACGTCTTGAAGGCTGTCAGCGCAATGTTGACCTCTGGCATCGTGTGCTCAGACTCCGTGCGTTGGTTATTACCCCCGCGGAGAATATGCGCATGTGGATCAAGTTTGCCAACCTATGTCGCAAGTCTGGTCGCATCGGCCTTGCTGAGAAATCGCTGAAGCAGCTGATTGGAGTTGACGCCCCTCTCGAGAACATGATTCCGTTTTGGAAGGAGGGCTCGACGCTACCGAAGAATGTTCCGGCTCAGGTCATCTACGCTATGCTTAAGTTTCAGTGGGAGACTGGCCTACAGCCCAGCAGTCTACCATTGCGCCGCATTTCTGAGCGCACTCTGTATTGTTTACAGAGGTTCACCAACGAGACTGCTCATCGATTCGACATGACCAAGATGCACCTCTCATCCCAGTCTGGCACAGAGCTTACCTCGGTCGACTACTCATTCCAGAGTCAAGTCGATTCATCAATCATCACACCGCAGACTCAACGAGCACTCATGGAGCAGACTGTGCTTCTCGCGAAGTGTTACCTTCGTCAAGGCGAATGGCTTATCGCGCTCAACAAGGACAACTGGCAACGTGACAATGTTGACGAGATTCTCGCCTCCTATTCGCAAGCCACGAAGTATAACCCGCGCTGGTACAAGGCATGGCATGCCTGGGCTCTCGCCAACTTTGAGATTGTTCAGACTCTCACAGCCCGAACCGAGGCTGATGCCAATCGTACGGACTCCGCCACTATCCTTCAGCACGTTGTACCTGCCATCCAGGGATTCTTCAAGTCAATTGCACTCTCTGCTGGTAGCTCGCTTCAGGATACCCTTCGGCTGTTGACACTGTGGTTCACCCATGGCGGCCATGCAGATGTCCACGCAGCCGTCACAGAAGGGTTCTCAAACGTCAGTGTTGATACTTGGCTTGAGGTTCTTCCTCAACTGATCGCACGTATCAATCAGCCCAACATGCGAGTACAGCAGTCGGTGCAAAATCTGCTTGCCGATGTTGGGCGAGCGCATCCTCAAGCGCTGGTCTATCCTCTCACGGTCGCCATGAAATCTGCCCAGAGCACTCGCAGATCACGATCTGCAGCGCAGATTATGGACAGCATGCGTCAGCACAGCGCCAACCTAGTAGCCCAAGCCGATCTTGTCAGCCATGAGCTCATTCGTGTCGCAGTCTTGTGGCATGAACAATGGCACGAAGGCCTAGAAGAAGCCTCCAGGCTATACTTTGGTGACCAGAATATCGAGGGCATGTTTCAAACGCTTGATCCACTCCACAACCTCCTAGAGCGTGGACCGGAAACGCTGCGTGAGGTCTCATTTGCACAAGCATTCGGTCGCGATCTTAGGGAGGCGCAAGAATGGTGCCACCAGTACGAGACAAGCAGAGACATGAATGATCTGAACCAAGCCTGGGATCTCTACTACCAGGTCTTCCGTCGAATCTCTCGACAGTTGCCGCAGGTCACCACTCTTGATCTGACCTACTGCTCGCCCAAGCTCCTAAACGTCAAGAATCTCGACCTAGCCATCCCAGGTACCTACCGCAGCGGCCAGCTCCCTGTAAGGATCCAATCATTCGAGCCCACTTTGACAGTCATCAACTCGAAGCAGCGTCCTCGAAAGATCACTGCAAGTGGCACGGATGGAAATGCATACCCCTTCCTTCTCAAGGGTCACGAAGATATCCGGCAAGACGAACGCGTCATGCAGCTGTTTGGTCTCTGTAACACGCTTCTGGCAAGCGATGCAGAGTGCTTCAAGCGCCACCTGACCATTTTGCGCTTCCCGGCGATTCCGCTGTCTCAAAGCTCCGGCCTTATAGGGTGGAGGTCCAATACTGATACTCTCCATGTCCTAATTCGAGAGTACCGAGAGAGCCGCAAGATTCTTCTTAATATAGAGCATCGGATTATGCTCCAGATGGCTCCCGATTATGACAACCTCACACTTATGCAAAAAGTGGAGGTCTTTGGGTATGCTTTGGACAATACCACCGGCCAGGATCTCTACCGTGTTCTCTGGCTCAAATCCAAGTCGTCTGAGGCCTGGCTCGAGCGCCGCACCAACTACACCAGATCTCTGGGTGTCATGTCAATGGTCGGATACATCCTAGGTCTGGGCGATCGTCATCCGTCCAACCTCATGCTTGACCGTCTCAGCGGACACATCTTCCACATCGATTTTGGTGACTGTTTCGAGGTTGCAATGAAGCGGGAGAAATACCCGGAACGCGTACCGTTCCGCCTGACACGTATGCTCACATACGCCATGGAAGTCAGCAACATTGAGGGAAGCTTCAGAATCACCTGCGAGCACGTTATGCGACTCCTCAGAGATAACAAGGAGAGTGTCATGGCAGTCCTAGAAGCTGTGAGTATCCCCCTAATCTCGTTATGCGTCGCATCATACACTAATCAGAATACAGTTCATCCACGATCCTTTGCTGACTTGGCGTCTAACTAACACGGCGTCGCCTACAGGGCCAAACTTCCGCTCCGAGAGAGAGGCGGTTCTGATCGGCCTCAATGGTGGAGGTAGAGCACGAAGAGCGTCGATTCTCGACGCGGACGTTGCCCCATCCGAGCTGATGGCTGGCAACCCTGGCGCACTTGTTGCCCGGCCCAGGGCCAGAACCAACAGCCGAGCCGAGCCGGACGGTGCTAACGGCGCGCAAGACACGGAGACCCAGAATGCCAGGGCTATTGAGGTTTTGGATCGTGTGGTTCAAAAGCTCAACGGGCGCGACTTCAAGGAGAACGAGGAACTGGATGTTGTGAATCAAGTCAACAAGCTCATCATCGAAGCGACAAAGCTGGAGAATCTTTGCCAGCACTACATTGGATGGTGCAGCTTCTGGTGAGTGGTCATGGTCGGAACGAGTGTGTGGTGTTTCCTCTTTATGCATTTTTCTACGCATCTTTTTTACGCAGCGCTTGATTGCGCACTGGTTTACGCGCTTCTTGTTTCATTATTGGTTTGATGCCATTGTTTAACTTTACTGCACCCTGTTGATCTTTTGACGACACGCTGCAGGCAGTTTAGTGGGCTTAGCGTAGTCGTCATGTAAATAATACGAAGAATGTCTATTTGAGAAACCGATGTTGCCATAACTGGCGTGATATGCCATGTCTAGCCTTGCGTTTGCTCGTGCTTTTGTTCAACAGCGTGGCGATGGTGTGCGGTGTCTCGCTGGCACCGTAGCCCACCACCCTTGGCATACCGTCGCTGGGCAATGCGATTCCCCCAACCTTGGTGAGATTTCTGGACTCTTCGATCTGTGAGACCCATTCCTTGATCGGTGCGTCGCGACTTGTTGAGCCCGCCGTATTTTCAACTGCTGCCTAAGCCCTGACACGCGACGTGCCGATTGATTGTTTATTGCCAGAATTTCTGGATGCGCTCCGTGTCGTCCCGCCCTGGCAACATCGTATCGACACTCTTCTCCTGCCCTGCACACAACTTTACGTGGCACTTACCACTAATAGCTGAACCAGTGACTGCAAATGGCAGAAGCTCTAGTGGGTGAGTCGATTCGGGAAATCGACGACAATTCCTGGTTAATCGGTGGCAGGCTGTTGTTGCCCACACGAGCCCAACCGTCAGAGAGCACATGGCGGTACAAGGTCACGAATACTTCCCTCCCCGTGCCCAAGAGCCGAGTACTTTCGCTCACAGGCGATTTTCAGTTGATACACGACGTTGCCGGTGCGTCTGCCGTCTTTACCATCGGCGAGACCGTACTCTGCAAGGTCAAGACTGTCGAATTGCTGCAAGCCACGCGAGAGCACACCACAATGCCGTGGCTCCATGAACGACAATGAAGCTTTGCAATATCGACGGCCGGTACTATATTATACTGGGAAGAGTCCCAGGAAGCATTCTTGATAGCGTGTGGGCAACTTTGGAAGAGGTCCAGCGACAGGCCTTGGTTGAGAAGATCGTTAGTGTTTGTGCAGAGCTGGCTGTGCCCGCCCCAGCTTCTCGGGCAGCAGCCAGATCACCTGCATTAAACTCGCGCTGGTTAGAGGGAATCACTGTCGTGGTCACTCACAGCTTCCTGCTGCTGCCTACCTGGGTTACCTTGGAGAAGCCCAAAGTGATGCTGGACGACCCCACAGTCAGTCTTCCGCGTCGCTGTGAATCGAGGTAAATCCTACCAAAATAGTCCAATATGCCTACCGGAACTGTTTCGTGCACATGTCATTGCCTGCTGTAAGCAACCTTGCCATATTTACACACTTCATATCTGGATGCAAGGTACGGCTTTCCCCCCCCGCCGTACCCCGCACCCCACGGCTGACCCCCAACTATGCGGGGGAATGTCAACGAGAAGACGTTGACGCGCATTGCATTTCATTGCCAGCGGTAATGAGGACGTTGAACTTGTACCTCCCACCTCTTGAACGTGAGTAACTTCCATGCCTGGTGATTCTTTCAAGAAGCAAAAATGGAACCCATATTATTCCTCTCTGCGACGGTCATCACTGGCGAGGAACATGTCGCACCCTTTGTCGCCGATGTCTTAGTCGACGACGGCCTGGTTGTGCAGATTGGCGACCCGGGCACGATAGAGTCGACGACGGCCCGATGCATCGACGGAAAAGGACAGTACCTGTCGCCCGGGTTCATCGATATGCACGCGCACTCGGACCTGTACCTCATCACGAACCCGGTGCACGAGGCCAAGATTTCTCAAGGCTGCACGGTAAGTTGGCGGAGGGCCCCCGTCTCGAAATGTTTGACAAAAGAAGGCTTTTGTGGTGACCAACTAATAAATGAATGAAGACCGAGGTCGTCGGACAAGATGGCATCTCCTACGCCCCGGTGCGCACCAAGGAGCAGCTGCGCGCTATTCGCAGCCAGATCGCCGGCTGGAACGGGAACCCCTCCGACGAGGAGTGCGCGGCCAAGCACCAGGGCACAAACATCTTTGAGTGGCGGACGGTGGGCGACTACCTGGACTGCCTGGAGCGGAACAAGACGGCCACCAACGTCGCCATGCTCGTGCCGCAGGGAAACCTCCGCCTCCTGGCGTGCGGCCCGAACGACACCCCGGCGAGCCCCGCGGAGATACAGGACCAGGTCACGCTGCTGCGGGAGGCGCTCGGTCAAGGTGCCATTGGCATGTCCAGGTATGTTGTTGTGCGTGGGACATGTCAAGAATTGCGAAGACGGAGAGGTTGACTGTGGATTGTAGTGGGCTTACTTACACCCCGGGCATGTATGCTTCGACGTCGGAGCTGGCGATCCTCTGCAAGGTTCTCGCGGACGAGTACCCGGGCGCGTTCTACGCACCGCATCATCGCAGCTATGGTTTCAAGGCACTGGAGAGCTACGAGGAGATGATTGGTCTCGGCAAGAACACTGGATGTCCCATCCGTGAGCACCCCCCCTCCCCTGCCTTTGCACGTACACCCTGTACTTCTCTTTGCTGACTTGTTAGACTTGACGCACGCGACCATGAACTTTTCCGAGAACAAGGGCCGCGCGCCGGAGCTGCTGCGCATGGTGGACGGCGCGCTGGGCGCGGGCGTCGACGTGACGCTCGACACGTACCCGTACCTTCCCGGGTGCACGACGCTGGCGGCGCTGCTACCCAGCTGGGCGTCGGCGGGCGGCCCGGACGAGACGCTCAGGAGGCTGGGCGACGCCGAGACGCGGGAGAAGATTCGCGTGGCGGTGGAGGTGACTGGGTGCGACGGCGGCCACGGCATCCCGACGAACTGGGATGAGATCCAGGTAAGCGCGGTGTCGACTCCGTTTGGTTTCATCGCAGAGAACCCCCTTTTGTTATCAATGACTAGAGAGAGACTAATTCAGGGGTGTCTGTAGATTGGAAGCACGCAGCACGAGGCGCTGGATGGCTATGCCGGCAGACGGGTCGCGGAAGTTGCCCGGTCGGTCGGAAAACCGGCCATTGAAGTGTTTTACGATATTCTGGTCAAGGATCGACTTGCGACAAGCTGCTTGATGCATATTGGGCACGAGGAGAATGTGCGTGCCATCATGCAGCATGAGAAGCACATGAGTGGCAGCGACGCCATTCTCCATGGCGAAACGCTGCATCCTCGTGCCTATGGCACATTCACACGATATCTAGGTACTTTTTCCCATTACAGACCTTTGTGATACTATTTGTGATACTATTTGTGATGCTAACTCTCAACAGGCCATTACGCACGAGACCTGGGCATGTTCACCATTCCGCAGATGATGGCACACTTGACATCGCGCCCGGCAAAGCGTCTCAACGTGTATCCCTTCCGTGGCCATCTCGGCGTCGGGTCGGCCGCTGACCTCGTCTTGTTTGACCCGGAGACGATCAAGGATATGGCGACATTCGAGCAGCCGAAGCTCACGAGCAAAGGCATCAACTTTGTGCTGGTGAATGGTGTGGTGGCTGTGGATGGGGGAAGACTCACGGGGGCGAGAGGGGGGCACGTCTTGCGGAGGAGAAAGGACGGCAGCGTTGCTTCCGGTCTGGTTTAGTACATGGCATTATATGTGTGTTTCGCACCAGAGAAGGGGGTGCATCTTGTTCGGAATGCTTTTGTATATAGCCCCGTTTCCTTCGATCGGGGATTGACACATCTTGAGAGTAGACTTTTTGAAAAGTCAACAAACCAGCTCTCAAGACTAGGATTTGTTTTTGGGCTTGTGCGCCATATCTACTTTCTATGGGAAACCCAGAATCGGAAGTTGAGCCGGCTGATTGGTAGCCTGTCGATGTATATCCGCCGTGCATGGCGACTTTTCTTCCTGACAACTGCCTTTGATGCCTGCCCGCAGGACGCCACGAAGGCGCTCGCTCAATTTGGTAAAGGGATCAATGGTCAGATTTATTACTACAGTCAATGAGATCGAAATGACATGTATACCTGAGTGTCAATGCGTGATTTACTACAAGAGTGTGTTGCTAGAGAAAAGACGCCAATGGAGGCTGTGGGGGGCAAGTGGTATTGCGGAAGGTTCGCATGAGATCACCTGCGCAAAGTTAACAGAACAAGTCTAAAGCATCATTCCTCTGGCGTCTGTGGTGCAGTAATTGTAAAACGAAATGGGTATATATTCACTCGTCGCCCCGTGTGAATTGACGTTGGATGGCGGCAGGAAGGTGGCCTCCACACAACAAGGTAGCCGGCGCAACGGACAACTATTTCTTCACCATCTTCCAAAACTTGGGATAGAAATTCTTCCCGATCCGGCAACATATATCAGAGCCATTGCACTTCCAGTGAGCCTGTTCTCGATTGATGTTCGGGGCGCTGCCACAGAAGGCGCTATCATCTCGGCGCAGCAATCGGCTCGTGGCAAAGACGGGACAGAGAGCGCGACCGGCCTCTTTTCTCGTCAATTACCTCTACGGACACTATTGTATAACTTTTACCAGACATTATCATGTCATGACCTTCTCAGGAGCGGCTCTGGATCAGAAGCGGAGGCGACACCCTCCAAGCAATCTGGCCTTTAGCCTCACGGTCTGTCATGCTTGACACCAAGGATTCACCACTAGGATTTCAGACGAACGGCCAAGCAGGAAGTACCCCTGCCTTGCATTATTCTGTGCGAAACACGCCACACACTCACTCTACAGGATTGCGGGAGAGTGCTTGAGTGCCCAAGTGCCTTACAACAAGCCTGCCCCCATCCGCCGTCTGGCCCCTAAGGATCGACCAGCGACGCCGCGTGCGAGACGGCATTGTCAAAAAAAAAAACAGGGAAGTTGGCCGTGTGCCGGTCGGGAAGTGGAGGGCTGGCTCGACTGGCCTTGTGAGGAAGGGGTCTCGGCCGAAGGATGTCGTCGGGTTGATCTACGCTGTGCCGCTGCCAGCTGGACTACAGACGAGCGGATTCACCCTCTTCGGCCCCTCAAGTTCGTTCACAGGAGTATCTTGTCCGAGAATTTGCCTAACGTGCAGTTGATACTATCATCTGATTGGCTTTAGGACTTTCGCGATCTGGGCTCCCTGCCGGAAAGCCGCCTCGGACGCTAGCTGTAGACCGTCGACTGCATTAGCGAGTTCGTTTATTAATGTCGTGCTTCCCTTTGTCTCGTCAATGCCCGCCCTTCTAATGGCTGCCCATTGGATTATAAATTCGACCTCGCGAAGAAACTGCTAATGGCCACACCGCAATGTACGTGGGTGAGTCCTACACACGACTTGCCCACTCACTCACTCGCGACTTCACTTCATACCCACTGTCAGCTTATCTACTACAAATGAGAACAAATACCACGTAAATCATGCATAATCACCATGAAGAATCAAGGCTTTCTATTATGTTACATCGCTCATTATTTCCATGCTCTATATGTAGGTATCCATCCATCTAATAATGATGCTATTGGTACTGCTCCTCATTGTAATGTGGGCATCTGCAAGCCTGAAAACAACGTACTCTCACGCTGCTCCAACTCAACCATCGCCATTTTTGTAAACGCGCAAATCGAGCTTGACCTAGCAACCGACCGGCCCTTCTCCATGCCTAATCCAGGCCGGACCTTGGCCGCGCATCGCGAGATGGAGGCCTGGAGGTGCTGCACGGCCTGGCCCACCAGTTGCAGGTTGATCTCTGCCACGGCTCGATGGGGCATCTCCAAGCGCACATTGCCCACGCTGCTGATGAACGGCACGTTGTTTGCCGTGGTGGAGGGGAGGGGGCCGGCGATTTGCGTCCCGGTCGGCGGGATGCCGAGGTGCTGCTGCTGCTCGAGCCGGTCGACCTTGGGAGGAGGGGGGCCCAATTCGCGTCGAAGTAGGCCGACGAGACACTCATACGCCTGGATGAGACTCATGTAACAGCTAGACAGCAGCATGTGCGTGACGGAGCTGCTTCCCGCGGACGACGAGGAGGCGTCCAGCCCCGCGGCGATGTCGTCAACCACTTTCACGAAGGTGTCGGTGATGCGGTAAATCTCCTCGACGTCCTGTGGGAAGCTGGAGCATGACGAGAGAGCCCTCACAAGGTTCAGTAGCTGCCCTTGGGCATCCAGCAGCACGTACTCGGCCACTTCCATGGAGGCCACCGAGTTGTGGCTCGAAGAGGGGGCGGAGTCAAAGAATATATGCTCCAGCGGCTCCTGCGACACCGTAGAAGGCGGCGTTACTGAGAGCTTTGACGCGCTATTGGTCATGCTGCTGCTCATGACGTCTTGAAATAGGTCGTCCATGAAGACCATGGAGTTTGCGCCGTCGCTGAATGAGCTCTCTGAGCCAAACAGTTCAAGCTCGGAGAAGTTGACGGGGAGTTGCAAGTGGAAGGCATCCTGGGCAGTCAGGGCTGGGGATGTTTGCCCAGGAATGATGGGATTGACAGTCGGCGGACCCGTGCAGGATGGTAGCGGCACCACCGTGTTGCACCAATTTGACTTTTCGTAGGAGGACCTGGATGATGGCTTGTTGCGGTTGGTTGCGTTCTTTTGCTTGCTTCCAGCCGGTCGGCCGGTACGACCGGGAGGGCTGTAATGACATGAGAAACCCAGACGGGTGCAGCGCACGCAGACTTGGGAGCGTGGCGACCGAACACATCTCGTCTTCATCGCATGGCAGCGATCGCAAGCTTCACGACTCGGTCCCATTTTAGTTGGATGATGGTATGAGGTTGGGTGTGAGGGTGAGGGTGAGGGTTTGTAGAAGGGTTATAAGTAAGAGGTTGTAAGTGAGGTTGCGTCTGGCATGTAAGTGGTTGATCGGTTGCAAGGAACCTGACTAGTTTGGCGTTGAAGATGGCTGAAGATCACACAGACGGCAATCGTGGTGGCTTGATTTAAACAGGGTCGCCCATATTTTTTGAGACGAGGCATGGCTTGATACTTATTAGAAATCGAGATGGCCTCGCGGGACTTGTCATCTGGGAGAGATCTTCGCTGCACCAACTATAACGAGATTGGGGCAAGGAGAAGCTTCATCACCTGGTCGAATTCTGGAAAGGCGTAGACTTACCGCGCGCTAGCCTCTCAAACGGCCTTACTTACAGTGTTATTTACAGATGCCGGCACACTCGACATCCGGCAGGCTGATGCCCCCCCTTAGCTAGCTTGTTCCGCCTTGTTCCTGACGATGATGGGGGTGGTTGTGTGAGATGAGTGGCGGGCAGTGCTTGCTGCGTGGCAATATCACAAGCATTTGGATTCCAACGAGCTGCTTCAACCCATGAGAACAAAAAAAGAAAAAATATTGAGAAAGTGTCTAGTAGTTGTCAACCAGACGTCAAATCCCCGTGTACTGTACTCACAAACTCGCTCACGACATTGGCCCGGAACCAACTGCTACAGCAATCTGTTGTAGCAAGCTAGACCGTCGCAACCGCTTCAGACTGGCATACAGCCAGTACAACCAACGTCGGATTGGCTCATCGGACAGTTGCCGAACCTTGTGGGCAGGCAATACCTCCCAATCGCCAGCCCTAACGTACAATGCAAGCCTCGTCCGGGCGACGGCCGAGACTTGGTCTCCTGGCAGCGAACGTCTCGTCCCATATTGCTGGTCCCTGTTAAGATCAACACTGGCATTGGTCACGGAGAGCTCAGGCCATCCATCATGATAACTTACAACGAATGTCCTGGTCAGCGCTAGCTTTCAGAAGGTCTGCCGCGCGCGAGGCTCCACAGGCCTCATTCTCTGTGTGGTCAAACTGGCCACCACGAGTTGACAAATAGGTAGGCTTCGCCGCAAAGGTCCATAGACCTGCATCCCATTGCTTCAAGTCTTCTAGACCAGCAAGGTGCCAGCGAACCTGGGGAACGCGCTCTGGCCAGCTCGGCACTCACTCATATCTTGGCTACCGATCTTTTCGTGCTGGCAGCCTCTCGCGGGCTGGTGGAGTGCTATTTGGTGAGAGACCAGGTGAGCGGGCCTGAAAGCAGTCAAGGAGTTGATTACGTAGTGTGAGCAAATAGAAGTATTCAGGGGGCTTTACAAACAAGTCTGATGGGGGTTCGACAGCAGAGGCAAGACGCCACGAGCCATTAGGTGTGTAACAAGCCTTCAATGGCGTCCTCAAGCAGCTTCCTGATCTCTTACCTCTCTCCCTTTGCTCGATGCCTCGCGGTAACGGTGTCTGGCAATGCGCGAGAAATCAGTGGCCCCCACCAGCCTGTGGCTGCATCTCCAATGCCACACCTTGTTTGGGTCAGCGAGATGCGCTCGCACCTGCCAACTAAAATAGAGGGTGCTGACCAGTTTAGATGACAAGCACAGTCTAACTAGCAACTCTGTAACTTGGGTGGTGGGGGTCACCGAATAGTAGTAGTATAGTACCCGGGCCAGACTACAGGCTTTTCCGGCAAGGACGACACCAAAATAGCTTCACGCATCGGTTTTTTCTAGTCTCGGCGTGGCAAATCTCCTGAGTTTTTCGGTGCACCAATTACCAAGAAGTCGGTGTCGCCTGGCGGTGAATATAAGTACAAGTCCACTCCTTATCAGGAAAAGTTTGATCAGAAACAGGAACCTTGTCAGAAAGGCGAAGATGACAGTGGCGATGGTTTTCCAACTTGGACGACAAGTTCACGATGATGGGAAAAGAACTCAGTGAGACAGATCTCGGGCCAATTACTGCCCCTACCCCTACTGGCACTGGCACCGGGTACAGCCGGCTCACGCAAGGCGAGATTTCCAGGGCCGATCCTTGGCAGATTAGGCATATTAAAGACCCAAAATTGTAGTAAATATTTCCAGGGACGAATGTGCCAAATTTAGCGAGTGCTCGGTATTGAGCAATTACGAGGCGACTCAGCTACTGTTCTTGACAAGTCCCGTTGGCATGTGTGCACATGTTGCAATGCACTGCTACTCAACTTGATATTGTTTCCTTCTTCGCTTTTTCGCCATCTAGTAAGCAGCCTCATGCGGTTCTAGAGCCACTCCGCTACTGCCGGAGCTATTCGTCGTCCGAGGTAACAGAGCAATTGATGTTGATGATTGTCACAAAGACACTGTCCAACTTTTACCAAGGTTTAACAATACAATCTAGGACGATACAACTGTATTTTAAGTTTTTATAATATTAAAGTGATTTTCTCTGGTATTTGGGACAAAACAAAGGGAGCGCTTTACGAAAACGAACAGACATAGTCACCTGGCCACCCTGCAAATTAACTTATAATTGTACAAGCACCCTGATTTTCTCACATCTCCCCAATTCATCACCATCCCTCCACCACCTGGACGCGCATTTCCATTCCGCCGTCGGGCTTCGCCACGACGCTCGGGTTGATCTTGATGTTGCTCGCGTCCAGCATCGCCTTATTCTTAAGCTCAAACTTGAACCGTCCGATCCATGCCGCCGCCAGGCACGCGAGCTCCGACTTGGCAAACGCGCCGCCGATGCAGCTGTGCGGGCCGTGCAGGAACGTCATGAAGGCGTAGTTGCTCGTCGCGCCGCCGCTGGCCGGGTTCGTCGCGTTGGTGCCGCCGTTCTCCGGGCTCAGCCAGCGCTCCGGGTTGAACTCGTGCGCGTCGTCCCCCCACTGCTTGGGGTCCGTGTTGGTCGCCCAGGGGACGAGCACCAGCAGCGTGTCCTTGGGGATGAACTGGCCCTGGATCGTGGTGTCGTGCATCGCGACGCGCACCGACTGCGCCACGGGGCTGTGCGCCCGCAGCACCTCGCTGCACACGGCGTTGAGGTACGGCATCGAGTCTATGACGGCGCTGGTAACCTCGACGTCGCTGTCCGGCGAGGGGAGCGTGTCGCGGACCTCCTTGCGCAGCCGCTCCTGCATGTGCGGGTACTTGGCCATGAAGTACGTCACCCAGATGAGCGACGAGGCCGTCGTCTCGTGGCCGGCGGACAGGAAGGTCATCATCTGGTCGACGAGCGCGTCCTCGGAGAACAGCCGGCCGCCCAGCGCCACGGTCAGGATGTCCAGGCCGGCATCCTCCTTGTTGTCCAGTAGCCGGCGCTTCTCCCGGATCAGCTCCTTGGCGACGCCGCGGATGTGCGCCGAGGCGCGCTTCGCGTCCCGCACGCGCTGCAGCGGCAGGTGGTCCATGATGATGTCCGGCAGGAACGCGCGCATGCCGATCAGCACCATGTCGGCCTCGTCGGGCTGCAGCAGCTCGTAGCTCTTGGCCAGCGGGTTCTCCGGGTCCTTGATGGAGCCAAAGTCGACGCCGACGCCGGCGAGGCCGATGATGTCGAGCGCGCAGCGCGCCGTCCAGCCGGAGATGTCCACCTCCTGGTAGCCCGCGGCGTCGGCCTGGGCGGTCATCTCGCGGACGGACTCGCACGACTTGCGCCAGAAGAGGGGGTACAGGTCCTTGATGTGGCGGAAGGAGAAGGCAGGCAGCATGTCGCGGCGCTGCTTCTTGTGCACGTCACCCTCGACGGTGAGGAGCGCCCAACCGATGATTTGGGCGAGGAACTTGCGCGCGAAGAGTGGCTTCTCGAAGCTGTAGCACTTGGTGACGAGGAGCTCGGAGAGGGCCTGCGGGGAGTTGACGATGACCATTTCTTGGTTGAAGTGCCACATGACGCGAATCAAGCCGTCGTTGGGGCTTTCGCTAATCCTACAAGCAGTGTCAGTGAGTCGAGTTGATGCGGTTTGCGGACCTGTGTCACCAACCAATCCTTTGCCATGACGCCAACGCCCTTTTTACGCATGTTGATTCCATGGCCGATGAGTGGTAGTCCGCCCTTGACCTGGGGCAGGTGTCGAAGAGGCGAGACGAAGAAAGGGTAGACGAGGATCGCATATGCCGAGTATATGGTGGCCTGTGCGGCGAATAGAGCGAAGAAGACAATGACGGATTGCGCCCTATTGTCAAGCAGATTAAGAAACTTGATGAGCACGCTGCCAAGCAGGCTGATGCCCGCCATGTGTTTCAGCGGTATAAATCGAATGGCTGCCATGATGGGCTGGGTGGTCTGAATGGGCTCGTATCGCGATCAATAGTTAACCACGGCTTGCAGTCTGCTGTGATGCAAAACAAGATCGAGATACTAGCCACAATTCTCGTCCTGGGACTCGCATCCCTTTAAACTAGGCCTCCCGAAGCTGCACCGCGGCAAGTCGGCGAGGTGGAGACGCTGCAAAGCCGGTAGCGCGCGGGGTCGCAAGAGGGGGCCGGACCGGGAATGCAAGCGGCCTAGCTCTGCTCCGTGCGGCGACTCATATGTGTCCGTTCAACAACAGGGCTTGTTCTAACTCTAACCCCTTACGGCTTGCCCTACCAGGCTTTGGGTCTACCCTTACCCCCTGCGATTGAATAACGTGGTGTGCTGCGTACGCTTCCCCGCATGGCACTTTGCATCTCGCCGTACCCCGAGTCAGCCATTACCGAGCATTGCATGGACATCATCTCAGGTGGATTCATGTTATTCTCATTTGCTAATTCTGTTGGGGCGGAAAGCTCTCCCTGCCCTTATTACCCTCACCTTCACCTTGAAACACAGTTGCCCCTCTTGCACGTGTAAAATCATTCAAGTCGTGACGTATTTTTTGACATGTGATCAGGGTCGTGAGCCAAACCGCTGTATTTGACGCGTCTGGAGTTACGAATCATCGTGTGCCCGCGCACGGCTATTGATTGGTGCATCAAGGTTTTCCTGGAAGCCCCAGGGTTGACCGTACAGGATACACACGTTACTCAGACTTCTGACACATGCAGCCAGAAACCGGCACCTTGACTTCTTGGAGACGGAGGGCTCGATCACGTAAACATGTAAGCCATGACTTTGTCACATGGGAATTGCGAGACCATGTCCCAACGACTCCTTTTGTCGTGAACTCATGCGGCCGTTCAGTATTGTTTGTTTGAGCTCCTCTGTCAGCTCTGTCAAGACGGCACATGTGAAGATTATGAAATGCCAGGACACGGCGTGTATTGTTGCTGCCCGAACTGTTGCCGGGAACAAGATAACCCCTTGTCTAAAAATTCTGACCTGTATCACCAATTGACTTCGACAGCCTTTCTACTGCCCATGATGCCCCAGAGTCCCTACGACTGTTGTGAAACGCGGGTACAGGGCCGGTTGCTGGAAGAGGCTCAGAGAGTAAAAGGGTAGCCGAGTCAGCTGAAACTGCAGAATACTGCACCGAGAACAAAATATCACGTGGGAATTGTGTGCACTATTCAGAAAGTAGGCACACAATATGACTTCTGATTCTGTTGAGACGGGGAGACGAAAAGCTGCCTTGTAGATGGCACTGTTGCTGTCGTTCAAGCCCCAATACTGGTGACTAGGCTAGACAACAACACATTGTGCAATGACTGGGCCGAGACTATAGTCATATTCCGTCCTATTGATACCACTAGCATAATTTATAACCTGAAGCCCTAGTTTCTTGTGATTTGTAACAGAAGATACGCGGAACCACCACAAGTGATCACCAGTGGTGGCCTGTCTGCTGGTAGGGACTACAACACTGGCTCAGTATGCGACAAGAAGCCAACCTTCGACAAAACATCGAAATAAACAGAATAGCTTCTTTTCTCTCGGCCTAAAAATTGCATACTAACCAGGTCATCCCATATTCAGCATGCAAAGAAAATTATTCTCCGTTACCTAGAGGAGGGACGGCAAGGCGGTAAGCAGACGTGGTCATCAAAAGTATAAAATATTGAGAAAACTGCAGTTTGTTTAATAAGCAAATCCGAATCTGACTTATCCTCTGGCGGTTTATCAATAGTGCCTGGATGTTTATTCTATTACAGCCGTGGCATTCTCAAGAGTCTTGGAGGAGGTTGTCGTAGCGAAATCCTTGAGGGGGCTGTTGCTTCTCGTCCACCACAGAACGTTGTGTTTTCGTAAGAAAAAAAAAAGAAAAGAATCAACAGAATGGAGGACAACAGCATCGAAAAATGAAAAGGGAAAGAATCCTTCTAGTCGTAGCTAGTGAAAGTAGTGACAGGGACATCATCTCTGCTGACCTTGCTCTCATTGGTGCGTTTTCACGGTGAGTGCGAAGGCCGCTTCGTCCCGATCGCACCAGTTGGTCTCGGGGTAAGCGTTTACCAGACGTGTGATTTTGTGTGGATTAAATACCATGTAGACTACACTACCGTGTGCCCTAATATTTCCCGATCCCAACTTGCTGGTAAGCGCTTGACGAATTCGAAGCCTAGTGTAGCATCGTCATGGCTATTAGTTAGCATCACCGTCACAATGCGGTCTGACTGGGAATCGGCTTTCCGATGAAATGGCGCAGACCGGGACTTCGTCGTTTACTGCATCAGACATGGCAGAGGGTTTTTTCTGGTGAACAAAAATGTTGAAAGATGAGAAGAGTATCTATATAAAAGACCTGGTCTCCCACAGCCATAACTTGTCCTTGGTTGGTGGCAACGGCTTGACAATCCAGATCGCTTCAATTGCTTTTCAACTACCAAACCCTCGGTATGCGTACTCCAGCAACTACTGCGCTACTTTGCGTGCTTCTGGGAGGTGCCAGCGCGGCTCCTCAGCTTCGAGATGCGGCCGTCTGCATCCCTCAGAGGGACTCGAATCCCCACCGCCAAGCGGCTGGTGTTTCCCAACGCAACTCCGGCTTCGTCTACGGCCCGTCACTGATCGGCGAGGCCGCGCCGTTCCCCAACGGCACGATGGGCAACGCGCGCTCCAAGGGCGACTACGATCTCTGGTCCGTCGACCGCAAGGAGATTGACAGCCGGATCGCTGCCGATCTGCAGCAGATCCAGGCTGCTGTCAAGACTGTAAGTCGTGCTTCAAAGCGAGAGAAGTGTCGGCTAACATTATGTAGAATGGCGGCTTGCGCACATGGGATGACTACGGCAAGGTTCTTTACGAGGGCCAGCTCAAGCAGTCCAACCCTCGCGGTCCCGCGCCCGGCATCATTGCCAACGCCACTCAGGATCTTGTTCTCCATGGAGCGACTGAGCGAGCACCCTTACGCAGTTCGTCTCGTAAAGGCCAGCGAGAAGCTCCCCTTCGACGTCAACGCCGAGATCGTCGGCAAGGTGGTCGACACCGGCGCCACGCTGCACAGCCTCCAAGCTTCCAAGAGACTCTTCTACGTGGACCACTCGTACCAAAACGCGTACACCCTTCCCTCCGTCGTCAAGCGCTTCCCCGTCGCCTGTAGCGCCTACTTCTACATCGACCCCAAGACCAACGACTTCCTGCCACTCGCCATCAAGACCAACACCGGTATCGACCTGACCTACACCCCGCTCGACTCGGCCGCCGACTGGCTCCTGGCCAAGATGATGTTCAACGCCAATGACATGTTCCACGCGCAGATGCTGCACTTGGTCATCTCGCACGACGTCTCCGAGTCGGTCCACCAGGCGGCCCTGCATACGCTGAGCGAGAACCACCCGGTCATAGTGGTCCTCGAGCGCTTGATGCTCCAGGCGTACTCGTCGCGCATCGTCGGCGAGGAGCTGTGCTTCAACCCCGGCGGCCACTGGGACCAGCTGATGGCCTACGACAAGTTCAGCTGCCGCAGATTCGTCAGTGATCAGTGGCCCGTCGCCGGCAAGTTCCGCGCCGGAGCACTCGAGACGGACCTCGAGTCGCGTGGGCTCCTCGACCACAAGGGCGCCTCCGTGTTCAAGTCGTTTCCCTTCTGGGACGACGCGAAGGAGATCCGCGACGCTTACCGAGCGTTCTTCGAGAGCTTCGTCGAGTCCTACTACCGGACGGAGCTGGACCTCGCGGGCGACTGGGAGGTCCGCAACTGGTTCGCTGAGGCCTCCGCGCACGCCAAGGCGCAGGACTTCCCCCCCGCGCACCCGCTCTCCAGGGCGACCCTCGTCGACGTGCTGACGCACTTTGGCTTCGTGTTGTCCGTCGGTCACCACTCGATGAACGGCGGCGCGCCGATTGCCAGCCGCACGCGGCCGTTCCACATTCCCGCGCTGTACGCCGCGCCGCCCGCCGCCAAGGGCGTCACGGACCTGCTGCCGTACTTGCCGGACGCGCCGACGGCGCTGCACTACATCGGCTTCATGGCGTCGTTCAACCGCCCTTTCTACGGCGCGGACGGGCGCACGCTGGAGAGCGTGTTCTCCGGGGATGGGATGCTGAAGAGGCTCAACAAGGGCACCAACGATGCGGCTGCGCAGTTTCTCAAGACGCTGCAGGGGCTCAGCGACAAGATTCGGGCGCGCAAGTTTGACGGGGATGGGCTTAGCCAGGGCATGCCGTTCCTGTATCGCACTCTGGACCCAGGCTACATCCCGTTCTTCTGCGCAGTGTAAGTGGCAATGGGGCGAATGAACAAGGATGAAATGAGCATTGTATATTTCGAGTGCGCAGCATATAGACCTTGGACCTAATGATAATTTCGTGTACTTTAAAATAAATTTAATCTTATCCAATGCTTCCTTGTATGTACATTGTGTCTTGCTTGCGCAACGTCGCTCAATTTCCTGGTCAATAGTCGCAGCCTTATTTCATCGGCTTTGGGTGTCCAACATCAAGTAGGCCTGGGCAACCAGCGGCCCGACTGGCTTACCCAGCAAATCGAGCAGCGCATCGAGGAGGAATTTGGGCAAGACCTTGAGAGCGGCAACGTCCAGAATTGACGAGAAAACCGTCTTGGTAGAGCATCCTCTTCGGGGAGTTCCGCGCATCGTCTCTTTCAACCACTGCAGGGCCTTGGGAGCGGCCAGGATGGCCAGACTACTGTGGTCTGACTGTCGGTCGCGCTGGTACTGGATAGACGCCCCGTCGGCGCAATACTGAGCCACGAGGGCGTCCGTCTCCGCCACCGGGCTGATCTCATCGGCGACCGACTTGTACACAAACATGGGAATCTTGGGCGTGTCACCGCGTCCCAGTGTATTCTCGGTGATGATGCGGATCGCGGTAGGGTTCGTGTAGACTAGGTCCCGATCGTCAAACATGGCTAGTATGTCCTGATTTTTGAACTCCTTGGCATCGGCATCGAGACATTGGTGGCGGACGGTGAAGAACTTGTCTCGGAACTGGGGAAGAATATGCTGTTCGACAACGGGCCTGAGTTCAGCATATTGGTTCATGAGGCCAACAACACCGGTGGGAATGAGTCCAGCATGGGGCTTGCCATTGATAGAGGTGACAACGGACGTGATGTTGGGCACCGTCCCGCCTACAGCCGCGCCGGCAATGACAAGCTCAGGAGCATACGAGGGCTGCAGCTCCGCCGCCCACATGGAGGCGACACTGCCGCCAGAGTACCCCCACATGGCAACGGTTGGATTCTTGCTGATGCCCGTGAAGGGATTGGAGTTGATGGCCGCTCGTATGCCGTCTAGCACGGCGTGGCCAGCAAGCTTGTTGGCAAGAAAGGCCGCGTCGGGGCCGAGAAAGTCCGGCGCGATGACGACCCAGCCTTGTTCCATGGCGCCCTCGACGAGCAGCAGCTCTGACTCGGTCGTCATGGTACCCTTGTCCGGGCCGGTGGCGTGCTGGAATTGGAAGGCGTAGGACGGCGCGCAGTTGATGTCGGCCGCGTCCTCGGCGACCTGGTACGAGAGGACCTTGGTCATGTCGGCATTGTGCGGCACCAGCACCGTCAGCACGGTCACCGTGGCGTTGCCGAGGCTGTCCGTGGTCCGGTACAGGATCTGGTACGTGGCATCGAGGTTCAACGGGTCGAAACCGAAGGCCGCAATCTTGGCTGGGGGAGGCCGATGCTTCAATATGGTGCCGGGTGCGATGTCCTCGATACCGTCAGGGACATGGTAAAAAGGGTCGTCGCTGGGCCGCACCGTTGTGGCGCGATCATCAAAGGATGGCGGAAGAGGCGGCGCCGCGGCGACGAGGGAAGTGAAGATGGCGACAGCCACCACGATTGGGGTTGTCCAGATGCAAACCATTGCGCAAGTTAGCAGATGCAGAGAAAATGAAACGAGCTTCTCCGTGAATCCCGAGACATATTTTCCTCGGGGACCACCAGTCTCATATACTTGTCCGTACTTGACCCCGGGGTAGCCGGCTACGTGTGAGACATGCGTTATCCGGACATTGCATGCCGCGGAAGCGGCTCTTGGGATGTTCCAGCTGACCTCCCGTGCATAAATAACTTCATTTCCAAGCTTTCGATATCTTTAGGTTGTGCACCCCAATTCCGATTTTGGTCGTCTGATGGTGCTAATCAATGCTCCCGACGCAAGGGCCAAGCACAACGGATGCCGGCCTCATCAGCGGGGGATGTAGCATTGTGGCTGGCATCACCGGCCTCAGCTGGCCCGAACAAGTTCCCGTGCGGGGACTTTAGATCGGACATTTTTCTTCGTCTGAAGGCGCGGCGCATGCCGTCAACACGGGAAGGGAATAACGTCAGGACGGCATCTGCTCTGATTGGCCGTGCCGTACGGACTTGCCTAAATCCACTGCTTGTGCGGACTTTCGTCGCGTAGTCTACAGAAGCCATCACCTGCCGTGTTACATCGCTGCACAAAGCAAGTTAACGGTCAAGTCCGCCCGGCACTTGGGCGCTCCGAACGGTGAGGCTACTACTTTGGGCTGAGATGCGGACGTTGCAGCCTTTTCTCAGCTGTTATAGTCAGTCGGAGGTCGCAAAGCTTGGACAGGACAAGCAAGCGTCTAGGGTCGTACAGGCCATCCCGAAGTGATTAGTGATGATGCTGTGTTAGTGCGTGGTTGACGAGGTACTTTCGACCTCTAGAATAGTGTTCCTACAGATGAAGAACAAAACTAACTAACAAGAACTTAAATACAAAAGAATGAAACATGGAGATAGAAATGCCAAGTGACACGCTAATCATAGCTCACGAGGGATTATATCTCCTGGCCAGATGCGCCAGGGATCTAATTTCTGATGAACGGGGTGCCAGTCCCGCCGAACTAGATAAGATGGGTTCTTTTCTTGTCTTCTTTTCGACAATTTTCTCTCTAATCCCGGGCGTAATCCTGTAAATTATGAGTTGCCCTGCGCGTTATCCACCATGATAAACTCGCAGCGAGCTGCCGTTCCATGCCTTGCAGTGCGAGCTTCGGTTTCCTTTTTGGGAAAGCCAACGCGAGGTAGGCCATAGAAACAAGGAACGAGCGGAAGGACGTCTGCATTTGCTGGACATATTAAATTAATCAAAGCTTAAGATATACAGCACACTTCTATTCACTCATTTATCTTGAAAGAACTCAATATGCTATTGAAACACATGGTCGTCGCGGCGGCCGCGCCTCTTGCAATCGCTCCCAAGATCCAGTGGGCTGGGTATGTCACTATTCATTCTGCTGCGCAAAGCATGGAAACTCACACGATTAAATTATGTCAATTTGTTCAGACTCGCAAACGATGTCAGTGTCTTCGGCTCTACATACACCTCATCCGTGAGCAGCAAATACGAGCCAACATTCGACAGCTACCCTTTCCTGGATGACCTGTCTCACTATGAATCGTGGAAAGCAACAAGACTTCAATCTATTTTGCATCGCGATTGCCTGGCAACACGCGCAAACCGAACCCGGCAAGGTGTTGAACGAGACCAACATGCACACATTGACAAGCTCGTCGACGCAATTACCGGGGGATGGCGGCAAGGCCATCATCGACATTGTAAGTCTACCTGTTTCGCAGCCAGGTTCTGGCAGCTACTGATGGCAATAAATCAGCATAATTACGCGCGATGGTACTGCGCAATCACCGGCCAGCCGGGAAACTCCTTCCAGAATCCCAACATCACCGTGACGAATGCCCATTTCACAGAATTGTGGGTGAAGCTCGCGACAAGATACGGCTACAATCCCAACGTCATTTCCAGCTGATGAACGAGCGTAAGAATCCTAAATGCTTGACCCAAGACACATGCGCAGCGCAGCTAACATTCCCGACTCCAGCCCACGACATTCACATCCTCAAATGGGGAGACACGAACTAAGACGGCATCCTCGGAATCAGGAGCGTCTCGAGCAACAACATCATTCTCGTATCCGACGCCCAGTTCGCGCGTCTCGTCGACTGGCAAGCCTTCTCCGCGCCCGGCATCGGCCCCGGCCTCGTCAACGACCCCGCCGACAACCTGGTCTTCGACTTCCACCAGTATTTTGACGGGCTGGGCGGCGCGTACGGCGTGTGCGAGCCGTGGAGCGGCTGCCGCGAGCAGTTCTGGCAGGTCACCGGGGTCCTCCGCGCGGCGGGCGCGAGGGGCATGCTGACCGAGTTCGGGGCCGGGCCGGGCCGGCAGTGCGAGCAGACGGCGATGCACATGCTGGCGTTCCTGGAGGCCAACAGCGACGTCTGGAAGGGGTGGACGGGGACGGCTTGGGGGAGCTTCAACGTGGGATCGCCGCTGTACCTGAGCCTGGATCGCAACTCGACGTTCTACAGGATGACTTCGGTCATTGAACAATTCGCGCCGCGCGGCAATTTGGCTCAGAAGCCTTGATTTTATTGTTGACAAAGCAGTGGCTCGCTGCAATTGCATTACTCTCGCTCTTTCGCTCTTCTTTCTTGGAATAGACTAATAGACTAATCTCTTTGCTGTTGATCCGCGGAAGCATCACGTTGTGCATTCTCCTCCTCTCACACAGCAATACGGCGCACATTACCCAAGCTTCAGTTCTTGATCCTCTAATCAGCTTTAGTTTCCCTCCAAGTCACATCGGCATCTTTTTTTTTTTTGTCAGTGGGCAGCAGTCCCGGTCAACATTGCAACATACTTGGATGAACTTGAGGCTCTGGCATGTCCTTCCTCTGCGCTCTCTTTTCCTTATGATCGACGTTGAATTTTTTGTCTCTGCTTTCAAGTTTGTCGGTAGACAACTGCCCATCCGCAGTAAAGCTCGTCATGAGCTTCGGCTTGCCCAGAGGAAGTTTATGGTCGGCATCAGTCTGCCACAGGTGATAGGCCTTGCCGTACAGCTCGACCACCTTCTCCATCTCCTTGTATTCGGCCCGAGCCCACATTGCGTCGGGAATCACCGAGTTTGGCATCACCAGCATGCCGGACTTGACCTCGTAGACATGCGAGTGCCAGAGCTTCTGTTCCTCGGGGGACAGGGTCTGGAACAACGCTGGTGTAATCATGTATTCAACGCCGATCAGCCGCGCATCGGCTTCAGAAGAGTCGTAAAGAAGACACTGTCGAACATCGTTGTCTGGCCTCGCAATGTCAATCAAAATGATGGGCAAATGACTAAGCCAGTCTCATTCGTTATACGTACTCAAATGGCCACAATAATGATTGGTCTCGACGGCACGGTGTGGATTGTCGGCATAGGCGTGAAAGGCATTCAAGTGAGCATGTATAGTTTTCACTGGTGAAAGGTCCTACGGTGGCTGTGAGTAGGGTGAATTGTGTGCCTCGTTGGTGCCTTCACCTGAGTAACTACTGCTGCGGTTGTAATGAGAGACTGCTTGAGCTTCAAGGGATCTCCCAGCGCACTATTAGTGACTAACATTTTCGACAGAAGAAGCAGTATGTAGGTTTGCAGCGTGAAAGTACACGACAAATGGAGATTCAAAATCCATTTCACACTTATATAATAGAGCCCGTAGGAGGGTTCCGTTTATTTATCTAAGATAGCCAAGGCCTTCTGCATCTCTTCCGTGATCATACAAATACGTCACTACTGCTGCGATGGTGCTCGCATGACCTCACGACGGGGTGTGACAGAAAGGGAGATAGGTTACAAAGCAAAAAGACGTTAATAGTGTAGGTAGACCATTAATGTATACGCCTTAACTAATATACCCCTTACCTAGCGCGTGCGTTGCCTGTGACGTATTGATGATCGGTAGTCACTGCACATTTTCCTTGAGTGGCCATGTACATCGCTACACATGTGTGCTTCTCTCCTCAATGCCCTAAACTTTCTGTAATAAGCTAAAAAGCCGTGATTAGTGTTTTGTAGTTCAATTTAGTCTCCAAGAATTAAGAATGAGAGCAGCAAGAGGCACGAAACGCTTGCGCTGCGTCCTATAGATACAGCATCTTCAGAATAATTATTTAACACTATGAATATTATAATTTAACCTAAAAATTTAACTTGTCGCCATTGCAGCTCCGAAAAACTCCAGTGTGCAGGGGCTACTGTGAATGTTCTTAGCTTGGTGGAGAGATACCCTGACAAATTGGGGCATATACTCCTGGACTATTCTGGTCCTGAACATCGAGTGATCGTGGAAGGTCTCGTTGATTCCCACTGGTTGGAAGGCAAGGTTGCTGGGTCGGCCTAGCACGAGCTGTATCACACCTGTTCATCTCTGAAGCATAGTTGTAGTCGCAGTCCCGGTAATGGATGACCCGCCATTCACACATTGTCAGAAGTTTCGGGTCTGTCGAACGTTAGCTCCTGTATAAAGCACTGTGCACCCTGCACAAACTTCGAGTCAAGGTCTCGCAACAAGTCTGAGACTTGGCAGCTCAGAAAGCGTTATATCTTGGCCTAGCCAAAGCGGAGGCTCACCCCGCCTTTGACCAGGCCAATTATGTATGATAGCAACAACCCCTCCTTCATCGGCCCGCTCTCAGGCAACAGCCTAGTCCCCATCTAGAGACACAATCCAACCATGTCGCTCAACGACCCTGTACCTATAAATGATGGCGAACCGAAGCGTGTCATATTACGCCTGCGGTACAACGATTTCGAAGATAATGACAGCTCCCACACCAAAGCTATAGGTGTGTACTTGAAAGCAATCGGGCGGCAGACGGATGAATACGGACCTGAAGGACGACATCTTCCGCACGTCGAGCCACGTCAAGATTACGCGGAGAGCAATCCTAGAGCCTCATTCCACGTCACGCTAGACATAGAGAGGCACGAAACTACAGATCCAGACATGAACAAGCTGCCGCACGAAGTATACCGCGTTCGTCGCGGAAACGATGGAACGCTGTACGTAACATGTAACCCAGTTCCGGCGCGCTAATGGAATGTCTTGTGAGTGTAGAGCGCCGATATCCATTGCAGCACCGTCTCCCGATTGCCTGATAATTGGGTGCGAGTGGCACGGCAGTTTACGGATAACATGTATGCCTGGGGCAAGATTTAACCCGTCTGCCGATGCAGATGCTGCGAGGAAGGCTACCAGCAAAGAACTCTCGAGTGTTAAATAGCTGTCTTTCAATACTTATGACAGCCCCTTCCGTCTATTGGTTCAATACATGCATAGCAGGATTTCTGGCTTCAAAATTTGAACAACGCCAGCGCCAAGTCTACCCGCGTCGTTCAGCGGCCATCACGTTGAGGTTTATACAATCTGCGTTGGCGCTTTGGGTGCAAAGTATTCTTCATTTTACTAGCTTGGGGTGGTAACTGAGGATACATGGTTGAAGACTCCTCGCGGGAACCTCGATGGCTGTTGCGAGTAAAGATGTTGGATCATTACCGCACGTCAGACACATCGTAGAAGAAAGTCCTTTACGCAGCGGCAGCGCGGGCAAGACGGCGGAAACCACCGTTGCAGGCGACATCGCACTGCAGTTCCACCATGCGCTTCTGATCGCCCTGGGGGTCCTCCGAGGCCTCGTCCAGGACCCAGTCGAGGTGCTCGTTGGTGTAGTTGGGCGCAAAGTCCGCTCCCAGGACGCCCAGGCGCTGGCCGTACCGCGTCACCTTGTCCCAGTCGCGGCGCACGTTCTGCAGGTCGCGCGAGAAGTACGCGAAGCTGCGCTCGTAGATCTTGCGGTTGAGATCCGTGCCCATGACGGGCTTGAAGTCGACGTACTCGGCCCACGCCTTCTCCGGCTCCGCGAGGACAAAGTCGGTGGCGCGCTTGACCGCGCGCAGGAACGCGCGCACCTTGTCCGGGTGCGCCGCGAGGAAGTCGTCGTTGGCAATGTACAGGATGGAGCAGAAGCAGCAGCAGCCGAGCTCGGCGAGCTCGTCGATGCGCAGCATCTGGACGTCCGAGGTCGGGCGGCCTTGCTCGGCGAGCCAGGCCTCGAGCTCGACCATCTGCACGTTCTCGAGGCCGATGCCGGCGTCGACGGCGCCCGTCTTGATGGCCTTGGAGACGTTCATGCCGCAGCGGACGGCGGTGTAGTCGGCCGGGGTCAGGCCGTAGTGCGAGGTCAGCTCGTCGATCTGGATCTTGCCGAACTCGCCGACGTAGCCGATGCGCTTGCCCTTGAGCGAGCGGAAGTCGGCGGTGATGCCGGACTCCTTGAGGTAGACGACGCCGGTGAAGGGCTCGTCGAGGAGGCTGCCGACCGAGGTGACGGGGAAGTTGCGGGCTTTGGCCTGCGGGCTGGAGTTAGGCCGTGTTTTCAAAAGGATGTGATGGAAGCTGGGGTTGTTGGACGAACAGCAAGGGTGTGGATCATGGCCTTGAAGCCCATATTAACGCTGCCAGATCCGATGATCTCGGTGACATCCTGTTCCGATTAGCACGGTGTTGCTAGTCGCGGCTTAACGACAGGATTCTCACGCTGGGGTCGTTGGGCTCGAGAAGGGCAACCTTGATGCCTTCGTCGGCAAAGTACCCTTTGCTTTGCGCCAGGTACAGAGGGGCGTGGTAGGGCGTCGCGTGCCTATCCTGTTGTCAGTACATGTCATCATCTCCAGCTGGGATCTCTGTTGGCTGACCAGTTGGTCAAGAACGTGATCTTGTCAGTGGCCATCTTGAATTGTTCGAGCAAAAGCTGCGGTAGTTAGTACCACGGCGGGCAAGGAAGGGGGGAATATCAGATGCAGGTCCTTTCGCTGGTATTATCCAGATCAAGTTCGCCGGTATTTCTCAGATCAACACGTCGCCCCCCGCAGCAGCTGGCCACTTGCTTGATATTGAAGTGGCGGCTGCTGCGGAGGACGAGCTATTGAACACCCGGTTGCATTCCAGTATACGTTACCTCGATCTTGGGATAGCTCCATGGCGATAGAATTCTGTTCCTGCGCGGATCGTATGGTCCGTACCGAAAATTGACTGTCGTGTTGTGTTAATTTGGTATTGTCGTTGTTGTAAGTAAGAGGGAGTGTGAGAGGGGAAAGTCCCGCATCCAGGCCAGCTGCTTTTATATGTCGCAGGCGATGTCGGCACCGGCTATCCTGCCTAACCAATCATGTATTTGAGTGAAAAAGAGAAACAAACCATTACTCCATTTATATCTGCCTACATTACCAGCAATTGGCTAGGTACCGTCATCGGTCGAGATTGCGGTAGTTACTATATCAAGGTGGATCAACCCCGCCTCGCCGATGAGCCTTTTCTAAGCGGTAGTTATATGGTTCACATTTTGTCTGATCTACATAGCAAGGCAGCGTGGTAAAACTATCTACTTGCAGTTCCTGGGAAACGACAAGAGTGCTGCGGAAGAGTCGGGCAGGTCAACCACCACACGGCCGTCTTGAACCGTGGTGCTCTCATCAGTTGTCACGTTGCTCAACTTGACCGGCCTGCCCTGGTCGAGCTCCCAGTTATAGCTCCAGCCATCAAACGTAATGCCGGTGATTGCGTCGCTCCCATTGGCCATCAGGCGCTGGATCCGGACCATCTGGCCATCCGGCACCTGCGACCCTACCCGGAAGCTTTACACCAGTCTTCGGCTCATTTTGGATGACAGCATTTTGAACAGGCTGGTAGAGCGAGCAGAGCCCGACATGGAAGCGGTTTCTTATCAATGAATATTCTCTTTTCTTTCAACTCCTCACCTCGGCCCCATTCCCTGCAACTGCATCGTCACAAGATTATTCCGCCATTCCCAGTCCAGCATCTCCTGCACAACCCCGCACAACGTAGAGTTGCACTGGTCTAGTATCGCTAGCCTACAACTAGAAAGCTACCTATCGCAAGATCCTATTCTCGAGCTACCATGCTATGTCTTTTTACGGTCTGTAGTCTCTTTTCCTTCTTTAACCTGTCTGGCACGACATTACCCTTTTGTCAGTCTGCTATTGTCCTTACCGAGGTGAGCATCCTACCCGGAACCGACCAAAGGTAAATGAAGTGTGTCACGAGTGAAGTTCTGGAGTACCTCCTTCTATTGTGGTTTCATGGTAGCGTTACACTACATTGATTTATGTCTTGAATTCCGTTCCGTTCCTTTTTCTTCTTCTTCGCATTTCGAACAACGCCAGTAGACGGCTGTTGTGGCGTATTATCAACTCCTCCACGACTTCACAGACCAACCCAAAACTGTCTAGCAAAGCGTTCCCTGTTTCGTCCAATTCATTTTAGGAGGAACATCCCCTCTAATAACCACCCTCTTGCGACTCGTGGCTTTTGCCTCGTCTGTTCACAAAGCGGGCAGACAAGTCTCCATCATCCCGCTTCCCAGGGTGGCAAAGCCACGAGTTGCCAACAGACTAGTCCGTCATTGCCAAACACATCAATCAAGCTTCTTGCCACTAGTTCTCCGGTTGGTCTTCTCCACTGTGACATTCGCTCGGAAAGGCTGAAGGCTATTTCAAGCCATCGGCGGGCTCCGACCTGGTGTCTACATCGCCTCCGGCCGCGCTTGGACACCTTGATCGCGGTTCATGCTCAAGGATACCAAAAGCTGTGGTCGGTGTTCCCCGCCAAGAGATCTCCCCACGATGAATAATTACCCGGCATGTGTTGTTGCCAGGCATGTGAGGATGGGGAGCGACCAGGTCTAGCTCGTATGGTCCTGCTTTAGGCTAGGTGAAACTCCAGAACCATTGGAGATGTTTGATTTATAGATTGTATCGGGCATGCTTCTACCCCATGGGGTCGGACGTCCCCGATCTGGCTCTTGACGTTTAAAAGCAGGCCGTTGAATGCCAAATCCGAACTGGAGACTCTGCTGCCGTCGAGCGCATCTTTCACCCATCCGCACTCCGCAAAGATGAACAACCCTCCCTCTTCTAGTGACACCGAAAAGAACGCGGGCGTGCTTCGCCCTACAGAGCACGTCGATGTAGTAGAGTCCGAGGTCCAGCCGCTGTCCCGGTTCCAGCAGGCGCTGCTCAAGCTCCGCGTGGAAACGCGCGGCATCGAGCGCGTCCCGGACGACGAGCGGACGGACACGTCGTATCTCAACATCGGCTCCATGGTATATCCGTCCCTCCTCTTGACAGAGGCACTGCCTCTCCGTCCCGTCTGACAGTGCGCAGTGGGTTGCGGCCAACTTGGTGGTCCCCTCCTTCACCATCGGCGCCCTGGGGCGGCCGCTCTTCGGCGTCGGCTTCCTCGACTCCGTCCTCGTCATCGTCTTCTTCAACCTCATCGGCAGCGCCACCGTGTGCTTCTTCTCCACGTTTGGCGCCGCCTTTGGCCTGCGCCAGATGACCCTCTCCCGGTTCTGGTTCGGCTGGTGGGGAGTCAAGATCAGTACGAAAGCCCCAGATTCCTGTCCCTATATACCGCCGTACCTCTAACAGCCCCCGTTCCAGTCGCCATGTTCAACATCCTGGCCAGCGTCGGCTGGGCGGCCGCCAACATCATCGTCGGCGCGCAGCTGCTCCACGCCGTCAACGACGCCGTCCCGGGCTACGCCGGCATCCTCGTCATCGCCGCGTGCACCCTCCTGGTCGTCTTCTTCGGGTACCGCATGGTGCACGCCTACGAGCGCTGGAGCTGGATGCCCACGCTCGTCGTCTTCCTCGTCGTCCTCGGCGTCTTCGCCCGCTCCGGCGACTTCGTCCACACCGCGTCGCCGCCCACGTACCGGGCCCGCCTCGGCGCCGTGCTCTCCTACGGCTCCACCGTCTTCGGCTTCGGCACCGGCTACACCCCGTTCGCCGCCGACTACACCGTCTACCAGCCCAGCAACCGCCCCCGGCGCAACGTCTTCCTGGCCACCTGGCTCGGCATCTACCCGACGCTGCTCTTCACCGAGATCTTGGGGGCTGCCATCGTCACCGCCACGGCGCTCAACGGAGGCGACAACCCGTATCAGCGAGGCTACGACGACGCGGGGATCGGCGGGCTTCTCGGCGCCGTCCTGTTCGAGCGACTGGGCGGGTTTGGAAAGTTCTGCGTGGTCGTCCTGGCCCTCTCCATCGTCGCCAACAACTGCCCCAACATCTACTCCGTGTCGCTGACGCTCATGGTGCTCGGCCGCTGGACCCGTCGCGTGCCGCGATTCCTCTGGTCGGCGCTCGCGACGGGCGCGTACGTGGCCATCGCCATACCCGGCTACGGCCACTTCGAGACGGCGCTGGAAAATTTCATGAACTTGATCGCGTACTGGCTCGCCGCGTACGAGGGCATCGTGCTGTCCGACCACTTCATCTTCAAGCGCGGCTTCTCGGGGTACCGTCCAGAGCACTATGAAGACCGCCACAAGCAGCCGCCAGGAATTGCCGCGATCCTTGCATTTTGCTTCGGCATCATGGGCATAATCCTCGGCATGAGCCAGTCGTGGTGGACGGGTCCGATTGCGAGGCATGCTGGGGCGCCGCCATTCGGTGGCGATGTCGGGTTTGAATGCGCCTTTGCTTTCGCTTCGGTTTCATACATAATCATGCGCACAGTTGAGCTCAAGTATGCTGGGCGGTAGTAGACAGTGCTGTTCATTTGCTTTCCAAGACAATCTATATCAGCATCGCCCACCATGACTAAATCATGTAACCAAACTCATGAGTATATGACAAAATGCGCTTCGCGTATAAACAGTTCTAAATAAGCACCTTCAAGATGGCACAGACACATCAGTGGGCTTTACAGCCTGAACAATCAGCACGTCCGCTTCGACAAACTCCTCGACTACCTGCGAGGCGAGAATTCCCAGGCAGTGGTTTGTCTCGGCCGCCGGTGCATGCTTCAGCTTGCCTTCGTCCAAGCTGTCGCCTGCGTGTCGACCGACAACGATGAGGCTGGACTTGTTTCCCTGCGACCCGACTTCAAAGTTTGTAGACGCATGGTGAATCAACTCCTCCACGGTGCTGCGACCCTGCACATGCTCAACATGAACTCTAGCAGACAATTCGTCGCTCATCCCATCCAAGCAGCTGGCAGCGTCGGTTGAACTGGAGGCTTGCGCATCCGGTTCCCTGGCCTTCAAGATTGTGGCCGTCGCCTGCGACCCCTCACACAGTTGCAAGACAAGGCGGAGTGCAAAATCATCGTCGGCGCCACCAATGTAAATCATGAAAATGTGGTACGGTTGACGAGTCATGGCAGCGATGGGGAAGTCTTGTCTCAGCATGCCAAGAGAATATTGGCGAGTCAGCTTGCCCTTCTCCCCCGCTGCAGTCTCCTGCGGGCCGCTGTGATTGCTATCACTTCTAGTGAAGAAGACAGCGATGTTGTGCTCCTTGGTATCGAGAATGGAAGAGACAAAAGAGGTGTACGGAGATGCTAGCTTGTCAGCCTGCGCAGAGGATGAAAGAATTTGCGAGTCTACGATGTTGCCGGTCTCGCTCCAAGGAACGAGGAGCAGATTGGCAGCCATGGCCGTGGCTTTTGTGACGAGTGCCTGAGAGAAGATGTGCTCGGGCATTATCGCGACCTCTCCAGACACGGACAAGTGATTTGACTGGGTCACTGTTTGGAAAGTATTGACGACAGGGTCATGGCGACTGTAGCTATCCACCTGAGAAACCGTCATGACAGACGAGTCACGATCCGTCAACTGGAGTAGTCGAAGCCCATGCGCGCGAACCGGTCGTTGAGATGCATTCTCTGACTGTGTTGTTGTGTCCAGCGGCCGAGAGGGGTTTCCAAAGAGTGAAACTAGTCGGAGAAGTCGTGGCATGGTGTCCAGGCGCAGATATACGAGAACCCGAGCCACACTCTGCTCTCGCGGAGCATTCGAATTCGCGCCATTGCTGGGTGTGCTGATGAGAGCGCCTGTATCCCAATCGATCTCACCACGGCGCCAGAGTTCCATCTTCTTCTGATACCAGGGCGGGTAGAGCCACGACACAAGGGGCGTCGTAGAAAAGGTAGTCAGGAGAGCCATGACGACGAAAATGGTAAAGGTTCGGGTACTGAGGATGTTGGCTTGAAGACCAATGTTCTACATAAGTTAGCACAGACTTTCGGACGGATGAAGGTGTCTGAAAAACTTACCAAGACAATCAGTTCTACGAGACCCTTGCAACTCATCAAGACACCAATGGTCAGAGATTCGCGCCAGACAAGGCCATTGAGTCGCGCAGCGCATGAAGCACCGATGATTTTGGTGGAAAAGGCCACAATGGTGGTGGCAAAGACGTAGCCCCAAGCCAGGCCGCTATCGAGCAGACCAAGGTTTGTTTTGAGACCCGAGAGAGTAAAGTAAAGTGGCAGGAGCAAGGCGCCGATCAAATCCTCCATCTTCTCGGTGACCTTGATGTTGAAGCGATTTTCACGTGGAATGATGAGGCCGACCATGAATGCACCGAAAATGGGGTGGACGCCGATGATGCCGGTGAAGAAGGCGGATGCCAGTGCCAAGAGCATGATGAGTGACACGATGCCCTGGGACGGGCCGTTCTGCAGGCTGCCTGTCCGACGGAGGAGCCAAATCAATGCAGGTTTGATGACATAGCCAAGAAGGAGAACAAACCCGGCGCAGCATAGAAGAATATACAGGGCGGTCAGTCCGTTGCCAGCGTTGACCAAGGTGACACACAAGGCAAGCAGCACCCAGCCAACGACGTCGTTGGCGACACCGGCGGATAGTGTGATGACGCCGACCGAGGTGTCGAGAAGCTTCAACTCGGATAGGATTCGACATAGAACGGGAAACGCGGTGATGGCGATGGCGATGCCAATGAAGAGCATATAGGTGCCGAAGCCAATGGGGGCGAGACCAGCGTCGTTGCGGAAGGCGTGATAAATGCCCCAGGCCAGACCGCAACCAACAGCAAATGGTAGCGCAAGGCCGGCAACGGCGACAGAGGTTGCGACGCGCCAGTTCTTAACCAGAAAGCCGACATCCGTCTCCATGCCGATGAGGAAGAGGTAGAGGATCAATCCGAGGTTGGCGACGAGGGATAAATTCGGGATGGACTCCTTGGGGAAGATGGCCTGCTGGAATCCCGGTATGCGGCCCATGACGGAGGGGCCGAGGATGATGCCGCCGACAACCTCTGCGATGACGCGGGGTTGTCGGATCTTGGAGAGAGGCCAGTGCAGGGCATGGCAGACGATGATGATCAAGCCGGCCTGGAAGGATGCAGGTCAGAGCCGCGGCGTTGCTAATAGGCTGGGAGCTGGCTGGCAGGTAAGACATACTTGAATGATGAAGAGGGTTATGGGATCGGAGGGGTTGTATTTGGATGGATTGGCGCCTTCGATGACACCGCCCTGGGGAGGCGCCCGATTCGCGTCCGTAGTGTTTGTCGACATTTCGTCCCGCTCTTTTGTCGCACCTTTGAACGGCTTGTCCTTGCCGTCAAGGTCGGTCGGTTGGTGGATGGATGGATGGTGTGCGTTTGCTTGCAAGCTTTGTCGTCGCTATGGCCAGGCCACGCACGTCTCAGCACATATATATATACATATGTATACACAGCGGCAGATGGATGGCAAGGGATAGAAGTGATGCGAGAACAAAGATAAAGATAAGATGTCGACAGCGTGACCTCTTTTCAGCGTGTGCGCGCACAGCTGTCTGTCCGTGGCGTCCCATGGGCTGGGCGCAGCGGGCTGTGAAGCTGGGAGCGGCGATCTTCTTACTGGCTTGTTGCTGGCTTGCTTGGCCCACCACTCAACTGTAGCGGACGCCACCCAACAAACCCCCCTCCCAGCAGGAGTTCATGCTTTTGGACATGCTTTTGAGTTTATTTTCTTTAGACGATTCTGGGCGGGAGCGTGTCCATGGCTCCTTATGCATCTTGAGATCCCTCTTCAGCGCCTTCGCCTATCGTGACCTTCTGGGTGACGGCTTCCTTGCTGAGTTTTTGCTTTCCTGGCGCTCTCTCCTCCAGAGCAGCCAGCGGGCAAGCCCCCTTGATCCCTTGATAGACCCTGGGCTGTAAAGGATGACAACCTCGTCGGTGGCGTACATGAGCTGTTATTAGCAGCCGCAGACTGTTGTGTGACCAGAAGTGCGGTCTGGGCGCCAAGATGGCACTTGAGAGCAAGATATCCCGCCGATCAAAAAACGATGTTTAAGTATGTAGCTGAGGATGTCCCTCAGAGCCCAGCCAACTTGCCTCGCCGTCATCTTGCCCTCCAAGTCTGGTCAAGGTTCGGGAGCAAGCTTCTCGTTTCAGTTCAGAGCAAGGCTGGCTTGCAAGACAAAGCTGCGAGCCGAAACAACCGGTGTGATATCAAATACCACAACACACAGCTACATAACAGGGCTGTGCTGTTGTGTGCTGTTGTCAGAGGGAGGCCCACCTCAGCTGGGGTGATGAGAGGCTGTCGCAAGGGCATCTAGGCCATGGTGGCGTTTTCGCGTGATGGCAGATCCGTCGCACTGATGAGATGAGAGAGAGACAAGGGTTTTTCGTTTCTTTTCGTTTGCTGCATCAGTCTTCCCGCTTGTCAGCCGTTACCGTTACCCTCACCACGACACTCTGGGGACGCCGCATCCTACCTGCTTTTAGCCCTGGGGCGAGACTGCCACGGGACCAACAAGGCAAGGCCAGCGCAGCTCGCTAACAGTGTCAAGGCATGCGCTAGCTATGGTTAATTCAGGCGAGGGACGGTCACCAGTGACCAGTTGGCCGCTATCCGTACTGGTTGGTTAAGTTGACCGCTAAAAAGACATGTGAATCACATGCAGGGTCGCGGCCCCAAGTGGCAGTGAAAGCAAAAATGGAGGGGTATTCTGTCGCGGAATATCACATTCTGCGGCTTGCCGAAAATGGCGAGACCGACAGTATCTCTCGAATTTGCAATGCAAGGAAAAAAGAACTGCATGCATCGGGCGTCGTGCAAATAGTTTGACATGTCTTGGGTGGCCAAGAGAGACGCAAGGCCCGAGCATTTGGGGGGTCTAGAACCGCATGTAAGATTTTGAAGACGCTGCGTGAACTTTGGCTCTGGTGCTACGCATCGCGACCTTGTATACGGAGTAGAAAATACGAAAATGTATCTGCTTGTGCCTGGATCGACGATGGCCTGGGTAACAAAGGGTCGTCACACATGGCTGCGTTTCTTGGGTTGCATCAGCACACTTACTATCCGTACTCCGAGTAATAAGCCCACAGGTAGTATTAGGAGTGTTACATGGTTCGTTAGGTCAGCGGCCAACGCGTCTGCTTCTTATATACTGAGCAGTGTTTACGAATTAGGGTGGTGTCGATATATTAGGCTGAGCCGTGGTTCGAAGCAGAGCCAGAGCCAACGCACGGCGAGCGCGACAAGGGAAATTCCTTCCTGCCACGCGACCAAGTTCCGCAGCGTGGATACCATCGCTGATGAGGGAGGAGGCCGGGAGGGATCCGTACTGGTAGTCCGTAGTAGTCCGTACTGGTACCGTTCCAGCACAAAGGCTCAGCTGACAAGCAAAGCCTGGAGGGGTCTAATTATGTGGAGAAACAGTAATAAAACTTTTTTGTCTCGACAAGTGCAAGGGAGTGACAGCCTCGTCACAAGCAAATCCGAACCTGCTCCCATAGTTTCCAAGATACAAGCTTTTCAGAGCGACAGGGGAATACGAGGCTTCACAGTAGCACAGGCACCGAGAGGGAACGAACAGGACACAAGCATGCTAAATTTAGTCGTTGAACGAAGCACAAGCATCGTACCCAGCACTGTTTGCGGGCTGCTACACAGGTGAGGGAATGCTAATCATAACGAGTGAAGGAACAAGACTTGCGAGTCAGTAGGTAGTGTCCATGCCAGCCAAACCTAAAGAGGACGACGAGACGAGAAAAAAATGATGAAAAAGGATAAAACGACCGACAAGACAACCATCGCGGGGCAATGCTTATTAGCGAGCCCGGATTAAAATGCACGCAACAACTAACTACATGCATAATACATTATAGTAACCGACGGGAGGTGGCGGCGCGGTGATGAATCTTTGTACTCTCTCGGTCAAATAAAGCGCCTCTCAGCCATTTTCCACGCGGCAGGAGAGAGTGCGACCGAGAATAGTGCCATTTGGAGCTGTCACCATAGAGTTTGGGCTGTCTGGCCGCCGAAGCTAGCAAAGTCGTGGAGGCGCCTCGCAGCTGGGCGGGCCAAGGCCGAGATGAGGCTGCATAATGCATCATCACGGACAGCACTCAGTCACACCCTCCCCATGTCACCACGGTGCAGGACAGTGGTACCGGATGGTTTACCGTGTTTGCTCGTGGGCCGACGACATGGCGGAAAGGTGAGAGGTGGTAGAAGTAAGGCGGATAGATGCATGGCTGATGGGGAGTATGGCTAGAGAGAGGACTATCCGTACAAGCGTGTTTTACTGATGTGACGGTCTGTCGGTTGCCAAGCGACGCTCGATCCAGCGAGAGACATTTGCGGCGATGGCAACGCCCAACTCGATCGGTGACGTGTTGGCCAGTGGTCAATGTGCACAGTAACTGAGTTGGCTGCAGCCCCAGAGAGACACCCAAGCAAAGGCAGAATTCCAGTCGTCGCATCACTAGGTAGTTAGGAGGTACGACGCACTTTACTGCATCACTGAGCAACTAGTTTACTCAACGCCACCAAACGCCAACAACGATGGCACATCCACTGGATGCGGCTAGCAGCGAGGAAGAAGAGCCTCGCCACAAGGAAGCAAATCACACGATTGGTACAGGCTTCCGCGGCGCCGTACTAGTTATATCCTACAATAACGCCCCTGCCTGCTTAGTGTATGCATTCCACGCTGGTGGCTAATGAGCATCGTGGTGGCGTCGACCACTCTGGTGGTGAGAATGAGGGGCCCCAGGCCGCGGGGGGGGGGGGGGGGGGGTTCTCCATGGGCCTCCTCTACCTCCACTCATCACGCCCTCTTCTTCGGAAGCGGCTGGCTCGTCTCAAGGAAACATCCCCTCCATTCCCAGACTGGCCTGACCAACGGAACGGCCGACTGCGATGAGGGTTGCGAGTGAACTGAACTGAACTGAACTGAACTGAAAGGAACGGCGAGTTTTCCACTAGGGCGCATATGCATGTTTGGGGTCAAGGCAAGGACGATCTATGCAGTTTGATCCCATCCATGCCTCATCGCCCATGCCCATGCCCATTGCTGCTGAGAAAATAACGAGGCGAGCGGGCGCTGGGCTCTGCCTCTCCTGCTTCTCCTGCTCCGCGAAAGCAATTACCACCGTCCGGCCCTTCTCGGCGCTTCTCCCAGGGCCCAGGCAAACCTCCCCCATCAACCTCCCCATAACCCCAGCAGCAGAGTGGCTCCGGGGGACTCGCTGTCGGGGGCCCCAGACAATGCAATGAATGAATGAATGAATGAATGAATAAATGGGGAGAAGGAAGCTTTCGGAATATGGGGAATTGCAACAGGAGCAGTAACGGTAGCTGGCAGGCCAGTAGGAAGAAACCATTGTGGCGCTTACCTGGGGCAGTCCCATCTCTCTCCAGTGCTTCAGGCCGAAGCCTTCGGCCCTTCTCTCCAGCCCCAATGGGGCAGCCTCTTGGAATTCGGTCGATTCCCCCACTTGGAACCGCCACAAAGGGAGTTGTTCTAGTTAATAGTTACTCGGGGACTACTGGGGTATGTTATTATACCAAAGTTGTTTCTGGCTCATGCGACTTACAATACCGACACGATAGTTACTTTGTACATGCTTCGTTGGCAACTGCAGCAGCAGTCACTTGCATCCATCTACAACACCACCGCGTACAACTCTCTCGTTCCCAGACACCGCATTTCCACTGACTCACTCTTCAGTCTCTTCTTCCTCACGCTAATCCCTACTGAATTTACCCTCACCCCCTTCCCTTTTTTTTTTTTTTCACAGCTCACTCGGCCGCCCGCGTCGAGTTACTAGTTAGTTACTGGTCAAACTACTACACGGAGTAAAAGTCACTGACTGGCCAATGTATGTCCCACCCCCCCTAGCTTCGGGCCAGGCTCTGGCTTCATACCCGGTCCAGAATCTCCTTCCAACGGCTCCTCCCACCCCTGTTGCCCGGCGCCCACCCCCAAGTCAGCCATGCCCGGCAAAGCGCCGAAGTGTGTTTGGGGTTTTCCCCCAATTAGCCTCTTCCTCATGTTCCAGCAAAGCTTGTTAGTCGGGGGGGAGGAACGAAGCAACGGTGCTCACCTTCGGCTCCTAGTATAAGATTGCCCATCGTCGCCCTCCCCCTCCTCCTTCCCGTCTTCGTTTCCCTTGTCCGTCCGTGTCTCACGAATCTTCCTTCATTGTTCTGTCCCCTTCCCTCTCAGCCATTGTCAAGGAACGAACGAACGACTTCTTCACACACAATGTCTGCTGACAAGGTTGAAGCTGGCGAGTTCCGCCAGGAGGACATCGTCCTCCGCTCCGCGCAAGATGTCGAGGCCATCGAGGCCCCCGTCACCTGGAAGGCCTACCTGCTCTGCGCCTTTGCCTCCTTTGGTGGCATCTTCTTCGGTTACGACTCTGGTTACATCAACGGTGTTACCGCCTCGCCCATCTTCTACAAGGCCGTCGAGGGTGCGGACGCCCTCAAGCTCAGCGACCCTCACTCCTCCCTCATCGTCTCCATCCTCTCCTGCGGTACCTTCTTCGGCGCCCTGATCGCCGGTGACATGGCCGACTGGATCGGCCGCAAGTGGACTGTCATCCTCGGCTGCGTCATCTATGTTATCGGTGTCGCTATTCAGATGATCACGAGCCCCTCGCACGCGCTCGGCCCCATCGTCGCCGGTCGTCTCATCGCCGGTCTCGGTGTCGGTTTCGAGTCGGCCATTGTCATTCTCTACATGTCCGAGATTGTGAGTTTCCTTGCCTACCATTGCGCGTCAACCCTCAACGCTAACCACCTCTCCAGTGCCCTCGCAAGGTCCGCGGTGCCCTCGTCTCCGGCTACCAGTTCTGCATCACCATCGGTCTCATGCTAGCCTCCATCGTCGTCAACTACACCTCGAGCCTCGAGACCACCGCCTCCTACCGCATCCCCATCGGTATCCAGTTCCCGTGGGGTGTCATCCTCGGCGGCGGCCTCCTCTTCCTCCCCGAGTCGCCCCGTTACTACATCAAGAAGGGCCAGATCCAAAAGGCCGTCGCCTCCATCTCCCGCCTCCGTGGCCAGCCCGAGAGCTCCGAGTACGTCCAGAGCGAGGTCGCCGAGATCGTCGCCAATGAGGAGTACGAGCGCGCCCTGATCCCCTCGACCACCTGGTTCGGCAGCTGGGCCAACTGCTTCAAGGGCAGCCTCTGGACCGGCAAGTCCAACCTGCGCCGCACCATCCTCGGCACTTCGCTGCAGATGATGCAGCAGTGGACCGGTGTCAACTTCATCTTCTACTTCTCCGCGGCTTTCCTCAAGTCCACCGGCGCCGTCAAGGACGTCTTCCTGACTTCCATGATCTTCACCATCATCAACGTGCTCTCCACCCCTCTCTCCTTCTGGACCGTCGAGCGCTTTGGCCGCCGCTCCATCCTGCTCGTCGGTGCCGCCGGCATGCTCATCTGCCAGTTCCTCGTCGCCATCATCGGTGTCACCGCCGGCTTCGACCAAGTCCACCCCACGCCTACCCCCGAGGACCCGACCGCCACCACGCCCAACAACCTGGGCGCCGTCAACGCGCAGATCGCCTTCATCTCCATCTTCATCTTCTTCTTCGCCTCCACCTGGGGTCCCGGCGCCTGGGTGGTCATCGGCGAGATCTTCCCGCTGCCCATCCGCTCGCGCGGTGTCGGCCTCTCCACCGCCTCCAACTGGCTCTGGAACACCATCATCGCCGTCATCACCCCCTACATGGTCGGCACCGACAGGGGCAACCTCAAGTCCAAGGTCTTCTTCATCTGGGGCGGCCTCTGCACCTGCGCCCTGGTCTACACCTGGTTCCTCGTCCCCGAGACCAAGGGCCTGTCCCTCGAGCAGGTCGACAAGATGATGGAGGAGTCTACCCCCCGCACCTCGGCCAAGTGGCGGCCAACCACCACCTTTGCTGCTGCCCAGAGCACCGGCGGTCATCTCGACAAGAGCGTCATCGAGAACGTCGAGCGCCGCCGCAGCTCCGCTGTCTAAGTCTGCTGGGCGCAGCACTATTTATGTATCAAGATGAACGAGTACAGCACATACCCCGTAAAGAAAGCTGATGGATGTTATTTATTTTCAGAGACCATGTTGTTGATTTAAGCAGCTCTAATACCAATCTTAATAAATCAACTTCCTTCAATGCGTGTGTGTGTGTGTGTTTGTGTGTGTGTGTGAGTGTGTGGTCTTAATAGTGCACAGTATCCATAAATGAGGAGTAGCAGATTTTGGGTCGCATCATCGCCAGCCCCTCCGATTTGCCCCTCAAAAAAATTTGTCGTCACGACTAATCCGCACCAGCAGTTCTGCGCGCTTTGCATCGTACCACTCTACACGTTCGAGTAAACTGCTTTCTTACAATGGATGCATAACCAAGATCTTCTCACCAGAAAGGTCAAATCCGGCCGACATGGATATCCAGCGCGCGGCTTCCCGGCCCCTGTCCGAGGTGCTGCCGCCACTGATCTTGGGCACCGCCACCTTCAACCACCAGTACCATCACGACCCATCGCAGATGCCCTACGTCGACATTGTCCGTCGCGCGCTCGACCACAACATTGCGGCCTTCGACACCTCGCCCTACTACGGTCCCTCCGAACTTCTCCTCGGCGATGCGCTGCGCCGCATAGAGCCCGCGCCCGCCCGCGACTCGTACTTCCTCATCACCAAGGCCGGTCGCATCGCCGGGGACGAGTTTGACTACTCGCCCGCCTGGGTGCGCTACAGCGTCTTCCGGAGCCTCGAGCGGCTCGGCACCGACCGCCTCGACCTCGTCTACATGCACGACGTCGAGTTCGTGTCCCCCGCCGAGGTGCTCGGCGCCGTCAACGAGCTGCGCCGTCTGCGCGACCAGGGCGTCATCCGCTACGTCGGCATCAGCGGGTACCCCGTCAGAACGCTGGCGTCGCTCGCGGAGATGATCCTGCGCGAGACCTCCGAGCCGGTCGACGCCGTCCTCTCCTACGGGCACTTTTGCGTGCAAAACGCCCAGCTCGGGCGGGCCGAGATCCTAGAGCGGTTCGCATCGGCCGGCGTCGACTGCGTCCTCAACGCCAGCATGCTCAACATGGGACTGCTGACCTCGCGCGGCGTCAACAGCCTGCCCATGGCGGCCTGGCACCCGGCGCCGCAGGAGCTGCGCAAGGCGTGCCACGACCTCGCTGCCATCGCCGACGCCGAGAACAGGCACCTGGAGGAGGTTGCCATACGCTGGTCCCTGCGCAACTGGATGTACCAGGGCTCCAAGTTCGGGACAGGGTGCTACAAGCGGGAGGGAAATGAGCATCTGCCCGTGCGCATCGGCGCAAGCGTCATGGGCGTTTCCACGGTAGACCAGCTGGAAGAGACCTGGCAACTGTGGAAGAGCGTCACCAGTGAGCCTGGCCAGGATGCAACCAACGTCTTGGTGGAGGAGCGCATGTGGCCAAGCTTGGGAGACTGGAAAGATTATGCTTGGGAAAGCGGCGGTCCATCATTTATAAACACTCGCAGGGTCATGGGCATGGTCCCAAATGACGATATTGCGAAACGGTGCGGCCTCTCCCCTAGTCAGGTTGTTGACGGCGCAAAGTTATGAATCAACGTATACAATAGCAATGTGAAAAGCGTGCATGCAGCATCAGCAGATAGAAATTACGAATACTCGCTCAACTATTTTTTTTCCTCGTTCTTGTTCCTGGCTTTGATGTTTCTCATCCCCGTTCCTTGTCTTGATATAGGGTAGGCTCCACGTGACTGCGCGCGACGAGCAGTCCTCCAACTTGGAAAACCTGCTTTCTCCGCGTCGTCAACCCGCCGCCACTGACGGTTGCTCAATCTTCATGGCCGGGGGACGCAAGTCAAAGTCGACGGCATCGCCTGCCAAGCCGAAAAATACATTCGTCCTTGACAATGGTGCCTCTACCTTGAAGGCGGGCTTCGTCCGCGACGGGCAGATCGGCCAGCCCCGGATTATCCCAAACTGCATCGCGCGCGACCGAAATCGGAAAGTATACGTCGCCTCGGAGCTGGAAAAGTGCACCGACTTTGGCGAGATTCAGTTCCGAAGGCCTGTTGAGAAGGGTTTCATCGTCAACTGGGAGGTTCAGTCGGAGATCTGGGACTACGAGTTCTTCGGCAGCAAGGCGCCGTCGCCGTGCAATCCGTCCGAGACGCGACTTGTGCTTGCGGAGCCACCGAATGGACTGCCCGTGCTCCAGGCGAATTGCGATCAGATCGTTTTCGAGGAATATGGCTTCGAAAGCTATTACCGTGGAGTTGGTGGGTTGCGACACTTCACCTGTCGTCTGCGGACTCGGTAGCTGACGGTTTCCAGGACCTGCGTTCAACGCATACCACGACGTGCAATCCCTGTTCCGCACACCTCTGGATGCTGCGACGGCTGCAAACATACCCGCCGAAATCCTCCTCGTCATCGACTCCGGATACTCCCACACCACGGTGACGCCCGTCTTTCAAGGCCGGCCGCTGCATTCTGCCGTTCGACGGTTGGATGTCGGCGGCAAGCTCCTCACCAACTACATGGCTCGGCAGATATCCCTGCGTCACTTTGACGTCAGAAACGACCCTCACATCGTCAACGAGATGAAGGAGCTGTCGTGCTTCGTCTCCCTGGACTTTAAGCGCGACCTGGAGAGATCATGGAAAGGAACCCGAGGCCAGAGACGCCCGGAATACGAGTCCGGGGGCGGCATAGCAAAAGACTACATCCTCCCGGATTTCCACAAGAACTTGAAAGGCTCCCTGCGCGATTACGACCCCGCAAACCATACCAAGGCACAGAAGCTTGCGGCGGTACAAGCCGACGACGACGTCCTCACCCTCCGAAACGAGCGATTCACGATACCAGAAATGGTATTCAATCCTTCCGACATCGGGCTGCGACAGCCTGGCATCGCGGAGCTCATCCACCAATCGTTGCAGGACCTGCCGGTTGGGCTGTGGCCTGGGCTGCTCGCAAACATGGTCGTCGTCGGCGGCAACTCCCTCTTCCACGGCTTCATTCAGCGGCTCCAAAAGGAAGTCGTCCAGCGAGTCCCCGACGACTGTGTCGTCCGCGTCGCGCGGCCGGCCGATCCGCTCACTAGTACATGGGCGGGGGCGGCCAACCTCGCGAGCCACGCGGAGATGGAGAGGCTGGCGGTCACAAAACAGCAGTACGAGGAGCACGGCCAGGCGTGGGTGGCGCGCAGATTCGCGATGGGGCCGGATGCTTCGTAGTCGCTGCGCATTGCGCGCCACGGTTGATCCCTCGGCCGTATGTACGATGATGGATACCGCACGGTCGCGCGCTTTTGCGTGAGCCCATGTCCACGAGGAGATGGCCGGCACTTGAGTCGTTGCTGCAGCATGCAACCAAGAGGCCTCCGGGCACTTACTGTATACGCTTCACACGACTCGTCTAGAATCAAGTGTTTCCGGGAATGTTGGAGATTCTCGACCAAACATGAGATGAGATTCTGCTAAATAACGCCTGCCAGCTATTTATATGCACACAAATTCAATCTTGGGCCTCCAATTTAGGTCCAGGCCATGCATACACTCAATTATTCCGGGCACAAAAGGGCTACGGGGTTACTCTTGGTAAGAAATGACGAAGAAATCCGGATGCTTTTAGAATCCAGCCCTTCGGCGGATGTGGTTGAGGTGACGGACGTCACGCAGAATGGTCAGCCGCGGTGGGCTGCCCTCATGTCCCTTTGTCTTGGCCAGCCTGCGGCCTCGAGAGACGCACCCTGTTCGCTTGGTTAGTTTCTGGCGACAGATTGCCCTCGATTGGCATGATGCTTACAGTCACACTACACACGGTTAGCTTCGTGATCTTGGACACTGGGAACAATTCTATACTCACAAACTCGGCGGATGACCCTTCGTTATGGACGGTGCAGTAGCCAGCGCAGCATTTCTTACACACTCGCTGCGTCTTGTCGATGCAATCTTCGCACTGTCGAACGTCAGCAACTGTGGGCAGTGAAGTGTTGGACGGTTGTCTTACGCTGTTACCGCACTCCCAGCAGCTTTTTGTGACTCGGTTCTAGGGGCAAGCTGTTAGCTCAAACACATCGATAGCAAGAGTAGAACAATGCGAGCCAATTTCAGTAAAAGCACCAAACATGATAACGATTACTCGATCACCTAGATCAGTGGCAAGTAAGAATCGCCGAGTCATGCCAGCGTCTGCTGAAGCGGCCGTGCACATGTATGTGCGTACCTTCATTTTCGGGGCCGCCTCCTGGAGAGCGATGTAGTCCTCCAGGGCCAGGCCGTCACCTTCCTCCAAGATGACCACAGCCGGCTCCTGCACCGGCCCCCCTCCCTGCCCCGGCAGCTGGTAGCACGCCTCACACCACCACTTATCACAGCACTGGCAGTGGCGCTCCCGGATGCACTCGCCGCACCGCGGCACAAACGCCGTCGCCGTGCGCCCGGGCGTAGTTGCCGCCCGCACCGACGAGGAGGTGGTTGGCGGCGGCGCAAGCAGCGGCAGCTCGGACGAGGAGGGCATCGTCATGCCCTCCGGCGCGGCGCCGCAGCCCGCACAGCCCGCGAGCGCGTAGGTTGCCACTGCCGGCCGGTGCTCCGCGACCAGTCCGGCGGCGCCGGCAGCCCGACTGTTGCGGTGGCGCGGCCCGTGACACAGCGGCGCGTCAAAGACGAGCGCGCCGGAGCAGGCGAGCACGCACGCCGCCCACTCGTCGGTGACGGGCCGGCGGAGCTGCCGCCCCTTGACGTCCCACCAGGCGTCGCCGGCGGACGCGCCGGAGCCCTTGGGGCCGAAGAGGTAAAGACCTTTCAGGCGCGGGTTTGCGTCGCGGCTCGCGCGGCAGGCATACTGCAGCGCGCCGCGGAGCTTCGCGTGGTTGAGGTTGGTGACGTCGCGGATGGAGAGCAGCCGCACGTTGAACCGGGGGTCGTTGATGATCTCGTGACAGAGCTCCGCGGTCACGGAGAGGCCGTCCAATACGAGGGTCTGCACATCTTGCAGGATGTTTCGCCTTTGCAAGGTAGAGAAGAGTCCGCGCAGCAGTCCTGAGTAGAAGCTGAGGGTGTCGTGTTAGCACTGACAGGCAGAGATGGGTTGCATGTTGTCGTGGCGTCAGACTACTCACTCGTCTTCAGTCAGATTTTCAACGAGTGGCGTAACATCGCCGCCGTGATTGATTGCGCCAACGCTGGTGTAGGCTCTCTTGACTGTGGTGAGGTCTAGGTGGCGATGCACGCCTGGGGTGTGGGTGATGGTGTCTCGGATGGCTCGGTTGGTTGCTGTGAGCTTGGTGATGGAGGATGGCGGTAGGTAGGCGACGATGTGGGATAAAACGAGCGTGTTATGGACAATGTCCAGCAAATTGGTGGCAGATCTCTTAAATCCTTCGCGTTCTGTGGTGTCGACGACGACTTGGCTCATGTCAGGCTGTCGTGTTGTTGGAGTAAGTGATCGGAGTTGATGTCGAGATGAGAGCCCAGCTCGGTAGGTAGTGTCGGTTTGTCAAAAAGATGCAAGTTGGGGAAATGAAGGTGAAAGGGGGTATCTTGAAGAGAGTCGGGGTGAAAGAAGGTTAAAATAAACAAGCGGGAGGGAGATGCTTCAGATGAGACTTGTCAAAGAGCCTGTTCGGACCCTACATAGACCCAGGTCTTTCATGTAATATTACGCAGTTTGTCGATCCAAGGAGAGAACGCACCGTGGAAGCACCGTGCCAACTGCCAAGCCGTCGATAAAGTTAGCCAGAGAGCCCTGCTAACTGGTTATTTTTTGGAGTGAGACGGTTTCAAAATTACATTCCACGAAACGGGCCGCGACAAGGGAGGGCAAAGCAACTATTTAGCCAGGAAGCTAGCTACCTGCAGATTACGGATGCAGATTTGATGGCCCGAGTACCACAAGAGGCGTAAGCCCAGACATGACAGCGCCTCAAAAGAGAGGGTTGGGTGTGAGATGAGCGGCAAGATGGAGGAGGGATCCATCCAACCCTGACGTGAGTTGGAGTTGGATTTTGTACCAGATACCCATGAAGAGGGTGTTGTATACACGCAGTAATAAAGTATCGGGTGGTGACATGGGCTGGCAGTGGATGTAACCTCTTGTACGGGGGTCCAACAGGGGGGGGGGCCTTGCCTAGCATGTACCGAGCTGGAGGGTACGCTACTGCTACCAGTCAACTTGGCAGATTGATGAGTGATGCCATCTGCTATGCCTGATCTGCTCATAAAAAACGCTGGGTGGCTGGAGGTAAGTGAGTTAGTTACGTGCTACTGCAAGTTTGCCACCCACACCTGGTGAGCTGGCCGAGCTGGCCGGGAGAGCGGTACCGGAACCCCAAGAGAGCATCTCCGCACCGAGCCCAGCGGTTTTCCTAATTCATATGTCCGAAGGGCGATAAAACAAGGCGCGCAGCTTTCTGTTATCAGCCGGCAACACGGTGCCGACAAGGAGCATAGGTGGCTAACACAACTTGAGCCCATTAGTTAGAGGGAGGAGTTGCTCGTACAGGGTGTGGATAGCACAGGCCCTGACGTGGTCTGCTCATGACTACCAGACACAGTAATGCTGAGTACAAACAAGCCAAGCAAAGCATGCATCCACGTCCACACGTTCTCCCACAATGCGTGCGTGCTCACTGACTTCCCAGGGTCGCACGCAGCAGCACCATGTCGTAAACATGGTCGGGGCGAGGGAGGTGGGCACGTTCCAGTGAGACAGTGGGATTACGCTTATCTCTCCGTCCACGTCTGACTAGTACTCCGTAGTGTTCCACCCACCAAGTGGCTTGCTGGTAAACCGCGAGAGGCACCGAGTTGCATGCGAGTTCGGGCTCATCCAAAGGGCTTCACTGACAGGGCTTGCATGGCGTTGTAGTGCAGGCCAAGGGGCATTCGGTGTGGTAGGGCACGGTAGATGGAGTGTGGCGGGTAATAAAGAGAAAAAAGCAAGCTTGGCTGGTTGTCTTCTCATCAGGGGGGGGAACTATTAGGACAAGCGGTCGCGAGGCCTCATCAAGGAGACTATTCATGACTTGTCTCAAACTCAGCAACGCCAAGGAAGCAACCTCAGGCTCATTGATCCAGATAGTCTCGTATGTATGGTAGGTTGATATCTGGTGAGTTGGAAGACTCGTCCGCATCGGCCACCCTCGAATGTCCCGTATTACTGCAAGATTGTCAAGTCTGGAAGCAAGCAAGCAGAATCCATCCTAATAGAACATATCGTGATCCCCAAGGCAAGGCATTCTGGGGGTCTACCCCAGAAAGAACGCTGGACCTTTTGCAAAGATGGTCAACTCGTAATAAATGACGGTAAGCGATGCCCCCTTTTCTTCGGGACGACGGGAAGTTGCTGAGTCTATTATTACCTTGCCGACCCACAGTAGGGGCGCACCATGAGATGCCAATCTTCAAAGATAGATCCTCAGGCAGATGCATCAAACAGACAAGCAATAATACTGGGGGGATAAGCTAGTAATAAGACAAATCCTAGGGTGCGACTCAACTGAAACCCAGCATACGAATAACCTTATCAGCTTGTTCACCCGTGCAGTCAGTTCTCTCCATGCTTGCTTCGGAAAGCATTACTAGGCATTGCATGTCCTATCCGCATGGTCCGAAGCCAAATCCCAATGTCCTTCTCGACGCGTTTCTGTTAATGGGCGACGAGAGGTTTTCTCCGTCAAAGAGGGTGTGGTAGTCAAAGGTGAAGCGAACAGTGACGTACTGTCACTGGTCATCGCCAATTGTAGGCGGATGGAGCACGTGATTTTTCTGCTTGGTGGGGAGATCTGGCAGGCAGAGACGCTGGATGCTGGATGCTGGATGCTGGATGCTGGTGGCAAAGCCTCGAAGCTCCGAGAATTTGCTGACTGAGCAATCGCTGTCAGGCGAAAGAAGCTTCTTGATCCCATTCGCTTCATTTTCTTGCTCAAATTTCCGGTGAGAATGTATCTTCAATTCTTACCTACGTAACACAACTGTGAAAAAATAGGGCCAGTCGCACCCCTCATCCAGCCTCTACCGCAGCAAAAAAACAACAACTCGATAAGGTGCTGCGACTGTTGGGATGGATGAGCTGCCAGCCCTACAATGGCAAGGCAAATATGCCCTACTTCCATTGGAAGAGGGCAGTAGCGGCGGCCTGGACGGGGACAAGATAATCCTGCCTCAGTCTGCCCTCGAGCAGCTGCTCACCGCAGCCACTGCTCAGGCTGTCTTGCGGGACAGTTACGCGGCGCCGTCATCATCCCAGCTTCCGAACCCTTTGACATTTCGCCTTGTAAATCACTCCACAAATAAGGCTGTGTATGCTGGAATACGCGAGTTCTCAGCACCGGAAGGGACAGTCATGCTCAGCCCGTACTTACTCAAGGCCCTGGAAATGGCTAGCGATCAAGACTGTATCGCCAAGAACTCTGCCTCGTTTGATTCACAAACACAGATTGACATACACGTCGCCACGTTACAAAAAGGAACATATGCGCGACTGCGGCCGCTGGAGGCTGGATACAACCCCGACGACTGGCGGCCGCTTCTCGAAAGACAGCTGCGACGAAATTTCACATCGCTCACGACAAATGCGACGATACGCGTGCAAGGGGTCCGGGGCGAGGTCTTTCAGCTGCTGGTGGACAAGCTGCTCCCAGAAGCGGAGGGAGTATGCGTCGTTGATACAGATCTCGAGGTTGACATCGAAGCATTGGACGAAGAACAAGCCCGCGAGACACTTCGCCAAGTCATCAAGTCCGACCGCGGCGCGAATGGTCACGGCGGCACCAACGGCGGGGCAATTGATATTTGGAAGCCCGTATCCGACCAAGTTTCCACCGGCTGCTATGCAGACTTTACGCTTCCCTCCTGGGATCGGTCGCAGCCTCTCCGGCTGACAGTGTCCAACATGTCGGACCCTGAGGCCCTGGAGATGTTTGTGACGCCAAAATCAAACTACCATCGCGGCTTGCCCCGAACGGCGGAGCACGTCTTCAGCAGCCTGGAATCGTCGGGGCCGGACACGACGAAAACGATAGTCATCTCGCCAACAAACGTGGAGATGGAAAAGGCTGAAAGCTTACAGATTTCCATCTACGCCTACCCTGATCCTGCCGCAACCAAGGGCAATGCGATACAGTTCACCCTCCGCGCTCAAATCTCGACAGAAACCAACGGGGGCATTGTCTCCGATAATGTCGAGAATTCGAAAGCGCAAGATGACAATGACGCGCAATGTTTGAACTGTCGGCAATGGGTCCCGAAGCAAAGCCTTGTCCTGCACGAGAGCTTTTGTCGACGCAACAACAGCGTCTGCCCCAAGTGTAAGTCGGTGTTTAAGAAGGGCTCCGAGGAGGCTGCCGCGCACTGGCACTGTGAACACGATGAAGCGCACGGCAACACACCGTACAGCAAGCTCAAGCACGACGAAATGTTCCACGGCAGCTGGCTTTGTCCTGGCTGCACTTTTCAGACAAACTCTTTATCAGACTTGGCGAGGCACAGGACCACGGTATGCCCCGGGAAGATTATTCTTTGTCAATTCTGCCACCTTGAGGTCCCGCAAGAGGGTGATCCGTTCAATCCCTCGCCCGAGGTGATGCTGTCCGGGATGACGGCACACGAGCTAGCGGACGGCGCGCGCACGACGGAATGCCATCTCTGCGACAAGATCATCAAGCTGAAGGATATGCAGACACATTTGAAGCACCATGAGCTAGACAAGGCAGGCAAGGAGAGGCCGCCGATTTGTCGCAACCAGAACTGCGGGCGGACACTCTTCGGCGTCGGAAGTCGCGGACAAGTGCAGCACATCCCCGGCGCCGACGGGCAGCAAGGCGCCCAGGTTGGGCTGTGCTCTCTCTGCTTCGGTCCCCTCTACGTCAGCATGCACGACCCGGACGGGAAGGCGCTGCGCAGACGAATCGAGCGACGCTACCTCACGCAGCTCATGACGGGCTGCCGCAGGAGCCATTGCCTCAACGAGTGGTGCAAGACCGGCCGCGCCAACGCCGGGCTGGAGCCGCTGGGGTCCTCGGCGAAGGACGCGCTGCCGCTAGTGAAGCCGCTGGTCGCTACGTGCCTGGACTTGGACGCGCCGGTGTTTTTCTGCGTGGACGAGCTGAGCCAGAGCGGGCGGAGGCTGGCGAGCATGATCGCGGCTGAGGGCGTTTGGGATGTAGAGTGGTGCATAGCCGCAGCGGAGGCGGAAAGATCAAACGCGGATAGGATGCGGGAATGGCTGCAGGGATGGGCACCGAGAAGGGTTGAGGGGACGGATGTCGGTGTATAGAAGGGACGGATGGATCTTGCGGCGTAGGCATGAGCTAGCAAGGATACGATTCTAGATGCGATGAATGTAACGTGCGTAAAATAGATGATAGACGCTGGTTGGCCTTGGACTTGAGCATAGGGGTCGTTTTGTGAGTCAGGTATAGGGTAGCGAGGCTGCTAGCCAGCGACGGAGAGCTACGAGGTGTGTGAGAGGCTAGTATAGCTTTGCAAGCTCGTTTGAGGATGAGGGGATATATGGCTAATCAATTTTGGTAATATTTTGTCCGTGTGTGGTGTGTTGAAGATGCATTCACTTTTACAATTGAACATGCTTGTTTGACCGAGACAATGTGCGAGGCAATGGGAGGTTAGCTGGTCACGTTCTTGTCGCAGGGATGGAAGCTAAAAAGAAGGAAAAAAGAAAAAAAAATAAATTGAGAAAAGTTAGATTAAAAAGGTTAAACGGGAGGTAGTGAAAAATTTTGCACAATTTCTAGTGTTTCCTTTTAAGGTATTACCTTTGACTTGGGCAACCGTTTTCGCTGGTTGTGGAGGTCTTGGAGGAGCAGCACCCCGCGACTTGGGTACTCCGCCCAACGTATGTAGGTGGGGTACCTATGCGTTTGGTAGTAGGGAGTAGAGATGTCCTTGTTGAAAGTCATGTTTACTACGATTATAGATTGAAGGGAAAGGAAGAAAGAAGAGAAATGGAAAGGATAAGAACAGTAAAAACGACAAAATATCAGAAAAAGGAAATAAAATACATAACCTAGTATCCTCAAAAGGGACCCCCATCCAGCCCACAGCTCACAGCCTACAGTACCTACTGTACATAGTAGGTTATACACAGGTCAGGTCGCACTGAAGCTCATCTCTGGGCTCCACCCCCCCGTTGACGTAAGTAGCACCTGCCAGCCCACAGCCTTTCAACTTCCATCGTCAACATACTCGCCATCCTGGGCTTTGCCTCGCCATCCATACGTTTTCCCTCATCTCATCTCATCTCGGGCTTCATTGGATCAACCACATTGCAGTAGTACCTTATCTGTGCCCTTGTCGCACAACTCACGCTCGTTGCCCGCATCTCGCTTTCCGTCTCCGCCGCTGCCGAACTCGGCTGCATCGTCGCTTGCTCGCATCTCTATCACCCCTCCTCGCCGTATCTCTATGTCTTTATAAGGTATCCATAATACTCAGAACTCGCTTCCTCACGCTTCGATATGCTCTCGGATTGTCTCGGCAAAGTGTGACCTAATCCCGTCTGCACCGAACCCTCGGTAGGTACAACTGCCCAATCCTGATTTCTTCGGCTTGTTTTCTGTGACGAAATACTCACCCATGGACTCATGCAGATAATCGAAGCAGCCTGCCTCGCTCGTAGGTCTTCTGAAATCTAGATCGAGATATTCGGCATTCTATTCCCAGCATTAGCCACCATCGCCCACCTCTCCGCGGGCCAGTCCTCGGAAGAGCCGTGACCAACCCGAACTACAGCCAACACTCGCCAGCCCAAAACAAGAAAGTTTTAACCTCACATCCGATCTCCCCTACAGACAGAACGCCACGATGGGCAACAACAATGCCAAAGAGAGTCGCCCTCCCGGAGTCGCTCAGTCTCACGACGGCAACCGCTCTGGCGAAGCCCGCTCCCGCCACCGTTCAGGCCCTGGCGATGTGGCATCATTCTTCGGTGTCGGTGCATCAGGTCATAGAGATCGCCGCCAGAACGTCCCATTCGAGCATAGAGAGACGAGACAAGAACGAGAAGCTAGAAGGCTTGAGCGAGAGCGTGCCGCCCGCCTTAAAGAGCGGGAACGAAGTATCCGAGAAGAACATGTCGATGGAGGGTACGTGGTAACCCTGGGCACATATATGGGAACCGAGGACTTCAACAAGCCAGTGGTGCGGCAACTCCAGGTATGCTTTGCGATTTTCCTTTAACTGCGACTTGATCGACAGCAAAGCTAACACACCGCCGCAGATCGAGAGAAGACTGGCGCCATTTTGGCGCGGCCTCAACGATTGGTCCGACAGTTGGGCAGAACACCAGCTAGTTGCCGCCGCCAGAGACCTCCCCATACCAAAGGCTGACGAGCCACCTCCGCCGGAACTGATGGCCCAGCCGCAGAATCGTAATGCGAGCCAGGGCAACCTGCACAACTTGACTGTCCCGATAACCGAGCGAAGCATGTCAACAGCCTCGGACCATAGCGGATCAGGTACGACATCAGGGGTGGCTTCGCCCGGCACTCCGACAAGGGGTGCCATCAAACCCAGAGCAAAGGCGCTGGCCAAGGCCTTGACCGGACATTCAAGAAATGCCTCCTCCGCCGAACTACCCCCCACGGAGACTATGCTTCCGCGCGACCCCTTCGTTAATGGCCAGCTTCTTGAGGTTTATCTCTACAAGGATGCAAAGGAATGCCCAATCTGTTTTCTATGGTTTCCACCATACCTCAACAGCACTCGTTGCTGCGACCAACCGATTTGCAGTGAATGCTTCGTCCAAATCAAGCGAGCAGAACCCCATTGGCGAGAGCACCACCCTGATGCCGACGGACAAGCGCCGCAGCCCACTACAGAAGTGTCAGTCGAAGGAGTATCCGAGATGCTTGTATCTGAGCCGTCTGCTTGCCCCTACTGTCAACAACCGGAGTTTGGCGTGACGTACGACCCGCCTCCGTTTCGCCGAGGTTTAGTCTTTTCGAACTCGGCCTCAAATCTTGCCTCGTCTTCCACAATGTCTCCTACGTCTTCTCAGACCTCATTGCATGCTAACACAATCCCCAATCCCCAACCCGTACCACAGAATGGTCGCAGGAGGGGACATAGTTTGTCCGCCAACGCACCAAACGTTATCACCACGGATCGCATTCGGCCGGATTGGTCTGCAAAACTCGCCACAGCTCGCGCCCAGCAAGCGCGACGGGCGGCAGCTGCAACTGCTCTCCACACAGCGGCATTTCTGGCTGACCCTTCCTATCGACCATCGCTACAGGCATTGAACCGTCGTAATACTGGCACTGGCTCGGGCTCCGATACACCCCGGAACGGACCCATGGGTGCGCAAGGGGCAGAGGCTGGAGAGTTTTCCGACGCAGATAGAGCGAGACACATGCCGATGCAGCAACTCGAAAACATGATGTTTTTGGAAGCCATTCGACTTTCGCTCGTCGCAGAACAGGAGCGAGAGGAGCGAGAGAAGAAGGAACAAGAGCGACAGAAGAAGGAAGAGAAGGCCTTGCGGAAGGAGGCCAAGAAGCGAGAACAAGCCGAAAAAAAGGCAGCAAAGAAAGCAGCCAAGAATCCCTATGGCGGAAGTCTTAGTGGCGCTAGTGGCAGCAGCCTCTCCCTTGGCTTCGGCAGGAAGCGAGGCAATAGCGGTGCGAGCAACCTGAGAATAGAGGCAACGCCCCAGGGAGCCTCCCAAGGCCCGAAGAGCGACGGTCAGGTCGATGCATCATCGCCAAAGACGCACGATGACAACGTTGGCGACATTCACGGGAAAGGAAAGTCGGTAGACCGAAGTGAGGCGGATGCATCGGCTGAGGGGAGTTCATCATTAGCGATCCCTATCCGGAGTGGTGGCTCACACCTGCGTCAGATCAGCAACGCCTCATCACTGGGATCCTCGGTTGTGGATTCTGCACCAGGTAGTCTCTCCGGCACAGGATTTCTCCACGTGGACGGCATCCGACAAAGCCGAGGAGAAGGAAGCGACGGCGAGGAGTCATCCGAACCCATGTTCAATTTTCGGAGTCTCGCAGAGCTTGTGGGAGTCAATCTCGACGAAGGCACTGTCGCCTCGGACGATGTTGAAGGGACCTCGCGAAGAGGCCCTGGCGATGCTGCACCAGAGACAGGGGCACGCCCACTATCTCGAGTGAAGGAGGAGGACGAGCCCGTATCCAGCCACGAGGAAAAAGAGGTCTCCACTGAAACCACAGTCAATGCGACAGAAAGACAGGAATCTCAGCGCAATCTTCATGCCCAAGGGGCGTTGAGATACTCTCGTTCCGAGGATGACAAGTCGTGCGCACCCACTGTCTTGATCGAGGATGTAGCAGCTCCGGAACGGAAATAATCCAAGGGAAGCGAATTTTTTTTTTGCGCAAGGAGAAACATCCCTATGCATGTGGTATTTAGTTTTAAGAAGGGACAAAGCACCCGCCTTCAGGTTGAAGAGCCGTTGGCCTAAGATGGAGGAACAGCGCAAGAAAATCGACAAATACAGCGGCGAACTTGTACACAAATAATGTTCAATAAGAAGTTCAATTCCAGTGTTATCAAGGCCTTTTATTTATACGTGACAGTCTTGAGCTAGTATGTACATAGTGTATGTATGGATGGGGTTGCTTGCATGAGGTTGCTAGCTCTTCTTAATTCCAGTCTTGAACCTTTCCACCCACTCGGAAAATTCATCCTGGCTGCCGTCCCACGAGGCGCTGAGCAGCTCCCCGGCAGCAAAAGCAGCAAAGAAGCATTCATCGATATCCTGGTCAATAACGACGGGATCCATGTTGTAAAAGGCGTCGGCCAGGTCGTCGAACGAGCTGGGCAGGCCGCCCAGCACGCGGGCAACCTCGTCGAGGCGCTCGGGCAGCGTTTTATAGGTAACGGTGTCTGGTAGGGGGAAGGGCGGCAGCTTCTTGAAGCGACGCTTATTGATGGCTTGGTATAGGAGCACGACGAGGCGCAGGCGACGGAGGGTCGAGTCGAGGCGCGGGCGGATGCCGTGCGGGTCGTCGATGGGTATGGGCCGGCCGGAGCTCATGAGCTCGTCGAGCATGGCTTGGTTGGAAGATGTGGTGTTTTCCGTGTCGAGGTTGGATTCGTGGGCTACATCGCTGGCAACATCGTCGTCGTCGTCGTCGTCGTCGTCCTCCGGCTCTTGCTCACCCCATTCCTTGAGCTCCTCCGTGACATCTCCCATGGAATCCCTCCACTCGTCCACCCTCTTCGCAAAGTGCCCGCCGACGCCGCCGGCGATCAGTGCCAGCACCTCGTCGCACGCCGCCCACACCTTGCCCGTCGCCGGGAGGCTGGACCTCCCCTCCCCGTCCTCGTTGTCGGCGGCGGGGGGCTTGGCGCCGTCCGTGGCGATTGTGCCTAGGAGGTCCGCGAGCACGAGCAGGACGCGCCGGCAGCGCCAGGCCAGCTCCTTCCGGAAGAAGGCCGTGTACAACGCCGGGTCGCAGGCCTCGGCGGCGGAGGCGAGGCCGAGCACGGGGCCGGACTGCAGCTGCGCGAGGACGTCGAGCACGGCGGACGGGGTGAAGGGCGCGGTGACGGCGAGGAGGCCGAGCTTGGTGGTGTGCGCGCGGACGAGGGTGGCGGCGTCGCGGGCGAGGTCGAGGGGGATGATGGGTTTGCTATCGTGTTGGTTGGTCGGTGTGGTGGAGGGGTTCTTGTAGATGGTGTCGAGGGAGGCAGCGAGGCGGTGCCACAGGGCCTGGGCGGAGTGGACGGCCACTTCGAGCTGCTGGAGGGGGGCCGGATCGGTGGACGAGGCCATGTTGGATATGGTCATACCAGGTAAGTAGGAGTTCCTGGGCTGTTGAGTCGTATTTGGATCATGGCTCGTTTGTATTGGGCTGGTCTGCACTTGGAGTTGGCAGCCTGTAAATTTTTGGCGGGATGGAGGGGCAGTTTGGGGAGCAAACGCCACCAAGGTGCCCTAATAAATGTGCACTAAAGATGCCGAATATTTACCGGGGAAGCTGAGACAGTGGTGCAGCGCAGCGAGCTGCCTCCTCGACTTCCCAATAAGGTACTAGCCAAGCTAGGGTCCCTTGGTTAACACATGTCCACTCCCTGACGGCATAGCTGTCTCAACTCGACACAATAACTCCCGCCATAGCTCTGGCGGTCGCCCAATTCCTTCGCGCACCAGAGACGACGTGACGGAAACCATGCAGCAATTACAGAAATTCGCTGCCTTGACGGCAATGGGTGTCCTGTCCGTCGCCGCTGCTGGCAGCGCCCCCCGAGGCGTCGGCCCCGAGTGTACGCCAACCAGCCGCAAACGCACCGCACCCTGTTGACTTTGCTGACAATGCACTGTTAGTTGCCTCGCACTACACAGCCAAAGACAGCTTCCGCTGTATCGCCAATCCCGACATCGAGATCAGCCGCAGCCGCGTAAACGACAACACCTGCGACTGCCCGGACGGCTCTGACGAGCCCGGCACCGCGGCCTGCGCTCACATCGACCCCCTCTCTCCCCAGCAGCCCTTGCCGGGAAGCAGCTCGGGGACGACCAGCGCCAAGAACTCGCTCCCCGGGTTCTGGTGCGAGAACAAAGGTCACGTTGGCGGCTACGTACCGTTCATCTACGTCAACGACGGCATCTGCGACTACGACCTGTGCTGTGACGGCAGCGAGGAATACGCGTCCGTGGGCGGAACCAAGTGCGAGAACCGCTGCGCAGCGATCGGCAAGGAGCACCGCCGTCTCGCCGAGGAGAAGGATAGGAAGATGAGGAACGCCCAGGCGCAGCGGTCCAAGATGATCTCCGACTCGGAGGCGCTCCGTAAGCAAACGGAAGCACGCATCGCCGAGATCGAGAGCGAGATCCGCGCAACGTCGTCCCGGAAACTGACTCTGGAGGCGAGGTTCAAGGAGCTCCAGAAGAAGGACCGCAACCGCGTGGTCAAGTCTGGCGGCGGCGGAAAGCTTGGTGTGCTGCTTGGGCAGGCCAAGAGCCGCGTCGGTGAACTGCGCGAGGTCCTGTCCAAGGTCTCGGATGAGCGGGATAAGCTGCGCATAAAGGTCAACGAGTTGGATACCGTCCTTCGGAAGCTCAAGGAGGAGTACAACCCCAACTTCAACGACGAGGGCGTCAAGGCTGCGGTCAAGGCGTTTGAGGACTTTGCCGCTCGCGAAGCTGAGCAGCCGTTTGATGGCGATGACGATGTCTCGAGCGTCTTGGCCGATGATGGCGAGCACAGCGGCATCAATTGGGCCGAGTTTGAATCATCGGACGACGATGCGGATATCAGTAGGCAACACCGCCCTGACGTCTGCGATAACACCATGCTAATGAAGTCTTAGTTTACTCTTTCGATGCCTACCTGCCCGCTTCGCTGCGCGAGTTCATCCAGAACCAAAAGGCTGCCATCCGCGACTGGCTCGTCGATAACGGGCTGCTCGCCGCGAAGGAAAACACGGGTGCCGAGTCGCAGGCCACCAAAGAAGCGAGAGAAGCCAAGGAGGACGCCGAGCGGGATCTGACAAGGAAGGAGCAGGACCTGGAGAGCGAGAAGTCGGACCTCGCCAAGGATTACGGCCCCTCCGACATCTTCCGCGCCCTCAAGGGCCAGTGCATTGACATCGACGCCGGCGAGTACACGTACGAGCTGTGCTGGCTGGACAAGACGAGCCAAAAGTCGAAGAAGGGCCACGGCAACACCAACATGGGTAACTTCAAGCGCATCGACCACGAGCTGGCGGATGATGAGGAGCGGCTGGATGGCAAGAGCCTGGGCAAGGGTTCGAGGATGGTGCTGCGCTACGAGGACGGGCAGGCATGCTGGAACGGGCCGAACCGCAGGACGGACGTCTGGCTGGGGTGCGCGGACAAGGAGGAGCTGTGGCGCGTGACGGAGGCGGAGAAGTGTGTTTATAAGATGGAGGTGGGCACGCCGGCGGCCTGCGAGGAGCGGGTAGAGGGCGAGGTGCCAGTCAAGGATGAATTGTAACTATAAAAGAGAAAGAAATAGATAGAGCTGTTAGATACGGATAGTCTGGTCAAATACGGATACATGGTGGATCTTGCAGGTCGCGGGGTGATGCGTGATCAGCTGGGACGACGAATGTTTGCATCAGGCTGCTATTTAATCACAAGATGACTAAAATAACAAGGAAAACATTACAACTACTTTTTCTACCAGGTATTTACCAATTTATAACGGAGGAAATGGGCGCATCTCGCTGCACCAACCCCCCCACCTGCCGACGCTCCACAGATGCTGCAACCCGCTGCGGCACGAGTTAGAGAGATGACAGCCGCATAATATCCTCTTGAAACCCGATTGTGCTGGGCACACCGCGCAAACTGCACAGCATCCAAGTCGACACCAATATTCACACCCAGGACCATGGCCGAAGGGAAACACCCCAAGGGCGCGCGCCGACTTTTCCGTCTCTGCGCACAGCTCGCCCTCGGCTCATCCGTGTGGGGCTACAATATCGGCATCCTGTCCTCGGTGCTGGTGCACTCGGGCTGGCGGGCCGCGCTGGGCAACCCCTCGCCCGCGCAGACGGGGCTTGTCACGGGCGCGTACTATCTCGGCGCGCTGCTGGCGTACTTGTGCGTCGCGCACCCGCTCGCGGACGCGCTGGGCAGGAGGAGCGCGGCGGGCGCGGGCACGGCGGCGCTGAGCGCGGGCGCGCTGGCCATGGCGAGCGCGGGGAGCTTGGGGGCGATGATGAGCGGGAGGGTGATGTGCGGGCTCGGCGCGGGCGTGGTGAGCACGACGGTGCCGCTGTATCAGAGGTGCGTTGCCACTTTGCTGGAGTAGAAGGGGAAAAAAGCTGACTCGTGGATGGGATAGCGAGATGGCGCCGGCCAAGGAGAGAGGCAAGTACGTGACCATCAATCACATCGGGTTCGTGGCCGGCCTCGCGACGGGTCTCTGGTAAGCTGCTCGCAGACTCGCTTAGCTCGGGAATTTCACTCATCGCCGGCCAGGGCCGGATACTTGATTACGTTCTGGAAGGGTGACGCGGGCGAGTACTGGGGCTGGAGAGTTCTCATCCTGATGCAGCTCCTCCCGGCGTTGGCCTTCGCCGCCATGCTGCCGTTGATGCCAGAAACGTGAGCAGCCAACCACCTAACCCATTACGCGTGGACGACTAACCAACAAGACCACCAGTCCGAGATGGCTCCTCCAGAGCGGCGACGCGGACAGCGCCAGCAAGGTCCTCCACTGGCTGCGCGAGGACGTCCACGAGCCGTCCGCCGTCGCCCACGAACTTGACGCCATCAACGCCGACATCCAGCTCCACCACCGCCAGGCGTCCTCCTCGTTCCCGGCCAAGACCCTGGCGCTCTTTCGGCGGCCGGCGCTGTTTGCCCGCCTGTGGCGCGCGTTCCTGCTGCAGTTCATGGCGTCCATGTGCGGTGCCGCCGCGATGAAGTACTACCTGCCGACGCTGCTGCGGGCGCTCGGACTGGGCACGCGGCCCGCGCTGATGGCCGGCGCGGTGGAGGCGACGACGAAGATCGGCATGGGCGTCGTGGAGATGTGGCTGATTGACAGAGTCGGTAGGAAAACGTGTCTGGCAGGCGGGAGCGTCATCATGGCTGTTGCGATGCTGGTAGGTGGCAGGCACGCGGAGACTTTCTTGAGCCGACTAACATGCCTGCCTAGGTTAATGGCGTGCTGCCGCAGTTGTTCCCGAAAAACGTGAGCCGCGTGGCGGACACGGTTTGCATCGCCTTCATCTTCCTCTACGCGTTTGGCTTCAGCCTCGGCCTGGGCCCGACGGCCTGGCTGTACAGCTCCGAGGTGCGTCCAACTTGGATTGAGCTCTGATTGGGAGGAGAAGCTAATGTTGTTTGGACGGCAGATCTTCCCGACGACGTACCGCGCGCGCGGACTCAACTTTGCCGCGTCCGGCGGCTCGATCGGCAGCATCATTGTCGCTCAGATATGGCCCGTCGGCGTCGCCAAGTTCGGCAGCGGGGTGTACTTGTTCTTCTTCGCCGTCAACGCCATCTGCGTACCGGTTCGTGGCCCTTGTAGACAGCCCGCAAACCTTGTCGAATGACTAACCTTTGGCGTGTTAGGTGATATGGCTGCTCTACCCGGAAACCAAAGGCTGCGCGCTGGAGGACATGGATGCCCTGTTTGGAAAAGAGACGCGTGCGGACGGCATGGGACTGCGTGGGTTGCAGGACCAGGACGAGGAGCGGGAGCCGCAGGACGGCGACTCGGCGGACAGCGAGGCAGGGGAGGCTCAACCACTGCTCTCGGGATAAGAAGCAAGGGAAGCAGATGCGTTGTACTCCTTGAGGACATGCACATGCAGCCTCCCCTCCCGGCTCTGGCTGACGAGCCACGGGGACCGACCTAGGACCACGAAGCACATTCATGATGCAAGAAGTGAAGAAAATGAAAAGCAATAATAGTCTACCTCTACGCCGTAATGTTCATAAACGCCGCGTAGCTGGACGCCATCGCGTCCTCCCTCGTCCACCCGACGCAGCCCCAGCACCTGAGCAACCTCCGCGGATCGTACTTGTTCTTGATCCTCTCCTGCGCGTCGTAATGCCTACCGTACCAGGCGCGCCTCCAGTCCTCGGTGAACGGGTCCGCCTGGTTCTTGTACGCGAAGCCGCCCGTCAGCCTCGCCACACGCGCACCGCCCGCCCGCAGCTCCCGCACCGCCGCCTGCCTGTCCGCCAGCGTGCCGTTCCACGCGAAGCGCCCACCCACGCCGATCACCCACAGCGAGTCGTACCACGCCGGCAGCACCGCCGTGTCGGCCGGCGGACCGTGCCTGACCGCCAGGTAACGGCGAGTCGACGGGCACGTACGCCATGTTGCCCCCGTCGGAGCTCATCCCGGAAGAACGCCTTTGAGTCGGCGCCGACCGGACTCGGTCGTGAAAAGGGCGGCGGGCGCGAGCTGCGTGCCGATCAACCGCAGGCTGCCGACGGCGTACACGCGGCCTAGGACGTGGTCCTCGTAGAAGCGGTTACCAGCTATCCGCGATAGTGATGCCGGCCGTGCCCCCTACCCAGGATACAAAGTCGAGGACCCTCCGTAGGGACTGCTCCGCCGCCCCCGCGCAGCGCCCAGAACAGCTCCGTGTTGGTGCACCGGTCCGCCACGCGCAGCCGGCCGTCCGGCGTGACCACCCGGAACTGCAGCGCGCGGGTCCGCACCCAGCCCCAGCGCGTTGCTCAGCACCGAGTGTCCGCCGCCCATCACAGCCACCCGCCGGAACGCGCCGACCCGTCGGGGGAGTAGGCGCACACAGCATCGTGGCGTTGTGTTCCTCCTCCGCGAACGCGTACGCCTCGCCGCACCCCCGACCCCCCGCGCGCCGGTTGTGATTGCGAGGTGCCCCGGTCTCTTTCTTCCTCGGGGGCACAGCCCTCGGGGAGGAAGCGGGCCGTGATAGCGAAGCGTCCGTAGTTTCCCCGCGTCCACAGCGCCAGCGAGCCCGCGGGCGGCGCTGGCGTCGGTGACGTACGTGTGTCCGCTGTTCTTGACGGAGAGCTTGATGCCGAAGCGCGCCGCGTGGTCGAACGCGAGCGCCGCGTCGGCCGCGGAATGCACGGCCAGGTACCACGACGGTAGGTTTGCCGAGCCGGCAGTCGTCGCCGTGACGGGCGGCCGGGTCCGCGGGATCGAGCAGGCACTGGTCGTGCGAGGCCGGGTCGGACGCGTTGACGCTCGAGGTGTCGTACATGTACGCGCCGGGCAGCTCTTGCCGATACGTGGAGCTGGCGCAGTTGGCCTGGCGCTCGACGCACAGCGCGGCGTCGCGCGGGACCGGGCCGACCCTCGAAGCGCGAGAAGCACGGCAGGGCGAGCGGCTCGACGCGGCGCACGCGGCCTTGCAGGGTGCGGTTCAGCGCGGCGATGCCCAGGGTCGCGTCGTCGCCGTGGGCGGAGATGCTAATGGTGCACAGGCAGAGTAGGACGCACACGAGGGCGCCGACTGGAGATGAAGTGGTGGTCATGTTTACTGAGGCCCCAAGCCGTGCAAATGCGCTCAGCTTAGGCCGTCTGGACAGCGGCGAGGGGGCTAGGATGTCCTATTTTAGATATAACGAGGACCATTGCCTTCCAGAGCCCCCTTTGACCACCAGCTGTCTTGCTTCTCGGATACATTTGTGCGCTAACCATCTAGTGTTGCGACTTTCGCCACGGGCCATGTTGGATGATGCTCCTAGAGGGAGGGATGGAGCAAGTCGGCGGATCAACCACTGACGACCACTGACCCCTCCACCGATTGTTCCACTGTAATGCAGGTGTTTGGTCTTTTTCGTGACGAGTTTATTATATCTTTGAAAAATACCGTTATTGCTATTCCTATCCAGACTGCTGCCATGACCACACCGCCGATCTTATGCACCGCTTATGCACGCCGTATGCATCGCCTTATGCACCGCCTTATACACCGCTTATGCACCGCCGCGGCCCTGTGCCGCCGAGTATAAACGACCGATATCCCGCTTCCACTGCTTCACGTCTGGACGCAGGATACGCCGGTCATACGTGTAGAGGCCGTTTAGCTCGCCCTCCACGTCCGTCGTTTGCGTATAGATGGCGCCGCTGCACGCGTACATCTCAATCTGCTCCTTCAGCTCCCGGAAGAGCACCCCGGTGCGGTAGTTGTACGCCTCCAAGTTTTCGTCCATCTCGTAGGTCTGATTTATCTCATCAATCGCCCTTTGAACCTTCCAAAGGCTGGTGCAGAAACCATGCGTTAGTCTCGTTCATGGTAAGCGTGGACCGGGTGCTGACTTACTGCTCGGCCGAGACGTTGTGACCAACGCCGCCAAATTCACCCTGGAAGCCGATTCTGCTCGAGTCGTACGGGCCGCCCGGAAGTGAGGAAAAGGGGCTGCCGCATTGCGGATTGGCATAGTGGTGATTGTCCTGCGAGGTCAGGTCTGTAAGCATGTACTGGAAGACTCGGATCCAGTGATGAAACATACCGAAAAGTCACCAAAGCCATGGTCATTCCATCCCGTGACTGAATCGATCAACCGCGTCGGATCCAGCTTCCGGACCAAATCTGTGAGTTCGCCCTCGGGGTATGGCGGTGTGTTGAGTTGAGCCCAGCCTTCGTTGTAGATGACCTGCAGAGCAGCGGCGTGTCAGTTACTTTTGCGTATGTGCATAAAAATGGAAACAGCAAAAACGGGGGTAAGGAGACGAGAAGAAGAAAGAAAAATGGGGATCAGAGGAAGAGGGGAAAAAAAAATTAAGAATGAATCGAGCTTACCCAGATCAAGATTGATGGATAGTTTCTGTGCTCTGTGATCAGGACCCCCAACTGGCGACGAAATTCTGCCTGCTGGTCCGCATTCGGCTTTCTACCGTCCGCAGACATGCTGGGCATGTCTTGAATAACAACAAGGCCCATTTCATCGCAGGCACGGTAAAAGAGATCCGGCTCTACCTTGATCTGCAGCCCAAGTCAGCACGCTTCGTCAAAAGCTAGAGCGCCACACTCACATGTTTGCGAACGGTATTGAAGCCAAGACTCTTGAGCATCTTGAGGTCGTACACCATCGCCTCTCGGTTGGGAGGGAGGTACAAGCCGTCGGGCCAGTATCCTTGATCCAGGGTGCCCACCAAGAAGGTGAACTTGCCGTTGAGGAGCGGTCTCTTGACGCCCTTGACCTCACCCACCGAGATGCTGCGGAACGCGGTGTAGCTGCTGATGGTGTCGTCGCCCATGGAGACGGTAATGTTGTAGAGATACGGGGAGGACGGCGACCAGAGATTGGGAGAGGCGAGCTGGAACTTGACTTCGGAGTCGGAGCTGCCGACCGACAGAGCGATCTGCTTGCCGTGCTTGTCGAAGAGGTTGAGCTTGACACCTGTCCCATCGTGCCCTGAGGTGTGAACGGTCCAAGCGACTGTGTCTGTTAGTCAAGGGTGAGGGTCACCGGCATGACAGGGTTCGTACCGTTGCCATCCATGTCGGCACTGACGTCGAGACCGGTGATGTGGTTCTGGGGCACACTTTCCAGCCAGACCGTCTGCCAGATGCCGGAGCAGGATCTGTAAAAGATGTGACTGGGTCTTCTTGTTTGCTTGCCAATGGGACCCATCTCCAGATCGGTCGGATCGTAGACAAACACAAGCCTAGATGCTGTGGTGAGTAGATGCCCTTTGCAGACATTGGGAGTCAACCTACAGTGTGTTGTCTTGCCCGTATTGTATCTGGCTTGTCACGTCGAGAGTGAAGCGAAAGTAGCCGCCGACGTTGTGGCCGACTTTAACGCCGTTGAGGAAGACGGTGGCTTCGTAGTCGACGGCCTCAAAGTTGAGCAGGACGTTCCGGCCCTTCCACGAGTCGGCCACCTTGAAGGTCCTGGTGAACCACATGTTGGTCACGGGGTACTCCTGGATGCCGGAGAGGCCGCTCTCGACGCAGGACGGGATCATAATTTCTTTTCCGAGCTGGCGGCTGGGGGGGTTGCTGAGCGCCTGGGCGGCGGGGCTGCCGTCGGCGCTCTCGTACGTCCATATCCCGTTTAGGCTCTGCCATTTGTCGCGGTGCAGCAGCGGCCGCGGGTGTTCCGGCCAGGGGTCCGTCCCGACCTTGTACGTCCAGTCCGTGTCGAGGGGAGGAGTCTGCACTTTGTAGGGAACGGGGCCGCGCTTGTCAAGGGTAGCCGAGAGCACTGCAGGGAGTGCGGCAAGCAGCATGCTGCCCAGAGCAGGTAGGTTGAGCTTCATCCTGACCAAGGGAGGCGACTTTGTTGAATGGAAAAGAGTCGCAAACTGTTAGCGAGGCAAGGCTGCGATCAGGGTGAGTCGGTTCCCAGCCGGGCGGCCTCTCTTTATAGGTGAGCAGGAAGTAAGGGACGGCGCTCGATGCCAAGAAATCGGGGGATCAAGGTGACCTAGAGAACCTAGGAAGCTCCTCTCTCTGCCCTCCGGTGAGCACCTTTGCGGGGGCCGTGAGTTCGTACCGCAGGTCGTACCGTGAACCCCTCACCTTGGCGTGTCGTGCTTGAATGGCGGATCGAGATGAATTTGAGCTTGTTGGGCTGCAGTCGCTCACCGTCTCTTGCCGGCGCTATGTCGGCGCTGAACAGCACGTTCAACGTCGACCTTGGTCCTTGGTGTGAGGCGAGCTTGTTCCTGTGGCTGGCGATGATTGGGCCGCGTCGGGAAGTTCCTAGTCGGGAGGTAGCCCTGTGGGGGGAGGGATGACAAGGTACTGTAGGTCGCACTAATAAAGTGCGGGGAAACGCGCCGTTCGTTGAGTGGCTTCGGGATCTTTTATAATGATGGGCTGCAAAGCAAGGGAGTGGAAGCTGGTATGCAGATGTACTGACTGTCGGTGGGGGGGACCGAAGAAGCTGGCGCGATGGTATGAAGTCGGTGGGTGCTTGGGTGAAGCCGGCTTGGCAACGATGGAGGCGTATGAATACTATACAGAAAACCGTTTGACACCGGTCTTGTTTCATGGATGCTCCTCTACCCTCCATCCTCGGAAGAATTCAGTTCAAGCAAGGCGAGGAAGGCGCCATGGAAAGGACGAAGAGGCCGGGCGGTTTCTGCGGTCGCATCCCATCAAGTACAAAAATACCTGTCCATACCAACAGCACTTGACCATGGTTCCCCGCACGATGAGCAACGGATGTGACAGCATCAGAGGAGGCCAAGAGGATGGTGGGCAAGGAGACTTGTTATTGGCCCGTCTGTCAAGCAGCCTAATTTGTCAGGGATGAAGCCGGCGCGGAGGGACAAGACAACGCATCTACCTGGAAGAGTAGATATGTGCCAGCGCAATTCATTCATTTATTCTAATTTTTTTGTTTTCTTCTTTTTTTTTTCTTTTTGTTTTCTTCCTTTTTTTTTGCTGCCCTTTTCTTCGCTTTCTCTTGAATAACTTACTTATTACGTGGATGTTTGTAGAGATTGCGTGCAGAACAATCTCGTAAAGGCCGTTCCACAGCGCGGGGCTGGTTGCTGCTGTGCACTTCCTTGTTCTCTTATTAACTCGCTGGCAGTGCATTGCCCATATTTAACCATGTAGTTAGTGCATGCATACCTGCCTGTCGGCAGATCTCCTTGTGAAGCGCCAGTTCCACAACAATGAGCAGCCTGTGCAGCTCTCCTCCTCTCTACCATCAGACGGATAACTAATTAAAATGAGTCAAGCGTGCGTACGTACCGAGGCCACTGCGCCCTTCACTCCAGCCGATTGCAAAGCTTGTATATGCGCCCGCACGGCTTCTCCATCATTTTCTCGTTCCGCCCTCGAAATCTGCAGCGCTTCACACATCTGACTCATCATTTGCACCATCAGTTGGGTGTCGCTCCCTGGAAATCCCCCTTCCTGGCTATTAATCTGCCCTTCGTTTCTAGAGACTGATTTCCGTCCGTTCATCGCTGTTTCTTATTATCGTACAACGCGCCTGCTGTTTCTGTGTGTGGCGTAGAGCGCGTGTGCCAGGATCCTCCGATAGTTCCTCACGATTCTATGCATAGGTATCGCGACTGCGGTCGCGATCCATTCGTGACGGCGCAACAAGGTTGTTCGCCGAGCCTTCAGGGTCTAATCCGTGACATTAGTTACTGAAACGTTTCTTCAATACTTCTCCCTCCTTACTTTTATTTGTAGTATTCTTCCATCTTAGCACGAGCCGTTGTAACGTTTTCTTGTCTGATCCTACCTTGACTCAATTCGCTCTGCGGCTCTCTTGCAGAATAGCCCACTCGAACGCCCGATCATGCCATTATAGATGCGATTCTCAACCGCGAGGTCCGTGCCAGTGAAGATCTCATCACCCTCCATCGGGAAAAGGATGTCGCCAAGGTCCTCGGCGAGCGGCTTCAGGGTCTCAGGTCTTCTGGGAACTCGTCCAGGATATATGTTAAGTTTCTTTTCTCCATAAAGTGCACCTTTTTCTCCGCTGAGTCCCGCCAGGTACCCTGACTCCAGTGGTGCAGCTTGCTGTCCTTCGGAAGGTCGAGGTTCCGGTTAGTAATGACTGTACTGAGGAAGATGTAGAGAAACGACTACAGGTCGTGGCGATAGGTGTGAGGTCGCTCCCTGAGGATGCCGATCGACATGAAGGCGCGGGTGCCTGTGATCTGTCGGCGGTTGGGCCCAGCCTCCAAGTCCAGCGCCGAATCGAGATCGATCAGAATACCCTTAGGGCTATTCTCCGAAATATCGTCGACAATGACAATTTTATCTTCGGAAACGTCCCGGTGGAGGATCTGAGCGTCCTGTAGGAGGGACCTGTGGCCTTTGATGGCGTCCCGAACGGATTGGAGAAGTTCCTCCCGCGTCTGGAAGGTGAAGAGACGACGGCCGAGGGGGGATAGGACATGGAAGCAAAGCACACGATGGCTGATGCCATCATCCTTGCCGGCTGACTCCGTTTGCGACTTGAAGCCACCGGTTCTTGTGCGGCCCGTTCTGGTAGTCTGGGTGATGTGAACGGCCCCCAGAGCCTCGAAATCCATGAGTGTGTAGCCGAGAACGAGACCGGTGCATCGGACAGGATTCGTATGGATGTCGAAGGTGTCGGCGCAGTACATCCCCGCCCGGTCAGATACCCAGAGCTCCAGCGTCGACCCCCAGATGTAGAGGGCGTGCACATAGAGGCGTGTCGGCTGCAAAATAAAAACTGGGTTACGTGGTAGTAGAGCGATGCCAGTCCTTCCTGATAGAGCGAAGAGCCATCCACGCAAATCTGGGCAACGGTTAGGACCTGAGCCCAGCTGTTCTGCTTCGTCAGGTCCGCCACCACCACCATGGGCACGCTTCGGCTAGAAAGGCTTTTAGACGTGCCACTCGCCCCGTGACCCAGCGAAATCGTGCCGTGAGAACCTGATAAATGGGAAGAGAGCGCGATCGAGGGCACGCTGGTCGCTGGGAGGTTGGTGTCTGCGGGCGACTTGTTCGGCCATATGGATTGTTTCGTGGCCTGGGTGGATAAAGCCGCTGACAACTGAGCGAATGTTGCTATCCAAGCTCGTAAGAGAGCGATTAAGAACCAGATTTTCTTCTCAGCCCACCAGGGCTGATGAAGGAGTCGATGCTGTGTAAGAACACCATCCTCATCTGCCCACAGGCGAGGAGGTGTCTGAACTTGGTAGAAACTGGTGTGGCCTACCCGCTCACCCTAGATGAGTCTGCTGTCTCTGGAGTCCGCCCGCCAATGGCCCGCTTGACCCAATCCCAACGAGCGCCAGTTTCCCTGACGGAGGCGCACACGTCGCGAATTAATGTTCTTATCCAAGAAAAGAAAAGAAAAGCGTGTTCATTCCAGATTTAGATTCCTATGTATTATCTGGTGCGTATTCTCTCTCACGCATATATGGAAGTACTGGCTTCCCTTCGGCGAAACTCCGACGACAGACCTCAAATGTCTCGTCAAGCGCAGTGAATAGATCTGTGAGTTTTATATATCCATAGTTGCGAGAATCGAAATCGGGATGCTTCTTCACCACAAGGTTACCGATCTCGCAAACTCCTGCTCATCCGTCATGATCTGAGCCTGGCTCTACGGCCGCTCGAAGGATATAAACAGCTGTTCCGAGGTCTTCTTCCTTGGCATTCTCTGAGCCTTTGGCGTCTTGAGGGCCGTTGGCGAGATCCCCTGGTGTTCGTGGTTTCTCCAGTATCTCTCAAGGCTCCGGTGCCGCCAGAGCCTTTTGAATCTTTCGGCCGTTTTGTATTCTCAGGACCGCTGATATCGTCAGAACCCCCCCCTCTGGTCGGCACTAACACTTCGTCCCTCAAGTATAGCCCTCTGGGCGATAAAGGCTTATAGCCTATCTCTGTAGCCACCACAGGACCTTGGATTCATATTAACCGTCCCTTTTACCTACTCTTCCTAGGGTGGCAGAACCTTCCCGTATAGTATAGGAGCCAACACAAACGATCTAGGTTAGTGTAGTAGTTACGAGATAGCTACTAAACATCCTGAACGTATCTTATCCTTCTTGTAGTAATTATCAAATGATATCACACTCTTTACTACACTTCCATTACAGTAATACTCTAACTATCTCGGTTATGTTTAGAATTTGGGTGTCTGTGAGCCCTAGCCTTACCCCGCATTATTTAACCGTAGATAATAATCGTCACCCCGCCTTTAATGCTTAACCCTAAGTAACCAAGTCCTAAATAACCGTCTAGCAATAGTTTTCTAGGAAGATAAGCCGCGGTACAGTAACTGCCGATCCGTGGCATCTACTGAAGTGGTTGAGTTTCCGCGAAAACTGAGCCTAAACATCTTTGTCTTCCCCGCATCTTATAGCTAGGCGATCGTTGGCCAAAGCGCACTAACCAGAGCCAAATTGTCCGACTGCAGGTACACTATGCCTTTCACTTGCTTACAGTAATTTAAATGCTAGTTGTTTCTGCGTTTCTCTATCAATATTCAGCTTCACACGGGTTACGGGAATGTGCCGCGCAGCTACACACTTTACTAGAGTTCTGCCGAGCGGCTCATTCTACAAACATATCTAACCAATATCGACTGCAGAGCAATAGGGAGTATGAAGCTCAATTTTGTTCTTACAATTTGCGGTGGCGTTGTAGTCTCCTGCTTACCCACGCTTGTTGAGCGGCAGCCATGTCAGTTACTCATTTTGCTATTTCCATGCATTGCCTAATGCTGAGTCTCTAACACGCGCATCTAGTAACTGTCGAGTTGTACAGTAACTTGAAGCACTACGCGCAATATCTTCCCGCTTCGTATTGCGACTCTGGTGCAACATCCGGAACGCTGTTGATGTGCAGCGAGGATCAATGCCCGACACTTGAGCGGAACAATGTCTCCGTTTTTGCACCATTCAAGTAAGTCGGAGATTCGCATCTACTCATGTGGGGGACTTGCGCACAACAGCTACAAAATTTGCTGACGGATGCTTACCCTATCTACTTTAGAGGTGACTTGGCAGGTCTGGCCGGGTTTGTGGCCACTGATCACGTCCGTCGCGAAATCGTAGTCGTTTTCCGCGGCTCGGCCTCGATCCCCAACTTCCTCGCCGACGCCGTCGTGCTGATGACGGACTGCTCCTTTGGGGGGCCCGACTGCCGCATGCACGCCGGCTTTGCGCAGTCATGGCGTGAGGTCAAGCCGACGGTCCGGCTGCTTGCCCAACAGGCCGCCGCGCAGCATCCCGGATACACGCTCGCCTTTACTGGCCACTCGCTGGGGGGCGTCGGCGCACAGCTCGCGGCGCTGGACCTGCGCCGAGATGGTGGTATTTTCACTGCGGTGCCGCAGTACAACTACGGCAGCCCGCGCATCGGCAACGATGTCTTCGTACGGTACCAAGAGGCGCAGGAGCCCCCGCGCGACTATCGCGTCACACACTACCAAGACCTGGCCATAACATACGTGCCGTTAGCGGCTGGGTTTCGACACCCGTTTCCAGAATACTGGTTACGTGACGGGCCTGCTACTAGGACTGAATATACTATTGGAGATATACAGGTCTGTACCGGGACTGAGCAAAAGCAGTGCAGTGAGAGCCGGGTGAACTTGTCGCTTAATTCGCACATGCACTACTTTCAAAAATTGTGGCCTTGTTTTCGACTAACAACTAAATAAACCTGATAGATTTTTATTAAAGGATGAATTAAACTGTACTTGCAGACACACGTAGTCCGAGTATACCAAGTATAACATCGACGATTCCGCTGGAAATGCTCCTGCCTTCGCTAGAGCAAGTGCAAGCCCATCTAAATGTTTTACTAACTGGATGGCACTGGTGTCTTTGATGATTATCTGATTGGCTCTATAACATTCATACGAGTTGGTATGGCTTGCCTCGCGTGACCTCATCCAGGCCACACGTCGGCGCCAAGGTACGCAGGCAGCTATCCTCATGGTCCAGCATCTACAACCGTATCATCTCATCCACCTTGACCACTCTGGCTACATCTTTTAAAGCTCTGTGGTTCGTATACGGCGGATACGATCGGAGCTAATTGGTTTGTCCAGCCCTATGGCCCTCGTCGCCCACAAGTGGCGTTTTTCCTATCTTCCGCATTGTGCAACAGGTGGCTGGAAGTGTCGTATCAATCAGCCAACCGCTACTTGTTGCATCGTCTAGCCACCGCTTAAGTGTGTAACAGTGGAACATCCTTCATCCATCGCAAGCGGATCTCTTAGTGACTAGCTATAGTAACCAGGGTTGCTCAATAGTACTAGCTAATCTCCTTTTTACCATAGGGTGACGGGTGTGTGGCATGTACACTGGCTCATACCCCCAATAATATAAAGCTATAAGACACCGCTACCAAATAAATGAGAAAGAATGCCTGATGTGTGTGACGCGACGGCCGATGAGGCATCTGACGATAGCATGTTAGGACGGAGGAGCCAGGCCGTTATGAGCGGATGCGCCCGCTAGCTTCTACTCGGTCAGCTTCCGAAGCTCTTTTCAAAGCGGCGGCCATGTGTTATGGGCAGCGGCATGATCTGGGGTATGCCTTCCTCTGGTTTTAGTGCTTATAGAATTCTTGTAGGTGGGCTATAATGATAAGAGGTGCCACGGCCATTGCCGCGGTTTTTGTGGAACATTGCAATATTGTGCTCATTACTATGGATGGCCCTGGTGCATTGGGGTCCGTCCGTGATGGCTGAATGCTCGAGGTTTGACAATTTTCAAGAGCTACTGACTGGTTCGGTGATTATACATAGTGTTGACCAGAGTATCCTAGGCATCCAGAACGGATCAACGTTCCACTAGAGTGTAGTATATAGGTATATTAAGTAGTAGTTATAGTTTACTTTAAATAATTAACCTCTTCCTTTATGTTTGTCTGCCTGGTTCTATTACATGGTTGTAGCTAATATGAGGTGCGTGGCGCGGCTCCAAATGAGGTCAACATAGATTTAAGACTAATAAGTCCCACATTGTCGGGCTTTACTTTTGCTACCAGCAATACCGAAGAAGGGCAACATTGTATTGGATAATTATACAGGCTTCGGTATGACCGACTCCGTACAAAGAAGCTACAGTAAAGTATATTTTAGACTCAAGACTATCCGTCATCTTTGTCCTCGGAATCAAACCAGTCAGCTCTGTAGACTGTCAACAAGTCAACTACACCTTCTGAAACATTTGTTCTTTGAAACCCATTTGATTTCCCGCCAAGTACTCGCTCAACATGAAAATCGTCTTGCTTACTCTCTTTGCCCTAGCTGGGACAGCCTTTGCCAATCCCACTGCCATGCAAGCACGAGGCCTTCCGCAGCCTGGCTCAGAAGCTGCCCACGCGCTTTTGGATCTGGTCAGCGAGGGGATGAAATCTTGGGGCTTGGCTGGTGGCGTCAACCCTCCTAGCGGAAACCCTAGCGGCCCATCGCGCAACATGCCTGGCGGTCTGCCCGAGCTAAACCGGCCCCATCCCCCGAAGCAGAACGGCGTGCCCGGAACACCAGGCAACCCCCTAGGGCCTCGCAAGAAGCAAGGGCGAATCTACCCGCGTGGCAAGTCATGCACAAAGAAGCGCGGTATGCAGTGCTCCGCCGACACAACCGCGACTGGAAGATCGTCCCGGTACCCGAAGCTTCGCCTCAACGGACGGGGCGGAGCCATGGTGGCGTTTGCGAACCTTTCACCTCATGCTCATGATATCCTAGCAGCGGTCCAGAAATGGGACAACCCCGCTAGCAGGGCAGTAGCATGGTTTGATGGGGCGATGGCAGACCTTCAGGAGTCTATTGGAGGAAAGCAGGTACCCGAGATCCATGGCAACGAGCTCAAGCTATGGCTAATTTGCCTACTCCGGAGCGATAACCCAAGGTACCCGGACGCAGTTGACAAGGCGTGCCAGCGGCGGAAGGCCGCGCCTGTCGAGGAGCAGAAGTATCGACAGGGAATTAACGGGTTAAACCAAGTGGCAGAACTGTGCGAGAAGGCTGAGGAGGACCCTCCTTCGGATGAAAACATGAAAACAGAGGTGTTAGAGCACTGCGACAAGTTTGCCGAGACCCTGGAGAATATGATCGACAGCAACGCGGGACTGGTCCTACTGGGAGAGTGGGCTCGTGCTCGAACACTCAACAACCATGGAATCGAAGAATCTGACCAGCTCATTGCGAAGGAATTTATCCAAAAAGGCGCGTTCGGTCCCGCCGTGGACGAAACGGAAGCGGGTGAGGTCGCCACCCTGTACCTGGAGCACATGTCTACCTATGCCATCATAGAAGTAGAGGAGGACGGTGTCGGAGAACTGATCAAGCATGACTCGCCGCCGTCGTGGCTCGAGTTACTGCAGATGGGAGCCGGCTACGTCCCGCAAGACAGAGCGGCCGTGGATGAGGCGTTGAAGCTCCTCGAGGGCAGCCCCCACCTCCGCCATCTTGACAAGGAGGGAAGGGACGTTATGCTGCCGGTCGCGACTTGCTGGGACCAGGCGGGCTTGCTGGCGTTCCAGCCCCGTCGGTGGGATTTGATCTCCGCGGCCATGGTTTATCTCGAGGGGAAGCTACGGGACACCAAGAGCACCCTCTCGTGCGCACCGTGCATGGCGCCCGAGGGCTTCTGGTTGCTACGTTGCGGATCTGCCTTCCCATAGATGCGATCTTGGGGTTAGTTCGATTTATACCAGGCTAAACAGGCTGAGTGGCATAGAGCGGCAAGCGAGTCGCCATCCATAGCGGCTGCAAGGCGCGGCCATGATCAATCGCAAATCGATCAATACGGTGTGACAATGCAAAATATGGGTGAAGCGCGCGATTGTTGAAACGACATGCCTGGTTCTTCTCACAAAGTCTATCCAGCATATTGTGAGTAACAAGTTTCTATAAATAAACCCTATTAATAAGCCCAAGCACCTATTTCGTGGTCCCAGCTCGTAATACCTCAACCTTGTTCTAGGTGAAGCTTACTATTATACTACTACTATGTTTAACATCCTAGAAGACGCCAGGTGAGTTTTTACCGCGGCTCTGCCTTTGATATTCATTATTGATGATCACTGTGGATTTGCCTGCCGTTGAATACATATTTCCGCATCATACCAAGGAGGGCCCTTTACCGTTCCCAAACCGCGACTTTGCTCGGCCACAAATCTTCAGTACCGTCGCCGCCGCCCATTCAAAATCGGCAATCGTCAGATATATTTGCGCCGATATCCTGCACCAAAATTGACCGGCGTAGAACTTAATGGGGATATAGGTTTCGTATTCTGCCGGCGTGAGCTCCTGCATCCACTTTGCCACCGGTAAGCCATCGCTTTCAGCCCCGAGCTCGACGAGTGTCAGCGGGAGGCGGACCATGGCGAAGCAGCAGCGAGAGTCGGTTTCCAGAGCTTCAGTGCTAAGCATCTCTGCCATACGAGCTGCACCCTGCTGAGCAAGAGCGAAGCAGTACTTGCGAATATTTGACTCCCCGCCACACATCTGAGACCGGAATTCGAGAGCCTTTGGGATGCAGCAGTACGGCGTGTTATCGATGGTCGATACTTTATCGAAAAGTTGATCGAAATAGTCATGGGCAGATACAGCTGCACGGTTCGGCTTAGGCAGGTAGCCCCATGAGGTCGGAAGGGTAGAAGCGATAAGATGTTGGTTGCGACGTGAGACATACAGCACAGCACAGCCGCGAGGAACCATGAGCCACCTGGGCGCAGGGGCAAAAGAGAAGAAGAAATTAGCTTCGAAGCCACGGAAGCCGCCTGCCATCGCGAGTAATTTTCGGTAACACGCACTTGTAACAGTTGCTGATCATAAAATCAGGATCAACGGAGCTCAGATGGGTGAGATCAATGTGGCCAACTCCATGGGCTCCATCAAGCAAACTCCAGATGCCTTGCTCTTTACAAACAGCCACCAGTATCTCCCATGGGAAGCAAACGCCCGGGAAAGTGAGAACAGTGTCGAAAATGGCGAGCTTAGGACGCATCCCCTTTTCCTTGACATGTTGAATGGCAGAGTTGAATCGAGCCACAATCTCGTCGTCGGTTATAGGGTAGGTGATTTCGATCTGGTGCGACGACACTGGACACAGCTCGGAGAGCCGTTCAACGGTCTTGTTGCATGCTCCGTAAATGGTGCTAAAAGTTAGAATCACGTCGCCTTCTTCGAAAACAAGGTTCTGCAGCACCGTGTTCATGCCCGTCGTAGCGTTGGGCACCAGAACAACTTCGCTTGCTTGCGCGCCGAGCAATGAGGCAATTGCCGTGCGGCTTTCTCTCAAAAGATCGAGGTAGGTATACCGAATCCAGGTGTCTGGCCTGGCCTCGCTTGCTGCTTGCAATTGCCGCTGGTATTCGAGCACAGATTTGGGAAATGTCCCAAACGATCCGTGGTTGAGCGGGTGGTACCCCGCTGCAAATGCGAAGTGTTTTTCCCGCATCTCGGTCCCAAATACCACAACGGCACCGGAGTCGCTAGCATCCATGACGAAAGTGAAGAAACGAGCTTGAATCCCGGCGAAGAGCTTGGGTTTGAAGAGCAAAGCAGTTTGATGTATGTCGCAGGCTCGGCCGCCCTTCAACTTGCACGATTCGGGGGGTTCGACATGACCGCCCGCACACTAATGCATGGCATCTGCAGCATCACATGATTGATTCCTGGCTTCGCAACGAAAATTCCAGCTCATGAGCGCGCGGGGAAGGCTCACTGGGTATTTTGGTGGCCTGCATTGTACATCTATCGGTTGCCAGAGCGTGCTTGTTCTTCTCTATGGATCCTCTATCTTTGACAGCAAGCATTGTCGCCGTCACCACGGTCGCGGTGCAGGTGGGCAAACTACTAACCGGCCTTCACGAGGACTGGGAAGCATTGCCGGGCAGGGTCCACGCACTAAACAACGAAATTCAAGATTTTACCGTTGTCCTGAACCAGGTCAATATAGCTGCCCAGGAAAGGCGGCTGTCGCACTGGGGCAGCCGTGGACACCTTAGCCTGCATGCGGTGCTGGCGCGGGCCGAGGTGAATTTATTGGACATCAAGGCCATTCTGGACAAAATTGTCGCAAGCTCGGGATCAAGGAAGAAGGCTGCCATTCCCCGATTATTGATATGGCGAAAAGAGCAAGGCCGGCTCGCGGCGCTGCAGGAGATGATCAGGCAGGTTAAGTCGAGCTTGAACGTCATTCTCGGAGCTTCAAACTCGTAGGTCGCGATGCTGTCACCCGGTTTCCTCCCCAATCACCCGCTAATCCACCTGTCATAGGCATGACATGATGCATGTGCGGCTGCAGCTGGAGGAGCTGAGCCTCAAGGTACAAGGGCCTTTTCCTAGCTATGACGAGCCAGCCGTCCCCAACGGTTTCATCGAGGCTCTCTTCCAGGAGCACAACAAATCAGTCAAACAATCTCTGCACGAAAAGTACGCGCAAGTCGATGCGCGTATAGACAGGGTCGAGGCCATGACCCGCACTCAATCGACGGCTATGCATACATCTCAAATCCAGCAAATTGGCCCCCTGTACAGCGCATCGGCACCGCCCGCCAGGCAAAACGCCGTCAGACAGGTCAGCCCTGTTTCTGCGGCACGGATTCGTGCCAATTCTACATCAGTCAGAGTGCGGCTTCGACAAGCTCAGGCGACCTGTCATCCAGGATGTTGCTGCGCCTGCCACACGGAGCGCAGCGCGACGTCTCCATCGTTTCTGCATCGTATGCTCGGCCAGGTATTCATCGGCTACTGCGGCCTGCCCTTGCTGAGCAGTAACTGCGACAGGGACAACTGTGCGCGAAAGCAGATACCGACAGCAACCATGGAGTATTGGTTCCCTCTCGGCTTCTGCTGGTCCCAAATTGTGCGGCTTCATCTTGCCTACGACGCAAATACTGGCCCTTCCCTCCAGCTTAGCACTCTCAGGCAAGTCTCGGATTCTGCGCCGTGCGTGGGTTTTGCCCTCAACGGCAATACAGAAGGCCTCAAAAATCTCTTCCAGCAGGGCCTCGCATCTCCTCGTGATGTGAGTACGACAAGGGGATATTCATTGCTACGAGTAAATCGCCCCTCCTCCCTTATCCTTAACTATTCCATGCTGAACGAGTCTTTAGTGGGCCCTCTATGGACAGCAATATGAAACTTGCAAATTTCTCATGATTGCTGGCGCGGATCCTACATATAGGTATGCTGCATAGATAGATTGCCTTGCAGTATTGTGATCGGCTAATGTCGGAACCAGGCCGATCGCGAAGAGTGATGATTGTCCTAGCGACAAAGCTGGCGACATTATCCTCAGAGGTAACCTAACAAGGGCGACTACCGAGATTCTACGCATCATGGCCGAAGGCAGCGACTACATCGAGCGACAAAATTTTAACGAGCTTCACATCATTGTTCTGGGACTGTGCTCGCAAGACTTGGAAAAGACGATACGCAAACGACCTCACGAAGTGGATGTGCCAGATGCAGCGGGCCGGACACCGCTTCAGTGGGCGGCGGCCAGAGGTGACGAGAGAGCTGTCATCACGCTGCTTAGCTGGGGAGCAGACGCGAACCACATGGACAACAAATTCAATACCCCGCTGACCTTGGCCGCAAACCAAAACCAAGTAATCTGCGTTCGCCTTCTCCTGGAGGCTGGGGCGCTGCCCGATCCTCAACTGCCAAAGGGCACCAAGTTTGGCACCCCCCTCAACTGTGCGGCTAGGAATGCGTCGGACCCCATGGTCATGAAGACGCTCTTGGACTTTGACGCCAACATCGAGGCCACCGGGGTCGATGGGGTGACACCACTTCTGCATGTCGCGCGGAGCAGCAGTGCCACGCATGCGATGCTGCTTCTCGAGTACGGCGCAAACATTAATGCTAAGTCAAGAAGCAACCAGTCGCCTCTCACAGCAGCCATTCAGTGCAACAATCACGCCGTATTGAAGTTACTGCTTGAGCGGTGGTCTGACAATCAACAGTGCCCTCGTCTCGAAGGGCCTTATCTGCTGGACATTGTGGCGCAGTACGCCGATGTCAAAACCATGAGAATCTTGCCGATGCGGAACATATCCGCACAAGGACGGACCATTTATATATGCAGACTTATTATAGTTCACTTTTGGACCTGAGAAGTGACAATTCCGACGAGCTGAATGCAGCATTTGAAGAGTTGCGGTCAGTACTGCGGGCGGACGCAGCATCCGACCACGACGTTGCGAGTCAAATGGAACAAGGGCTTTTTCAGGCCTTTTCCGATCAAGACACAGAATCAGACGGTTCAGCCTTTGAGGACGCAAAAGAAAGGTTTTGAACAGACATGTACGGCCTCACAGAACATTACTAATATACGATGCAAGCTAAATCTTCTGCCGCCGATGCAGTAACCAGGCCACTGACGGATAGTACAGAATCAAGTAAACTTGCTAGGCGCTAACATGAATAGTTAGAATATTAAGTCAGGCAATGTATAGAACGAAAGTAATAGCTACACATTAAGAGAGCCACTCCTAGGGTATAAACTAAAAATTATACGTTAAAGAAATAGCCCTTAGTTAGAACTATACTAATAATACTTTACTTAAGATAACTCTAAGTATTAGGAGAAACTTCTATTATTTAAGTAGCTATATAAGGAGTACTATACATTTTGTAGTTACTTTATAATAGTTTTAAATAATCCTTACTAGTATTTTATGTATATTTAACTAAACTCTCTTCCTAAGAAGCTAATAAACTATAGATTAGGGATAAACCACTGTTACATAACGCTACTATAGTGTAGTATAGTTACTTGCCCCTGTTAGGAACGTTCGATTAAACTACTAACGTCGCCCACCCCTTTTTATACCACCCCTATTTTTAGACTAGCTATTATTAAAATAAGGGCGCTATATAAAGCTTTATAAATAAAATTAAAACTCTAAATATATAAAAACTATATTAATAAATAGTCTAAAAGCTATAAAATTAATCTATTTATAAATTAATTAAGAATTCTATAATATTATAAATTAATTACTTATAAAACTATTAGTATATTTTTTAAATCTCTATAATTAAAATAAAGAATTTATTAGAGTCTATAATAACTATTTATTATTTTTATAATTTAATTATTTTAATCTTAGTTTTAAACTATTAAAAACTAATTTTATATAGTAACTATTTAAACTTATTAAATA